GGGCGGTTACTGTTGGTCTGAAACTAACTGGACGGCCTGTGCCACGCCCGGCCACCCGAGGCGCTGGGTTAAAGGAAGCACGGGCGTCTCGGAGGCAGCCCATCGTGGCGTACGGGCATCGGGGGGCAGGTGGGGGTCCTGATTCCCTCCATCCTCATGGAGGTGACCTTCGTAGTCTGTTGCCCTCATGGCAACGACCTCCTCCCTCCCCTCCTCATCCCCTCCCCCCGCTCTGCTGCCAGGCATGCTGCTGGGGAAAGGGGGCTGGCACTGTGGACCAGACTGGAGACCCGAGGCAGCCCCCACTCAGCAAGAACAGAGGGGTGTGGGCCCCGCAGCGCCTGGCGGGGGCAGCTCAGACCCAGAAAGCCCTGCGGGGGGTGGTCCCTGCTCACTCTGAGCCTTCCCCCCAACCACAGACTGACTCTGGGCCATTCTCCCCGGAGCAGAGGGAGGCCTCCTGATCAGCATCCAATGCCAGCTTGCCAGAGCTGCGCAGCCCTCCCTCAGACACCCCCCTGTCCCTGCTTCTGTGGGTCACTGGTGGAGCCTAAGCAACCGCCCACCAGTGGCCCTCAGCGCCAGTGGCCCTCAGCCTCGGAGGCAAGGTCTCCAGAGGCAGGGCAGCCTCTCAGCGGGAGGGCAAACCCCCCCCCCCAACCTGGGACCCACAGCCCTTCCTAACACCCAGAAGCGGAAACCAGACTCAACTACCCCATGGACATGGGACCAAGCCCCACACCTGCCGAGCACTTTGGGGAGCGTCCCCTTTCCCCCCGCAGGGGTACGTGGGGGGGGGGGGCTTTAACGGCACATGCCACAGCCTCCCACGAGGTCCAGGTCCCAGTGAGGTCAGGGGCTGTCCCCTGGCACCTCCCTGCCCAGCACTTACCAAGGCCAGGCTGGCAGCAGAGGCAGTGGTGGGAGGCAGGAGCTGTGCCCAGGAGGAAGGGCATTGTGACATCACTCCCTGTCTCTGACGGGGCAGCAGGATGACCAGGCAGGGTTATGTGTCCTCTGACCTCTCTGATGCCTGGCCCCTCTGGCACAGCCCACAGGCTGGCCCCTAGCCTAGTGCCCAGGCCCTGCCACAGCCTCTTGGCCTCCACACTTCCTGGGCCCCCGACACCAGACCAGGCTGTGCTCAGGGCAGGGGAAGCCAGTCCTCTGGACGCCCAACTTGGCACGAGGCTGAGGCGAGGGCTGGGGGCCTGGAGCCCCGACCTGCCCAGGGAGCCCCAAGGGGTGCGGAGCAGGGTGAAGGGCAGGGCCTCCGCGGGCTCCTGCTCGGGTGCCGGGAGCAGGGCAGGAGCAGTACTTACTTTCACTCTGACCTCCTAGGACAGCATGGAGAGAAAGCAGCAAGGTTAGAGCAGGCAGACAGGCGCCCAGAGCCGGAGGCCCTTCCAGAGCTGCTCGCCGAGGCGGCGCGGAGTGGCTGGAGGAGCAGCGGGGTATCAGACCCACCGCCGCCGGCCCAGGCACCGCACACCGGAGCCGGCCGTTCCTGGGAGGCGCACCTGAGCACCCTCCCGTCTGCTCTGCGGGCGCCTGAGCCCACTGTCCACCTGGAGCTTGGAGGGGAGTCCAGCGCAGCCCTGTCCTGGCCCCCGAGGGTGCGGAACAAGAGGACAAGGCCCACGCCGCACGTTGTAGTCACCAGAGCGCCGTATCGGGGACAGTCTCCCTGCCCCAAGCACAGGACAGGGCCGTCAGCGCATCCCCGATGGGAGCAGCCAGCCCGGCGCTGCACCCCAGGAGCTCTGCAAGGCCCTCGGGCACAGGCAGCGAGACCTCTCCCCCAGTGCTAGAGCCCCAAGAACCGGCCTCCCGTCTCCAGAAGACGCTCTGCCACCCAGGTCCCCGAGGGCAGGGACACCCCAGGAGCCCTGTGGGGCCCACTGACAAGAATGGGACCAAGGGGGGCAGCTGGCCTGCGGACGGCACGGTCCCGGCAGGCTCCCCGCAGGAGCCACACCCACTGCCCAGCCTCTGAGGTGAGGGTGGCAGGTGGCTCTGGGGAGAGGGCACTCCTGCCAGGAGCAGCACCCAGAGCCGGCCCTTGGCCATGGAGCCGATGTTGGGATGGGGCTGAGTGCCCAGAGGGACATCCCGGGCCCCTGCCTGCAGCCAGATCCCCAGGCCAGCTGAGCGACACAGGGCCCCCACACCGAACGCCATGTCTCCCGGCAGATAGCCACTTGGAGGCGGGACATTCCCCTCCGAGAACAAGCTCGCACACCTACACTCCCCGGACGGAGCCGGCTGGGCTGCGGCAGGAAATGCTGGCCACACAGGGGTGCCCCAGCCAGGGCGAGGACGGCCTTGAGCCCCGCCGGCCGCCGGCCCCCAATGTGGTCCTGTCCTCCCCGAGCGGACTTCTCCGGGAAAGGGGCACCGCCCTGCCAAGCTGCCCGAGCCTGCGGGCCCGCGGCGTGGGAGGCCCAGAGGGAGGACACCGCCTGGCCACCAGGCCAGGGGCAGAGGCGCCCACAGCAGAGCTGGTCCTGGTTAGAGAAGACCCCCTGGTGACGTTCTCGCGCCTGGGCCCCAGCCTTCCTGCCTCCGCGGAGCTGGGAAAGCGGTGCCAGCTCGGAGCCAGGCACAGCCCCTCCCAGGAGCTGCCTCTGGAGGGTCCGGCAGGAGGCTGGGGCGTGGCCTCAGAGCTGTGCCCAGGTGCTGGGGAGCCAAGATGCTGGGCGAGTGAGGAAGGTTTCAGGGAGGGGCCCCCCCAGCCTCAGGCAGCCCTTTCCCACATCACCCCCTAGTCACACCCAGGGGTCAGGCGTCCACCTCCCACAGTAAGTGGGAATGGCAGCTGCAGGTGTAGGTAGGTGGTGGGGCGGGGTCTGCAGGCAGCTCGGCTTTCTATGGGCCCTGGCTGCCGTGAGCTGTTTGCAGTGTCCGCCCGCCGGCAGTGAGCACCCCCGGCTGGGAGCACCGGGAGCCTTGATGCTCTAGAACAGCCAAGCAGGGGGGCAACTGAGTGGACAGGAGGCAGATAGGAGGCCCTTTGCCTCCTCTGGGGGCGCTCCAGAGCCCCAACTCCTTCCTACTCAGAAGCTTTCTGACCCCACTCCTGGGCACTTGGGCCCCAGGCAAAAAGGCCAACCTCTCCTGAGGCCCTGGCTGGCGCGGCTGAACCAGCGCTGCACAGTGGAGCTGACCACAGTGTCCGCCAGACAGGCCTCACTGTGCCTGCAAGCTCCCCCTCCCTAGGCTCCACCACCACAGCTGGTGGGGCTGAGGGCTCAGCTCATCAGCCAGGCCCTTCGCTTGGGGCAGCTCCGGGAGGCACATGTGCTCCCGCCCTTGTGCGTGTCCAGGCCTTGTGCGTAGCTGCGAGCCAGGAGCGGGGAAGGGAGAGGCTCCGAGGGGGTGAGGCGTTGGGGACCTGTCTCTAGTGCTTGTACTTGGCACCAATGTCGGCTGCCAGCCACTGCCAACACACACGTCACCTTCCAACACCAGCGCGGGGCCCGGAATGCTGACACTAGCAAGTGACGCTCTGGACGGACTCTCTCTGTTAATCTTTTTCAAACATCGTCTTCAGGTCCCCGTTTACAAAAACCCCAGTCAAGCAAGCTTGCCCACCTATGCTGAAGGTTGGAGCCTCGCCCCGCTCCCCAGAGGAAGGCGGCGCCGCCAGCCTGCCCCCCGGAGGGTGCGCCAGGGCTGAGCAGGCGCTTCCTGGGACACTCTGTCCGCAGGAGGCTCAGGACAGGCTCGCATGGAGCCAGCCCAGCCCTGGCTCGGGGAGCCCAGGCCGGCACAGCTGCCCAGTCTCCTGGCCAAGCGCTCCCCACGCCCCAGGCCAGGCCCGGGCCCGTGTGCACGGCTCCCGCAGGCAGGGACCAACCACTGCGCCGGGCGGCTTCCTTCCGGAGCCCCCGATGGTAGCCGCCGTGGGCCCGCACCCCACTCCGCCCACGGGGGAGTGCCCGGCCGTCACGGGAGGCGCCACCTCCCGGGCTGCCGTCAGGTTCGCCTCCGGCCGGACTCCTGGTCCAGGCCAAGACCCGGTCACGCTCGGAGGACCAGCGGGTCTCGGCCGCTCGCGGGCACGTCCTCACTCCTCCCTCTCGGAGCCGCCTCGGTTCCCAGGAGGGCGGCCGGCGCGGTGAGCGCTCCGTGAGCACGTGCTGGGCCGGAGGCTACGGGCCCGGCCACGCGGGGCGCACGCCGGTCACCCACCCGGACTGGGTCCCAGCGGCGCCCCGCGCCCCCGCCGCGCGGCCACGTGGCCGCGGGCCCCGCCCCTCTGCGCCGGCCCGGGAGCCGCACCGGGCCCACCGCCCCCAGGCCGGCACTGGCGCCCGGGCCCCCGACGGCGCGGAGCCGCCGGGCCGCCCGTCCCCTGCCCCTGGGCCTCCCGGCAGGCGCGGCGGCCTCGGCGCGGGCCACGGTACTCACACGCCAGCCAAGGACGCGGCGGCCGGAGGGAGAGCTCGCGGCGGGCTGGCTGAGGAAAGGAGGCCGCCGGGGCGCGCACGGGAAATGAGACCGCGGGACCGACCACGCCACGCGGACGGAGACGCAGGGGAAGCGGTTCGTGCGCCCGCCTCGCCCCGCCGCCAGGGTCCGCCCTGCGACCCTCCCCGCGGCTGCAGAGACGGAAGCCAGAGGGACACGCCCACGCAGCGTGTCTCTTCCCCGGAGGAGCCGGAGCAAACGGCTGGGAACCGAAACCAAACCCACCCGGCCCCCCCCCGCTGTGGGCTCAATGGACTCGTCGGGATGGGGCGGAACTGACCGGCTGCGCGCGCTGCGTGAAGCACGAGGGGCGGGCCGGAGTGACGCACGGGGGCGTGTCCTAGGGACGCTGGGGGCGGGCCGGAGTGATGCGCGGGGGCGTGTCCCAGGGACGCTGGGGGCGGGGCAAGCTTGTCTGCACCAGGGAGACAAAAGGGAGGGCCGCAGTTAGCCCCGCCCCGCCCCGCCCCGCCCCGCCCCGCGCGGCCCGCCGGGCTTCTGGCTCCCGCGCCCCCACCGCCGCCTCCATGTACCCCACGGGCCCTCTGGCTGGTCCGGCCCCGCGGCGCGGCCGCCACGCCCCGCCCGGGCGCCCGGCGCAGACGCCGCGGCCTCCCGCCCCCGCCCCGGGCCCCGCCGCGCGGCCCCGCGTGGCCGTGAAGATGGCCTTCCGAAAGGCCTACTCCATCAAGGACAAGCTGCAGGCCATCGAGCGCGTCAAGGGTGGCGAGCGGCAGGCCAGCGTGTGCCGCGACTTCGGCGTGCCCGGCGGCACGCTGCGGGGCTGGCTCAAGGACGAGCCGAAGCTCCGCTGGTTCCTGGAGCAGCTGGGCGGCGAGGCGGGCACGCAGCGCAAGAAGATGCGCCTGGCCAACGAGGAGGAGATCGACCGCGCCGTGTACGCGTGGTTCCTGGCGCTGCGCCGGCACGGCGTGCCGCTGTCCGGGCCTCTCATCCAGGCGCAGGCCGAGGCCTTCGCGCGCCAGATCTACGGGCCCGAGTGCACCTTCAAGGCCAGCCACGGCTGGTTCTGGCGCTGGCAGAAGCGCCACGGCATCTCCAGCCAGCGCATCTACGGCGAAGCCGAGCCGCCCGCCGCCCGGCCCGCGCTCGGCCCGCCGGTCAAGCAGGAGACCCCGCCGCCCCCGGGCGCCGCCCCCCGGCCCGCCCGCGCCCCGGCCCCGCCGCCCCCGGCCGAGGGCGCCTACGGCGACGAGCAGATCTACAACGCCAACGTCACCGGCCTCGACTGGAGGCCGCTCCCGGAGCAGGCTGCGCCCCTGGGCGCGGGGGACGGCGGCCGGCGGTGGCGGGGCGACCGGGTGACCGTGCTGCTGGCCGCTAACCTGACCGGCAGCCACAAGCTGAAGCCGCTGGTCATCGGGCAGCTGCCAGACGCGCCCAGCCTGCGGCACCACCCTCGGGACAAGCTCCGGGCCTCCTACCGCTACAGCCCCGACGCCTGGCTCAGCCACCCCCTGCTGCGGGGCTGGTTCTTCCAGGAGTTCGTGCCCGGCGTCCGGCGCCACCTGCGCCGCCGCTGCCTGCAGCAGAGGGCCGTGCTGCTGCTGGCCCCCCCGCCCTGCCCCAGCCCCGCGGCCCGGGCGCCCGCCCTGGAGGAGAGCGAAGACACCCCCCAGAGGTTCCGGTCCGAGCTTCTGGGCCCCCCGGAGGAGCTACAGACCCCCGACGGGGCCGTGCGAGTGCTGTTCCTGCCCCAGGACAGCGGCCGGCTGCACGGCCCCGCGCCGCGGGAGCAGGGCGTGGGGGCTGCGTTCCGGCAGCTGTACCGGCGGGAGCTGCTCCGCCTGGCCGCCCGCGCTGGGGGCTCCCCGCTGGACTTCGCCCGCAGCTTTGTGCTCGGGGACATGCTCTACCTGGCCGGCCTCTCCTGGGACCTGGTGCAGGCCGGCGGCATCCAGCGGTGCTGGCTGCTGGGCTTGCGCGCCGCCTTGGAGCCGCAGGCAGGCGAGGGCGCCGGGCGGCGGGCTGGGCAGGCCGGGGCGGCCGAGCACAGGAGGGTGCTCAGCGACCTCAGCCGCCTGGCAGCCCTGGCCTACGAGCGCCTGGCACCTGAGGAGGTGGCCGAGTGGCTGCACTTGGACGGCGAGGGGGGGCTGCCCGAGGGCTGCGGGGAGGACGCGGGCCCCGGCCGGCCCCCCGCACTGGCCCCTGTGGCCCCTCTGTCCCTGGGCAGCCTACCCTCGGTCATGGAGAGTGGGGAGCAGGAGGCGGCGGCCACCACACCCACCGCTGGGGAGGCAGTTCGGGGTCTGGAGACCGCTCTCCAGTGGCTGGAGAGCCAGGACGCCAGGGAGGTGGGGCCCCTGGACCTGGTGCAGCTGCGCTGCCTGATCAGCACAGCCAGGAGGCTGGGGAGCATCGGGCCCGCCCCCGCAGTCCCCCGCCACCGGGTGTGACAAGCCAGTCCTGTTGGCCCCAGGGGCCTTGGTCCTGTCAAACCTGGAAGGAGAGGCAAGTCTCCCCTTTGCCCTCCCCGGAGTGGCCACCCGGGGTTGGGGGTTACAGGGACTCTTGTGGGCTCTTGGTGAAGGGTTGTCTTGCTCCACTGGCTCCCCAGTCTCCCGGGGAGCTGGAAGAGAGGCCCCTACTCCTGCTCCCTGCTGCTGGAGCCAGGAGGTCTGGGCTCAGCCAGGACCCCTCCCATGCACACTGGCTCCTGCACACACGGCACCGGTCAGCACAGCACCACTCACTTGGCCACCAGGACCCCAGCAGCGCACCCCTCTCCCCATGCCTGGACAAGGCACGGGCTGGCCCGTCTGCCCACCCTGAGCCTCGGTGCTGTGGGTTCCTGTGGCTTCTCAGTGGGGAGGCACGACCCTTGGTTTGTTTTTATCACACTAAGGCCATTTTTACAGATGATGTGGGGGGGGGGGGTCAGTCCCCAGCCTGGATCGAGTCTCGCTCCGGGTCTGGGAGAGTGCCCAGCCCGCAGGCCTCCTGATGTGGATGCAGCAGGTGTCTGTTCACTGGGACTCCTCACTTTCCCGAGAACATGCATTCTCCGAGCAGCTCTCTTGTTCCATGGGGTTGGCATGTGGCTGGCTTTGGGCCTGAAGGCTTGACCAATGACTGGACAAGCTCGCTGGACTCTGCCGGCAGCCACAGCCCCTCCGTCCAGGCCCAGGGCCAAGGCCACCCACCCACTTGCTGGAACAGGCTCCTGACAGCCATACGGAACCACCCTGCAGTGCCTTATCCCCAGGTGCCTCCCCTGCTGGCAGCTGGCATGGCTGGGCAGGGCCCCAGCCAGCACCTGGGCTTCTGGGCAGCGGTGTAAAGGGAAGGAAAGCTTCCTGCGTTCCAGCCCAGCTCTCATGGGGCCTGCTACCCTGTCCCTCCTGGGAGCTGCCTTCGCAGAGGTGCTGCCTGTCCTGGCCCCGGCCCTGTCATCCTGGGGACCAGAGGCTGGAGACCGGTGTTTGTGGAATGGCTGCCCCTGTGGAGGCCGCCAGAGGGCGCCCCCGAGATTTCACTCAAGTCCCTGCCCCTGTGGAGCCCGCAAACCTAGAGGGCCCTCCAGTCAGCCTCGCGGCTCCTGCTGACGGGGACCTGGGGCCGGGAGCCTGCCAAGGGTGGGGAGGCAACTGCCCATACGGGCAGCAGGCGAGGGTGCACCTGAGGCCCCAAGGCCCCAGCCTCCTTGGGCCTGTGCAGGGGTGCTGGCGCCCAGGAGGCCGTGGCAGGTTTCTTGCGCGGGAGCCAGGGCTGCGCCCCAGGAGGCGGCTCGGCCCGTCTAGGGGTCCTGGGTAAAGCGAGGTCGGCCCACACTGGCCTGGGGCTGAGAAGCTAGCTTGAAAGCCATGCAGTCTGGAGGCTGTGGCTTTGGGGGACAGGGGATGCCCTCAGGGAGCCTGTAAAGGAGTCCCCTCCAAAACCGAGGCGGGGGGGGGGGGGGGGGGGTGCCTTGGGATGGAGGCTGCAGGCGCCTGGCCCTGTGGTTCTGTCTGCCCTGGCTAAGCTCCCTGTGACATCATAGGGCACCTGCTGGAGGCTGCCTGTGGGGACCCCCGGGTTGGCAGCTAACGCTGAAATGAACCCCAGGTGTGACCTCACTCCACAGCCGGCCCCTCGCTGTTTACCGTGGGCACCAGCTTGCCCCCCTGGTTTGTGGCGGGGGCGGGGCTGCAGCGGCTCCAGTCCCTCGCACACGGCCTGAAGCTGGGGACGCCTGGAGGATCACACGCTCCCTGAAGGGGCCCTGCAGCTGGAGGTGCTGGGACAGCCGTCAGCCTGCGTCCGTTCAGTCCTGACAGCACTGACTGCTCCCACAGCAGCCGGGTCAATGAGAGCCCCACCATGGGCTTGCCAGTGGGCAGGGGAGGGCACTGCTTGCCTAGGGGGCGCCATGCTTGGGAAGAGGCCCTGCAGAGGCAGCAGCAGATGAGACGCTGAGTGAAATGGGAGAGGGAGTGCCTCCAGCGGGGAGCCCATCACGGGGACCCAGCCCGTGGGCCCACGTGCAGGGCGGGCACCGTGGCCTGGGTGAGGGTGCCCGGGTGAGGCCTGGCTCCGGTGCCGTAGCCGAGGGTGCTGTGGGCAGCCTGCTTGAGGAGTTCACCCTGGCCTCGCTGAAGGCGGAGTTCACCCTCTCAGGTGAGCCCAGGGGGGGTTTTATAATAAACGTCTCACATGCCTGCTCTAGTCTTATTTGTGTAGCTCTGACCGAGTGCTTGGGCCGAAACACCCATAGGGCCCGGCCACTGTGGCTCTGGGTGAGTGTTGACCTATGAACCAGGAGGTTAGGGTTTGAGTCCCGGTCAGGCACATGCCAGGGGACATGCAGGAGGCAGCCAATGAATGATCCTCAGCACTGATATTTCTACCTCTCTCCCTTACTCTCTGAAATCAATAAAAATATATTTATAAAAATAAAACACCTCCTATGCTGAGAAAGCGGAAGGGGATAAAATGGGACCACAGGGATCAATGGAGAAACCGTTAATGCACCAGTTCCTGGGAAAAGCCATGCAGCTGGGGGACAGGGGAGACCGGGCCGGCGGGACCGGGCTGCCCCCCCCACCCCTGAATCCATGTGTCCTCCAGGCGGCAGTGGCTGCGGGACGAGCCCACCCGGGGGCCCAGGACTGTGAGGCGACGCGTGGCTGGATGCTGGGGGTGACAGGGAGTCACTCACTTTCCCGCCTCCGCTAAGTACCGGCCACTCCGAGCTGCAGGACAGACTTTATTCCCACTTCCAGCAGAGAAAGCCCTGCTCTGAGAAGGACTCTGGCAGACCCTCTGGCAAGAGGCAGGCCCAGGTCAGACCAAAGCAGGCAGGAATGGGGGGAAGAGGGACCGCCCTTGGGGCTGCCCGGAGGCGGATGGCAGACAGGTAGGTGCGGGGGGGCTGAAGCCCGCTGGTCGGTGCAGTGGGAACGGGTGGGAGCCCGGGGAGCACCCGCCTCTGGGCCTTGGCGTGCAGAGGCCTCAGTGGGCCTTGGGGCAGAGCTGCAGCACCCCCACCAAAGGCCCACAGCTCGCCTGGCCCCGTGCCCAGCCCGGCAGTCTGCTCAGGGACATGGGAGGGCTGGGTCCTGCAGGCTGGCCAGGGATTCTCAGCACGTGTCCGAAGGCTCACCAGAGCCAGCGACACCTGCCCTTTGCCTGGAGCCCAGAGTCTCGGGAGGGCCCTGCCAGCGGAAACCTGTGTGGTCCCCTCTGGCCAAGGCCCATCCTGCCAACTCTGACGCTGCCCCCTAAGGGGCCCCCACCAACAGGGCAGACAGGCTTCGCTGAGGGAGCAGGCCTCGTGCAGATGCCTAAGTCCCATTCCAAGCTGCTCCCGCGCCCGGGACCCTGCTCGGCCTCTGCCGAGCGGCAGGCCCTGCCCCTGACCAGCACCACCAGTGCTCAGGCCTCGGAGCACACGCCCTTGAGTGGTGGCCATCACCAGGAGACCCCGTGCCAGGGGCTGGACGCTCAGGGATCCCTCCGGTCCTGCCCCTCGCGTCCCCGTGCGGGAAGCAGGCACAGCGTGAGGCTCCAGCGGTCAGAGAGAACCCGTCCTCCATAGAGGGGCTGGGAGAAGGCGTGGGGGACTCTGGGGACCCTACTTCCTGCTGAGCTCCTTGGCCCGGCAGGTGGCGGCCTCCACGGCGCTCATGGTGGCTGCCCGCAGCCCGCCCTGCTCCAGGGCGTGCAGCCCGTGGATGGTGGTGCCGCCCGGCGTGCACACGTCCGCTCGCAGCAGGGCTGGGTGCTGCCCCTTCTGCAGCAGCATCCTGGCTGTCCCCTGGGGAGAGGAGCGGGGGGCGTGACGGGACTGGGAACCCCTGCTTCCTCCCTCCACTGCGCAGCTTTGCCACAGGCCCCTCTGCTACAGGAGGCCCCCAGCCCCTTTCCCTCGTCCCCGGACCGGTCACTCACCATCAGGGTCTGGGCGGCGATGCGGTGAGCCAGGCCACTGGGCATGCCCATCTTGACGGCGCCTTCAGCCAGGGCCTCAGAGAACAGGCACGCCTGTGGGGGCGCGGGGTCAAAGCCAATGCTTCCTGGGCACAGTCCCTGGCGGGAAAGGGCTCGGACCTTCAGGGACAGGCCCAGCCCAAAGGCCCCGGAGGGCAGTGGCACGGGGGAGCCAAGCCCATGGGCAGTGGGGAGCACGCCGTCACGTCGAGGGAGGAGCGGCCACAGGGCCTTGGCCGATGGGTGGCGGGGGTGGGGGGTGTACATGGGAGGGGCAGGTAACACTCACGAAGGCCACGCCACTGCCGCTGAGGCCCGTGTGTATGTCCACCTGGGCCTCAGGCACCTCCTCGCACTGCCCGCAGGCCTCCAGCAGCGTCCGCAGGAGCTCCACCTCGCCGCTCCCCGCGTGGCGGCCCCGGGCCAGCGCCATGGCCCCCTCCTGGACCACGCAGGGCAGGTTGGGGGAGACCCGCAGCACCCGTGTGTTCGGAGGAAGCAGCTGGCCAGAGAGAGGCTGTGGTCAGAGAGCCGGGCGCACGACAGCCAGGCTCCCTCCACCTCCCTGGTGTGGCGCCAGGGGAAGCCTCACCCGCCCTGAGCCGCCCGGCCATTCTGCAGGCTGGCTGCCACTGCCCCCCTAACACCCCCCCCCCCCCAATGCTGAGCCCAGGCTGGAGCCTCATTGCCCCCTCCCCATGGGCCACTCACCTCCTCCAGGGAGCTCAGAGAGACCCCGGCAGCCACAGACACCAGGATGTGCTCAGGGGTGACCACTGGGGCCACCTCTGCCAGGACAGCGGGCAAGACGTGGGGCTTGGTGGCGAGGAAGACCAGTGAGCAGCCCTGCAGCACCTCCTGGTTGGAGTGGGTGGTCTGGCAGCCCAGAGCCTGTACCGGGAGCACGGGGACCAGGACGGGTAAGTGGGCACCTACCGAGACCCGGCCCTCCTGGCTGGAGGCCACAGTGCATTTATTTCCATGGCTTCCTGGTCTCTCCCATTGCAAATGCCTGCACACCCCCCACTGCCGACTCACCCACACCACCCGCTCCCGCCCTTTACTCTGCCATGGCCCTCCACCACCTTGACTTTCCTCCTGGCCTCTGGCCTCCGCTTCCCCAGCCCAGCCCAGCCCGCCTCAGACGTGAGCTGCGTCGGCAGTGCTTCCCTGGCCCCGAGAAGGGGCTCAGAGGGGCAGGAGCCACGAGCCCGGGTCCCTGGAGGGAGCCTCAGTTCAGAAGAGCTGGGCCCGGCTCACCCGGAAGCGACAGAGGTTCCTGTCGGTCGGTGCACTGGCCAGCACCTGCTGGGCTTCCACTTTCCCTGAGAGAAAGGCGAAGGGCTGGTGTTACTGAGGGGGTGGGGGGAGTGGGGGAGAAGGTGGGGAGGAGCGGGCAGGCCCGCCCCTTCCTGCAGATGGCCCTGGGCTGCCTGAAACTCTCCACGCACCCACGTACTCAGCAGAGGTGCTCCCTGCAGCCAGGACCTGACAAGCGGGGCACTGCATTCTACGTGGCAGACCCGGCACTCCTGCTCCGAGCCCAGAGGCCCTGCTGGCCTCCTCCTGTGAGGACACGGACTCCAGGGGGACATGAAGGTAGGGAGGCCCGAGGGGGTGGCTGCCCTGGTGCTCCTGTGCTGGGACCTTCACGCAGAGGCGGTTTGTTTGATAGAAACACCTGTTGGTGCAGCGCGGCCAGGAGGCCGGTGTCTGTCATGTCTAACAGGACGCAGATGTGCACCCCAAACCTGAGCCACAACGGACGTGGCTGTGAAGCCCACTGTGCCCCACACGGAATGCAGAGCGCCCGGGGGGCAGGTGACACGGATGGTCTCACAGGCACAACACCTGGGACTCGCAGTGCACTGCTGTGTGCCGGTTTGGACCCCGGGCCTTCGTGTGGCGCCAGCCCTTCTCCCCAGGAGATGGCTTTAGTGACTGGGAGGCGGGGAGACTCTCACGTCCCTCCCAGCAAACCAGTTTCTCCGCAGGAGATGACGGGCCCCCTGTCCTCGGCGCAGAGGTTGAGGTCCTGTAGGGTCACGGGGAGGGAAGCTGGCGTACAAACAGGAAAAAGGATCAGGGCTCAGAGGCCAGGGCGCTGGCGGGGGAGCCAGGCTCTGAGCAGCGCTGCCCCAAGAGAGGACACTGGCTCCACGTGGACCTGCATGGCCTCGTTGTCACGTGAGGCCAGGAGGCCGCTCAGGTGAGGTCAGGGTGCTGTCTCTTACCTAACCCCCAAGAGTGCCCTTAACATAACTCACTAGGGCACCCTTTTCCTTTGTCTGGGCCAAACCTCCACCCCCGCGGGCACTGTACTCGCTACCCTCCGCCCTTTTCCGTCCGGCCCGGCCGCACGCCGGGCTCTACGGCCACGGCTGGTGGGTGCTGTGGGGGCAGCGACTCCGGCTGTTCTCAGCGGCGAGGCGAGGTCCGAGGGCAGGTCCGCCCGCCCGCTCCGCCCCGGGACCCCAGCGTGCAGGCCCCGGGCTGCCAGGCGCCGCCCGGAGGTTCGGCGGGACCCATCCCCGCGGGCAGTGAGCTCGCCAGGCAGGCCCGGCCCTCTCACCAGCCCGGCGTCGGCCGTCCCCGCGCCCGCGGCCTCCCACCTGCTCGGATGAGGCCCTGCGCGATGGCCTCCGCCATGCGGCCCGCGCCCACGAAGCCCACGCGCCGAGAGGCCGGTTTCGCAGCCGCTACCGCCGCCATCGCGCTGACCCGGCGCCCCAGGCCCCGCCCCCGCCCCGCCCCGCCAATGGCTACGCCGCGCCGCGCCGCCCCCGTCATTGGCTCTCTGGGCCGCGCGCCCCGGCCCCTCCCGTCGGGCTCTGCGCACTACAGCTCGCGGAGCGTCCCGCCCTCCCCTCTCATTGGCGTCAGACAGCCGGTGGGCGTGGCGTGGGCGGGACGCCGGCTCGGCCCCGGAGTCGCGCGTGGAGCGCGGCTGGCGGGAGCCCGGTCCGGCCGGAGAGCGGCGGCGGCCGGGGCCAGCGCGGGTCCTGCTCCCTAAGGGCGGCTGGAGAAGCCCCGTTCAAAGGGGCAGGGTCTCCCCCGACCTGTCCCGCAGGTCCGTGCCCGGTGGTCTCCCTCGTGGGGACACTGCGGAGCCCGGAGCCTCTGGGCAGCGGGGAGGCAGGAGAGCGGGGGCCCCCCGAGTGCCCGGCGGCCAGGGCCGGTCATCGAGACCGACCGGGAGCAGGGCCGGGCCTGGCAGTGCGTGTCCCGTTAATTAGGAAAGTAGGGCCGAAGCTGCGCCATCGCAGTTGGTGTGGAGTTTGCTGTTCCCCAGCCTGACGCACTGATTGCCCTGCAGTGTGGCCCGCTCCGGCCAGGACGCGGCTGACCCTCGTGAGGACCATTCTGTGTGCATGGGCTGGGAGCCTGCTCCTCTGTGCACACAGGACAAGCAGGGCGCTCAGGGCCCGGCTGCCTGCATCCGGCCAGGCATGTCCAGGCCTCCGCTGGGTGCTGGCCTCCTTCCCACTGTTGTCACCGAGCAGGTCCCAAGCGCTTCCCCTCACCCTCAATCCCCACAGAGAGCCTTCCTTCCCGAAAGCCCAGTGTCCAGGTTACACGGGAGGGTCCTGGAGATCCCAGTGTTTCCAGACAAGCAAACAGCTTGTCTGGAGGGAGGGACCGCCACTGCTGAGCCCACGGGGAGGCACTGACTTTGGGGCTCCAGGGCCAGCCATGGGGAGGCCCGTGGGGTCAGTGCCTGGGCGGCGACAAGGACAGCGGGAAGTCAGCGGGCCTGGGGAGAGGTGGGCGCAGGTGGCTGCCGTGGCCCACGCCTCGGGGGGGTCCCGGGGCTTGGGCAGGCAGTGCTGGGGTGGCAGACAGCGGGCACAGAGTGAAATGCACTTTATTGGCTCCCAGGAGGATGAGATCAGAAGTGGACACACAGGACCTGGGCTCTGGGCCTGAGCAGTGGGGTGCGGGGCCCGGCCAGGCCTCGGTCTCCCTGAGGAATGTGCGAACGGTGACCCCCTGGACAGCTGCCCGAAGCCTCCCTGCGGAGGGGTGGAAGGTGGGCAGTGGCTGGGCTCCAGCTGGGTCTGAGGGGGTTGCCACTGGGCTCTGCCAGCGGAGCGGCCGCGGGGTCTGGGGGCAGTGGCGCCGGCCCATGGCCACCTCACTTCCGCGCCTGCTCGTAGTTGGCACTGAACCAGGCACAAGTCTCCTTCACAGCTGCAGGGGCAGGCGGGGGCGGCGGGTGAGGGCAGGGCGGCATGGACCTCCAAGGGAGGAAGGGTAGCTGGGGTCCCCTGCCTCAGAGGACAGTCACCCCGTTTCCTGCTGTCTGATGAGGGTTTGAAGACAAAGCCTGCCAGGCGTCCACCCCTGGCTGGAGTCGGAAGCCGAGGCCTAGAGCAGGGCAGTGGCCGCCCAGGGTGAGGGACGGGGGCGGAGGGCCGTGGGGGGGGGGCTCACCCTGCTTGAAGGGCGTGAACCGGAAGTCGGGCAGGTAAGCCCGCAGCTTGCTGTTACTGGCCGTCTTCTTAAACTGCCCGTCCGACTTGGTGGTATCAAACTGGGAGCCTGGTCAAGGCCATAGCAGAAGGGGCAGCCCGGCCCCCGCCTCTCCCGGCAGGCTCTGCCTCCAGCTCCCAGGGTGAGCCCCGTCCCGAGAGGGCACACGGAGCCAAGGATACGGTGACCTCCCCGTGGAAGTCCATGGCCTCCGCCACGGCCTCGGCGGCCTCCTGGATGGAGACTTCGTCCTCCTCGCCCACTGCAGGGAGCGCGGCCCCGGCCCGGTCAGCCTCCGCGGCCCGGCCCCCGCCCCGCCCCGCCCCGCCGCCCCCGCCTGAGCCGCCGCGGCGGTGCCCACCTGACAGGATGATGGGCTCCACCTCACTGTACTCCCGCAGCACCCAGAGGAAGAGCCGGGCCAGGTCCTGGTCAGCCAGGCAGGCAAAGCCACAGGTCACGGCCGCATGGGCCCAGCCACCTCCTCCACGCAGCCCTGTGAGCCCGGCTCCCTCCCTCTGGCCAGTCCTCGGCCAGCTCACCCCCAGCGGATCCAGTCCTCCCTCCCGCAGAGCTCAGAGCTGCACCCAGCAAACCCCATGGGGCTCCGCGAGGACCAGTGGCTGCTCCTCCCCAGGCTCCCCCACACCCACTCCCCCACCCCGCAACCGGCGAGGCCGGCCGTCTGGGCCAGTGGGGCGCCCTCCAGCACGAACCAGTGAGTAGATGAACTGCCTCCGGGGCTTCCCGGTGCCCCACACGGTCAGGGCCGAGCCCCTGCCTGCACATGCGGGGAGGGGCGTGTCAGAGGCCGTGGCAGTCACCGCACACCTCCCCCGCTGAGCCCCAGGGGCGCGTGGGGAGGGCGGCACTCACTCTTGGCCAGGTGCACCTTATGGATCAGGCCGGGCAGCACGTGGCCGTCCTCGATGTTGAAGTTGTCATGGGGCCCGAAGACGTTGGTGGGGATGACGGCGGTGAAGGTGCAGCCGTGCTGCTGGAAGTAGGCCCTGCAGAGCACGACAAGCCCTCCGGCCCTCGCTCTCCACCGCTCGCTCTGCCCATCCACCCCGCCTGGGCCCCCCAGAAATGGGATAACCAGCAGAGGAGGCCTGGGAGCCCCACAGGACACCCACTGGGCCCCCCACCCGCGAGCCCTCTCCCCTGTCCCTGGCGGGCCCAGCTGGGTGGTGCCAGGAGGACCTGTTCTGCACGTCGATCATCCGCTTGGCGTAGGAGTAGCCAAAATTGCTGCTGTGCGGTGGCCCGTTGTGGATCTGGGGCGGGGGGGGACAAGGAGGGTAGAGCAAACCGCTGCTTCCAGGCCCGGCTCCACCCGCCCCTGCCCGCCCGCCCGCCCGCCCGCCCGCGGTCTCACCATGGTCTCATCGATAGGGTAGGTGGTCTTGTCAGGGAAGATGCAGGTGGACAGACAGGAGACCACCTTGCGTGCTCCCACCTCGAAGGCCGAGTGCAGGACGTTGTCATTGATGTGCACGTTCTTCCTCTGGGGGTGGGGGGCAGGCTCAGGCCCCTCCAGGCAGGACCCCAACCCCAACCTGCTCCTCCAGGGACAGAAGTGGGGACACACCCTGGCTCCTCCAACAGGCACAGTGCCTGGGCCCGCTGGTCTTAACCGCCCTGCCCCTCCGTCTGTGACATCCTGAGCTGGCAGTCCCACTCCCAGGGCTGTAGGGGGGCTGGGCCTGTCTTCCCTTCCCGGGGCCTGGAGGAGGGGGCCCCACCCCTCAGCTCAGGACGGGGCCCCAGCTATGGGGCTGCCCAGGCAGGGGCAGAAGGAGCTCAGTGGCCCAGCTCACCCGTCCCACAGGCGCTCATCCCACGCTCCTGCCCCGTCCCCACCCTCCCAGGGCCCCACCTGCCCCCTGGAAATTGGACATGAGGTCCCCAGCATGTGGACTGGCCTGGGGAGAAGGGAGAGGGAGAGGGTGGCCAGGCTGCAGAGAAGGCGGTGACTGGAAGGAGGGCCCTAGCCGTCGGGGCCCCCCAGACAGAAGCTGGTCCGAGCTTCTGCCGTCCCAGTGCCGGGGTACAGGGCTGAACCGCGCCAAGGCCAACTGCCCAGGATGGTGAGGCCATTCTCCTCCCGCCCCCTACAGTGCGCCCCCGTCCTCCCGAGAGCGCATGCCACAGACCAGCGCCCAGGTCACACGGCTGCGCCCGGCGTACCGGGCTCCGAGCCGCTGGGCCAGCGGTCCCGGGAGCAGGCGCATCCGGAAGCTCCAGGGGCAGGAACCAGTTGTGTGTCCTCAGCTCCCCCGCCTACAGGGCAGCTCCCTGGCTTGTTCTGTTGGGCCAAGTGCCCCCCCAGACCCACCTGCCTGCCCCTCCGCCCACAGCTGTGCCCAGGGGCCTTCCTAGCACTGAGTGTGGGAAGCCAGCCAGGGAGTTCCCAGAAGCCGGCTCCTGGCTCCCGTGCTCACCCAGAAGTCCAGGTTGTATTTAATATTCCGGAACAGGCCCCCCACCATGGCAGCAAGATGGATGACGTGCGTGGGCCGGACCTTCTCGAACAGGGCTCGGGTCTGCGCAGCGTCCCTGGGGACAGCGGGCGGTCAGCGCCTGGAAGGCCGAGGGGACTAGCCCCCTGGCTGTGAACTGCAGACGGGCTGGGCAGGGCCCACGGCGGGCTGTGCTGCCCCGAGGCGAGGTGCCAGGTCAGGGCCCGCTGCTGGGAGGGTGTGGGAGGATGTTTGCCCTGGAGCAGCACTGTGCACACCCAGGCCACGCCAGCCACCTGGCGGGGAGGGTGCGGACCCGAGGCCACCAGGCCCGGAGCTCTGTCAGGGGAGGGCCTGGGGGGAGGGGTGCTCCAGGGATGGGCTCACTCACGTGAGATCGGCGTCCTTGGAGGAGACGAACACCCAGTCCTCTCCTGGCAACCTGGCCCCGTCGGCTACCACCTTCTGGATGGCTCTGCCCACCAGCCCGGAGCCCCCTGTCACCAGGATCCGCATGGACCCTTGGGGCTCACCCATGGCGGCTGCACCTGACAGCCAAAGGGTGTGAGGGTGAGGCATCCTGTTTCTCTCCAACAGAGCCCTAGGCGCCCGGGGTGCTCTTTCAGGGGCCCCCACCGTCCAACGGCTGGCTCAGGATGCTGCCCCGCCACCCCAACCCCCGCTCGAGTCGCCCGTCCTCCCCTCCCAGCCAAGACCGCCTGTCCCACGTTCCACCTGTCCCAAGCCTCGGCGCACCACCACCCTATCTTGGGGCCTGGAAATCGGCTTGAATCTCTACCCCGCAGCAGGGCCCCCTGTCCAGCCACGACAGGAGGGGCCCTGCCCAGACACCCGCTGCTCCGCCCGCACAGGCAGCCCAGCAGCAGGCCTGTGGGGAGACCCCGCGCGTCCAGCCCCCCACCGCTCCCTCGGACCCCTCCTTAGGCCAGAGCCACCTAGAGCCCGCGGGTTCCCTCCCACGCCCCCAGCCCTCCCCGAAACCCTTCCACAGACCCGGCAGCCGGGCCCCCTCCCCCGTCCCCAGGACCCGCTCCGCCCTGGATACCCATCCACGCCCCCGGGTGCCAGCACCCCTCAGGCTCCCGGCAGTCAGGGAGCGCCCAGGGCCCAGACCCGGCTCGCGACGTCTCCCCCGCCCCCTCGGCGTTCTAGGGGTCTCACCTGCACCCACTCCACCCCACCTGCCCGGCTGCCGGTGGCCACTTCCGGCGCTGGCCGTGTGCAGCCGCGCGCCGGAGCCAGGTGGGGGCGGGCCCGAGCCCCGTGGCATGCGGGGACATGGAGTCCTGCCGCGCGCGGCGCTGCCGTGAAGTGGACTCCGGGACCGCGCGGCATCCTGGGAAATGTAGTTCTCGACGGGTCTGCAGCCGCGGGCGGTTCTGGTCCCGGCGCCGTGGCCTCAGGGTGCTCGGGCCACAACCGACCGGGGCGCGGGGCGGAGGGTGGGAAGCACGAGAGGAGAGGCTCCAGCCCCAACTGGGAGGAGCGGCAGTTACTAGCGGAGAAGCCGAGGCGCGCCGGCTGGGACTGGCCCCGGTCGGTGTTGCCGCAGAGCCGGCCGGACTGCGGGGCAGGGTCCGCGACGCGTGTGGAGCCCACCACGGCCGACCCGGCTACCGACCGGGTCCAGCGGGAGCCCACGGTGATCCCGCCTTGGTCTGGGGGCTGCGACCCCAATGCCTGAGTTCGCCCGAGAAACTCCAGCCAATGGGTGGGGGGGAGGATCATGGTGGGATAAAGACACATATGTGATACCTAAATCAATAAAGAAGAAAAATAAAGAAATGCCAGCCAAGCTGACCCATTCCACGCGCGGTGGGCGGGTCCCCTACTGGCTCCTCCTCTTCCTCCCACAGGCCCGCCCCCATCCTAGCGCAGGCCCCGCCCCTTTTCTGTCTCGCCATGGGGCTGCCCCTAGGCCCCGCCCCTCCACTCGGTCCCTGGATTCAGCCTTCCCCGGCTCAGGCGCTCAGTATGCGCCCCCCCACCTTGAGGCTCCGCCCCCCCACGTGCACGCTTCCAGGCCGCCCCTGAGCCGACCTTCGACCCCGCCGCCCGCGCTCGCTCAAGCCCTGCCCACACCACCTCTAGGCCCCGCCCACCCATTCATAGGCCCCGCCCACACCACTTCTAGGCCCCTCCCCCGTTGCGGGCAGGCGCCCAGGCCCAACCGTCTTCACCCACCCTGGCCCGCCTTGGCTCACGGGCATGCTCGCTTAAGGCAAAGTTGTTTGCATTTGAAACTTGTCACGAATTCCTTTTAAAGTTACACGCGGATCTTCTTCAATTATTTGCTCAGTTTTGTTTAATATCGAGGCATTTCACTTACTACTTCTCTTACCTCCGCGTTTTTTTCCTATCAGCACACAGCCCTTCTTCTTAAGCTGGTAAATAATTGACTTTGCCCTGTTGTTTTTTTGTTTGTTTGATTAATATATTTTATTGATTTTTTTACAGAGAGGAAGAGAGAGGGATAGAAACATCGATGAGAATTATCGATCAGCTGCCTCTTGCTCCTCCCCTACTGGGGATGTGCCCTCAACCAAGGTACATGCCCTTGACCGGAATCGAACCTGGGATCCTTCAGTCCGCAGGCGACGCTCTATCCACTGAACCACACCGGTTGTGGCAGCCCCGCTCCTCGGAGCCCGCACGGGCCGGGACGGCTGGAGGAAGGGGGCTCTGGGGTCAGCGTCTCCGTGGACAGCTCACGGGAGACTAGACCCTCCACGCTGCGGGGCAGGCCGCGCCCCCGGCGGAGGCTGAGATCGCTCCGCACCAGGTGCAGCCCCGACCCCGACCCCGACCCCTCTCCCTCCCTCCCCGCCCCCCTCCCTCCCCGTCGCCCCCTCCCTCCCCGTCGCCCCCTCCCTCCCCGTCGCCCCCTCCCTCCCCGTCGCCCCCTCCCTCCCCGCCCGCCTCGCCCGGCCGGAAGGCCCGACCACCGAGAGGCCGCCTAGAGCCGACCCGGAAGTCCAGGGGCGGGGCCTGGGCGGACTTCCGGCCGCGGAGTGCGGCCGCCTGCGGGCTTTGTCGCCGGCCTGCAGGCGGGCGCCGGGCTCGCCGCGGGGCGCTGTCTCCTCACCGGCGCCGGTGAGTGGCCGCTCCGGCCGCGGGGGAGGCGGGGCGGGCGGATCGGGCGGGGCGGGCGGCGGGCGGAGCGTGGGCCTCGGGGAGCCGGTCTCCCGCGGCCGTCCGGGCGGCGCGGCCCCAGCTCCTCCCTGCGGCGGCGGGGCCGGGCGGCGGGGGCCGGTGGGGGCCGGTGGGGACCGCGGCCGCCCCGCCCGAGGAGCGGTCCGGGACGCTGCACCGCGTGGGCCCCGAGGCCCTGTGAGCAGGAGACCCGGCCCGGGTGCGGGACGGGGTCCCTGAAGGCTCCCCCGTCTGATGTCCACACGCCACGTCACGGTCGCGGGGTCCTCGGGGCCTGAGGTGCGTTAGTCCGCGAGCCCTAGCTCCCAGCACCCCTTTCCGCAGCCCCCCAGGCCCAGGGGGGTGAGTGACAGCAGCGGCGGACGCCGGGCTCCCCAGGGCTCCCCAAGCTCCCACACACCCCGCTCCTCCCGCGGGGCCGGGGCTGGGGCCCCGATCACAGTGTACCGTTGTTCACGTTCCCACTGATGTCAGGGAGGAGGGGGAGAGAGAGACATCCCTGGTGAGAGAATCCCTGACCCGCCGCCTCCGGCCCCCCCACGGGGGATGGAGCCGCACACCCGGCAGCAGGTGCCTGACCGGAATCAGAGCTCAGCCCTGAGCCCCCGGGCGGGCGGTGCCAGGGCGCCCCTTCCAGGGAGCAGCTGACCCCTGGGCGGCGCCCTGGAACCGGGGAGGGAGCTGGGAGCTGTCCGGCTGTGCGGTGCTGCCTGGGCCTGGAGGGTGACAGGTGCAAGGACACTGGACATGGGAGCAAGAAGGGTGCTGACGTCCTGGGCAGAGCCCTGGGGGCAGAAGCGGGATGGCGTTGGGGAGGGGAGGGGAAGGGAGGGGGTGGTGAGGAGGGCGGTGTGAGAAGGACGTAAGAAAACCAGGGAAGCCCTAACCGGTGTGGCTCAGTGGATAGAGTGTCGGCCTGTGGACTCAAGGGTCCAGGTTTGATTCTGGTCAAGGGCATATGCCTTGGTTGCAGGCACATCCCCAGTGAGAGGTGTGGGGGAGGCAGCTGATGGATGTTTCTCTCCCATCGATGTTTCTAACTCTATCCCTCTCCCTTCCTCTCTGTGATAAGTCAATTTAAAAAAGAAAGAAAGAAAGAAAACCAGGGAAGCACTCACCAGCGCACAGGTCCCTCACGCAGCGGCAGGAGCATAGGTTGATGGGGCGCACAGGGGCACGGGGTCCCAGCGGCTCCAGCCCACGTCTCTCTCAGCGGCTCGTATTCCTTGTTCTCCAGCCGAGAGGCACCTCCTGCTCCCTCTCTAGGGCCCTGGGAGCCCGAGGCCCCCTCACCAGTGCCAGGTGAGAGGCACGGTTTGGTTTCTAGTCCCTCCCGTAGCCACCCGAGCCAGCCGCTCGGGACTGCTCACAGGTTCGAGCTCCCAGCTCAGCTCTCCTTCCGCTCCAGCTCCCAGGCCTGCCCACGCCCTGAGCACCAGCTGTGCATTACAATGCCTGTGTATTTTACCCAGCAGAGGATGGTGTGTTTTTACTTCCTTTTGTTCACTTCCTTTAGGCTTCTTTTCCCCCCCCCATCTGGTTTCTTTAAATGAAAGAAGGGTATTGTGGACTGAAGAGTCCTGGGTTCAATTCCGGGCACATGCCTGGGTTGTGGGCTCCATCCCCAGTAGGGGGCGTGCAGGAGGCAGCCGATCAATGATTCTCTCATCATTGATGGTTCTCTCTCTCTCTCTTCCCCCCCTCCCCCTTCTCTCTTCCTCTCTGAAATCAATAAAAAGATATTTTTAAGACAGGACCACACTATGCCCACCCACCTGGGTCCTGGATTCGAGCACCAATTTTATTTTTCTTGATAGAAGGGGAGCCGAGCATAATGGAAAGCTTGCTGGTGTTTAGCTGAGTGTTTATTCAAAGCACGGCATACCTGACTTTGAAAACTTCCTCTGAAGTTAAAAAACTGCACCAATGCAGCACAGCTGCCAGCCGTTTTCAGGTATCCATACACACCGAGTGGCCAGATGATCTCTGAACGCATAACAATCTGGCCCCTCCGTGCAGATCCTATTTCCTAAATTAAGGGGAATGACGAGGCTTGCACTGTGAGCTTGCTTTAGTAATACCCATCCAGCCTATATAGCAGCCCTGTCGGTGCCACGGCCACCCGCAAAGGGAGCAGCCCTCCGCCTGGCAGCGGCACCGGAGGCCGCAGACCTGGGCCTGACCTAACTCTGGCCCTTCCTGGTCCGGCCTCCGTTTCCTCGTCTGCAAATAAAGTAGCAGTACCAGCTCCTCTTCAGGTCGGGAGGGGTGTTGGCGAGCGTGCGGGTCCGGGCGAAGGAATATGCCTGCTTCAGGCTCCAGGGGCACCCCTCTTCCCCCCAGTTCTGAACCCGTGAGGCAGGCGAAGAGCAAAGCGTTCCGGTTCTGCCGGCCCAGGGGGGACGGAGCTCCCCAGGCTGAGTGCCAGTTAGACGCTCACCGGCTGGCTGCAGCCCCCTCTGCCCCCCCCCCCCCCCCCCCCGGTGCTGCAGGCTGGTACAGAAGAGCTGTCCCGCCAGGAGGAGGGGCTGGGTGCCTACAGCTGCTCCCGGGCCTTTCAGTCCGGCCTCTGCAGCTCAGGGAGCACCTGTCCTCGGGACTCGGGCGTGCAGGGCTATGCTGCTCGGCGCCTGCTGGGCGCAGGGACTCAGGATCCATCGGAGGAGCTCGAAGAATGGGGGGCGCAGGTGGGGAGGGCCCAGGTGGGTGGGCATAGTGTGGTCCCGTCTTTATTTATTTACTTTTAATAATCTTTTCATTGATTTCAGAGAGGAAGGGAGAGGGAGAGACAAAAAGAAACAACAGTGATGAGAGAGAATCCTTGATCAGCTGCCTCCTGCGTGTCCCCTACTGGGGGTGGAGCCCACAACCCGGGCATGTGCCCTTGACCGGAAATGAACCCAGGACGTAGGTCCGCAGGCCGATGCTCTATCCACTGAGCCACACCAGCTAAGGCTCATCTTTATCTTTAAAGAAGGCGTGAAGGTGAGTGGTGACTCAGGAGACGTCTCGGTGAGTGTGTATAAACAGGTAACAGTACTGACCTGTGGGACTGCTGAGGGTTTTTAAGTTTCTCTCAGCATTGTTTACCTTCCTATCTTGAAAAGTAACGAGCTAAAGTGATTCTTAGAGACAGGTGGCCGATGTTTTTAAACCCAGTCAGTGGGTCTTTAAGGAGAGAAACGTTCTCCGCGGCCGCCACAGGGCTGTGGCCTCCGGGCTGCGTCACGGCCACGCCGAGGGGCCGCCTGCAGGAAGCTGGGTCCCAGACCGTTGGCCGTGGCGTGCCCAGCACAGCTGGTCCGTTAGCGGGTTCGGTTCAGTCCTCTTGTCACGGGGAGCGCTGCCTCCAGGGCCAGGGAGCTGTGAGCCGGTTGCAGCTGGGCTCACGTTGCTGTACCGGATTCAGAACGAGTGTCCCAACAGGAAACTTGATTTCTCCGGTTCCTTCTCAACAGGCAGGTGCTGGCTGCGCCCCTCGCGTGACAGAGCCTGGCTGCTGGGCCCCGTCCACATGTAGGGGGGCCTGTGGGGGTGGGGGGAGACAGGCCACCTGCCGTTCCTCTCTTCCTGCCGCCCCTTCGTCACAGGGTCACACCAGCCTCTGGTGACTCTGGGAAATGTAGTCACTGGCTGGGTGGCCATGTGCCTACTATAATCTCAAGTGCTGCCCTGGCTGGTTTGCTCAATGGATAGAGCGTTGGCCTGTGGACCAAAGGGTCCTGAATCTGGTCGAGGGCATATACCTCAGTTGCAGGCTCCTACCTGGTCCGGCCCTAATCAGGGCTTATGCAGGAAGCAACCAATCAACGTGCTTCTCTCACGTTGACATTGCTGTCTCTCTCTCTCCCACTCTCTCTAAAAATGGAGCCCTAGCCGGTTTGGCTCAGTGGCTCGAGTGTCGGCTGGCAGACTGTCCAAAATCGGTTCCAGTCAAGGGCACATGCCTGAGTTGTGGGCTTGACCCCCCAGTAAGGGGTATTTCACCCCCACCCGCTCCAGCGGGTTCCTGTCTACGAATGAGGCAGATGATGATCTTACTCTGTTTTATTTCAGGTTCTGATGCAGGAACTGGTGAGAAGGTGACTCTGGAGTCTGAATTTCTGGGAATGGAAATCCGCCAAGGACCATGTCAGAAACACTCACGGTGACGGAGACTCCTGCCCCCGAGTCTGGGGAGGTCTCTGCGCCAGGATTAGGAGGGCTGCTGGGAAACCTGGGTGGGCAGAGCCCCCCGTCTCGGGAGGGAGGTTTCAAGCAGGTGACGGTTACTCATTGGAAGATCCAAACAGGAGAGGCAGTCCAGGGGGGGAGTGGGTGCAGAGGCAACCCCGTCCTGCCCTCGGACCTCCTCATCCTCCAGAGGGAACTCATGGAAGGGGAAGCCCACCCATGCGGGACGTGTGGCAAAAGCTTCCCATTTATCTCGGACCTCGTTAGACACCAGGTTTCCCATGCTGCAGAGAAGCCTTACAGGGGTGACCAGTGTGGGAAAGCCTTCAGCCAGAGCTCCCACCTTGTTGAGCACCAGAGAGTTCACACTGGAGAACGACTCTACGTGTGCAATGCTTGTGGGAAAGACTTTGCTCACTACGCAGAGCTCGTTGAGCACCAGCGAGCGCACGCCGGAGAAAAGCCGTTCAAGTGCGCTCAGTGCGGGAAAGCCTTCTGTCACAGCTCAGACCTGATCCGACACCAGCGCGTCCATACCCGGGAGAGGCCTTTTGAATGCAAGGAGTGTGGGAAAGGCTTTAGTCAGAGCTCGTTACTCATCCGACACCAGAGGATTCACACGGGAGAAAGGCCCTACGAGTGTAACGAATGCGGGAAATCCTTCATTAGGAGCTCCAGCCTCATTCGACACTACCAGATCCACACCGAAGTGAAGCAGTATGAGTGCAAGGAGTGTGGGAAGGCCTTCCGGCACCGCTCGGACCTCATCGAACATCAGAGGATCCACACCGGAGAGAGGCCCTTTGAATGCAACGAGTGTGGCAAAGCCTTCATCAGGAGCTCGAAGCTCATCCAGCACCAGCGGATCCACACCGGGGAGAGGCCCTACGTCTGCAACGAGTGTGGGAAGCGCTTCAGCCAGACGTCCAACTTCACGCAGCACCAGAGAATTCACACTGGAGAGAAGCTTTATGAGTGCAATGAGTGTGGGAAAGCTTTCTTCCTGAGTTCATACCTCATCCGACACCAGAAAATTCACACTGGGGAGCGGGTCTACGAATGCAAGGAGTGTGGCAAAGCCTTCCTGCAGAAAGCTCATCTCACGGAACATCAGAAGATCCACACGGGGGACAGGCCCTTTGAGTGTAAGGACTGCGGGAAAGCCTTCATCCAGAGCTCCAAGCTGCTGCTGCACCAGATCATTCACACCGGAGAGAAGCCCTACGTGTGCAGTTACTGTGGGAAAGGGTTCATTCAGAGGTCCAACTTCCTTCAGCACCAGAAGATCCACACTGAAGAGAAACTGTACGACTGTAGTCAGTATGAGAAAGATTTCCACAATCACCCAAACTTTAAAAATCACCAAGGTGTTACTCAGGAGGGGCTTCCCCTGAGTAAGACCCCCGCACACTTGGGTGAGAAACCTGTGAGTCAGGAGGATCCTACAGACCTGTGATTCTGCTCCACGTCAGTGATGTTGGCCGTGGGTGGCACGAGCGTTGTGGCTCAGGTGCCTCTGGACACGGCAGCGTTTCCCATAGTCACGCGGGGCTGTCGCCTGCCGTGCAGCCATGCTGACTGGCCGGCCAGGAACCCGTGTCCTCAGGAGAGCTGCCTGGAGATAGCTGACTGAGCCGGCACAGGAGTTTGGGGCCAGAGCTAGGTCTCTAGATGTCCCTGCACAATCACAGTTCACCCCTGGGTTAAGGCCCCCGTGGAGGAGAACCATGTCCACTCACTGAACAGAGCGATGGAGCGGTTTAGATCTGTCAGAAGAGGCACGGAGAACCGCCGGGCTTCCCTGTGGTCCTTGGGTGCCTTCCGAGCACCCTCCCTGCATCCTAAGATCTTCTGCTTCCTGGAGCCTCATCTCCCACCACCTCACTCAGCACCGCAGCAGCACTGACGACGCCCCTCGTGTCCGAGCTCTCCCTGCGCCCTGGCCTCCCTGTGCTCTCCCTCTCCTGCCCCGGCTCCTCAAGACACAGAGGCCATCAGCATCAGGTCCGGCTCGGCCTCTCCCCGCGGGCGGCTGCCGTCCCTCCGCAGGTGTTACTGCGCTTACTCCGATATATGAGAATTGTGTTTGTGTGTGTCTCATTGCACTGATGATTCTTTGTGGACACGGTCACATCCGACTGGTTTCTATGTCCTGGTGTCCAGCCAGGACAGTAAAATGCCCGCCCCATCTTGTACGGAGCCGCTCCAGCGCTGTCGCCTTTTGCTGCTGTTTGAAAACACTGGGCTTTGTCCTTGCTTTGTGAAGCTCAGCTGCTGGGCTGTGGGAATGCTTCTTCGCTAGTCAGTGTCTTCTGCTCGTCCTCAAGCCGGAAGCCAAGGCGTGGCCAGTGGAAGCCCCTGCCCACACGCTGCCGCTGTCGGAGCTCGGCCAGGGCCACGCACTGGCTTCGGGGAGCACAGTCTTTACTCTGTGTCTGCGCGTCTCTCTGGTTCACCCAGGGACCCAGCACACGACATCACTCCGCCTCTGAACTCACCCCTCCTCTCCCTTTTCTACTTGCTGGCTCCTGTCAATTACTTGAAAGTGTTTCAACCTGTAACGACCAGTGGTCAGTCCTGGGAAGACCATAGAACCTGAGGTCATTCCACGTCTGTAGGGAGGCCAGGTCCCGCACAGTGAGCAACGTGTGGAGACACGTGTTCCTGGCCGTGGGGGAGCATAAGCAAGGCGCTGGCTGGCGTCCTCTGAACTGGTCCACGGAGATGAGCCCTTGTCAGCTGGAGGAGATGGGACAAAGGGAATCGAGCAGAAGTGGGGAGTGGCATGGAGCTGTTCAGAAGGAGGGGGTTTACCACACAGGGGATACCTGGCCAATGTGGCCTCTGGATTTCCTTGATCTAAACATTAATCAGAACCCCCACTTGTGAAATTGCTGCTTTGCCCATGAAGTCATTTTGAGTTAACCAGTCGCAACAATCTGGAAGCCGAGGGAATCAGCGGTTTTAAAGGAGCTCACACCTGACGCGCATTGCGGACTCGGTATCAGTAGCCCATTTCAGTCACCTTCCTTCTGGTCCAGTTTCCACTCAGTACGAACACCTATTTCAAGTGTACAGCGTCTTAACATGCTCCGAGTCCCCACCACCGTAATCGGGAAGTAACCTTCCCATCGCCCAAAGGGTTCCCTTCAGCTCTCAGTTGCTCCCACCCAGCTCCAAACTGTGGCGTCGGCACGTGTGCTCGTTCTAGGACTCGATAGGAATGGATGCATATGGTATGTAATCCTGTGTCTAATCCTTTCCGCTTTGGCATGCTTTAAAGACAACCCAGTGTCGTTTCTAGCTGCAGTAGCTCTTCTCTTTGCTGAGTCATGTTCGATTGTATAAACCATCATTTGTTCTTCCTCTGTTGTTAGAAATTTGAGTTTCCAGCTTGGACTGTTGAGAATAAAACTGATGAACATTTATGTACAAGTATTCGTAAATGCCTCTTTGTTCCTCTTGGGTGAGCAACTTGGAATTGCTGTTATCACTGAGTTTTTAACTTTATAAGAAAATTGACATTCCCGGCCAGTGTGACTCGGTTGGTTGGAGTGTTCTTCTTGCAAAAAGGTGGGTTGATTCACTCGGGACACATGCCCAGATTGTGGTTCGATCCCCAGTTGGAGTGTGTGTGGGAGACAGCCAATCGACGTTTCACTCTCACATTGATGTTTCTTTCGCCTCCTCCCTTTCTTCCTCAAAAAAAAAAAAATCAATAGAAGCCTGTGCTCAGGTGATTTTAAAAAAACTTTGCCAACAAATTTCTCTACCCTGACCACTATTTTGTACTCTGGCCACAGAGTGCCAGGGTTCCAGTTGCTCCACATCCTCATCCACACGCCCTGTCACTCCTCTAACACGGGACCCAGCCCGGCGTGTGCGTGTGTCTTTCCTCCTGTGTGGGGGCCTGAGCACCTTTCCACGGGCACACTACCCCGTCATCCCCGTGACATGTCCATGAAGTCTGCCCCATTTTTGTTGCTGTTAGTCCTCACCTGAGGATAGTTTCCCATTAGTTTGGAGAGTGAAAGGAAGGGGGAAGAGACAGAAACATGATGAGAGAGAGACATCCATTGGTTGCCTCTCACACATACTGACCAGGGCCAGGGATCGAACCTGCAACTGAGGGACATGCCCTTGACCGACACTGAACCTGAAACCCTTCAGTGTGCCGGCTGACGCTCTTACCCACTGAGCCAAGCCGGCGAGGGCCTGAGCAGCTCGTTTAGAGAAGCAGGAGAGCTGTGCGAGGAACGAGGAGCGAGCAGCAAGATTTTCAAAGTGACTCTATTGAAGAGTAACTTACACACAAATCCGCCCCACATGGCAGTGCCCGGAGGTGAGCTCCCAGAGGAAGGAGCCGGCCGCTGGGCACTGTGACTGCCAGCAGATTCTTACGCCTGGAAGGTGCGGCAGAGACACAGCGTTTGGGGGGAGGGGGATACGATCTTAAATGTCCACGTCAACATCTCTCAGCCACTGAAAGACGAGTACGATTTCTACAAAGTAGAAGCGCAAGTGAAACGGGGGAGGAGTCCAACTGAAACACAAAATGGAAGGAGAATTCAGAAACGATAGATGGGTGAGAAGTAATACTGTTATTAATACAGCAACAAACCACTCTAACCACGCTCTGTGGGCCTAAATAATGGCTCCAAGGTTCTTACAGTCCATGGTGACAACAGGGAGAAACTGACAAATGCCTACTGAGTGGCATTCCTACCTCACGGGAAGCCCTGGGCCCCTTCCCGCTTACCGCGCCCCCCATGCTGCTCCTGACAAACAGCTTCGTTTTGAACCTGTGCTCTCAACCCCTGCCATGCGGGGCCAGGGTCCCGTCCCAGTTCCCCAGGCTGTTCCATCCCAGGGCTCATCTCCTTGGGGCCTGCAGATCCCCGGGCTGGAGGCCCTGCCTCTCGTACACTGTGCTCTCATCTGACCCCTCCCTCCGCGCTCAGGATAACGTCGCTGTCCTGGGGCCATCGTGAATGTGCACAACACCAAAGGGACATCTTCCCCGGCCTGCGCACAGTGGGACCAACAATTGAATGGGTCAGCTGGCAAACTGGCGGCCAAAGGGCCTTGTGGGGACAGCTGACCCCACCTTAACACGAGCTGAGGACAAGCCAGGACTGCTCTCCACACTGACTTGCTGACCCACACCATCGGCTGCAGGATGTTGGAGAAAGGCCCTGTCTGCGGGACACGCTATAGGACGTAGAGGTGAAGGGGCGCGACCAGGTGAACCTCATCTGAAATGTATGGGGTGGGGGGTGCGCACGTGCGCATACACACACACACACACACACACACACACACACACGCACACACGCACACACACACCAGAGTGTCTAACTGCTGGTGAGTCTACATAAATGGTATAGGAGACTTCTCTGTACTGGTCTTGCAACTCTCCTCTAAATTTGAAATTATATTAAAATAAAACAATTACCCAACCTCCACTAGGGTTAAACAGAAAACCGGTGGCTTCTCAGGTGCTCCCACTGCAGCTGACAGGCCCTCAGGACCACGAGGCACACGCACCCCAGGCCCTTTTTCTGCCCTCACCACCTGCCCATGCCCCCATGCCCGCCTCTGCCACCCCTGGCAGCCCTAGCGGGCAGGAGGCCCACGTCCCCGACTCCCCTGGCCCTGGCCCTGCGGGAGCAGCGAGCAGCCACAGTGGGAGGGATGCTGGACCCGCTGGCATGGGGTGAAGGGCATCAGGCCGCCTAGCAGCCTGGAAAGGAGTCAGCGCCCCGGAGCTGCAGGCAGTGCCACAGAGGGGTGTGTGTGGGGGGGTGGGGGGGGCTCATTTTTATTAACAACCGCACTCACCAGCTGCTTCCTGCACTCCGGTCTCCCCCACCCTGGACTCCTTCCAGGCGGTTCAGTCTGCGGACTCAGTGTCCACCCTCTTCTTCTGCTGGCTCTTCCCCGGGACGGAGTGGGCAGAGGGAGCAGAGCTCTGTGAGGCCGCGCGGAATGAGGACCGCGAAGGGATCCTGGAGCCAAGGCGGGACTGGGCCAAGGATGAGACCCGCAAGCCCAAGCCGGACGGAGCCTGGGAGTCCGGACGGGACGGGGCCAAGGATGGCGCTTGGGAGGCCGAGGATGGCGCTTGGGAGGCCGAGGATGGCGGTTCGGAGGCCAAGGATGGCGCTCGGGAGGCCAAGGATGGCCCTTGAGAGTCCCTTTTGGACGGCTCCTGGGAATGTAACTGTGGCCCCGCCTTCTGCAAGGGCAGCGACGGGACCGTGGAGCCCACACGCGGCGAGAACATGGACGGGGTCCTGGAGACTGCGATGGAAGAGACCTGGGACGGGTTCCGAGAGACATCCAACGAGGAGCCCGTGGGGGAGACGGAGGACTCGGTGCCGGAGGCCAAGGACCCCATGCGCGGGGAAGACAGCGGTTGGCACAGCTCCGGGCCCCCCGGCCCCCGGCGCAGCCAGCCGTGCACGCGCCCCAGGTCCCATGTGTCCTGGTGCTCGCTCCACAGCTGCTCGCGCTGCAGCAGCAGCTGGCGCCGCATGTCGTGCAGCAGGTGGGCCCGGCGCAGCAGCCGCAGCAGCTCCTCCCGCAGCCGCCCGTTGTCCGCCTTGATGGACTGCGTGTGCGCGATGAGCGCGCGCGCCGCCTCCCGCTCCGCGCGCCGCCCCATGGACTGCACCCGCTGGCGCGCCTCCCGCTCGAAGGCCGCCTTGTCCTCCAGGAAGCGCCGCTTCGCGCGGTGGAGCAGCTGCGTGTGCTCCACGCGCATGTGCAGCAGCTCGCGCTCCAGCGTTCGGATCCGCGCCAGCTGTTCCAGCTGCAGCTCCTGCGGGGGCGGCGGAGGCAGCGCGGTGAGCACGCGCCCAGCCCATCCCAACCCTGACCCTGACCCTGACCCTGACCCTACCCCTACCCCTAACCCCCGCCCGGCCCGCCCCTCGCCCCTCGCCCCCGCCGGCCCGCCCCCTAACCCCGCTGCCCCACGCACGCGCACTGGCCCGCCCCGCCCCCCGGCCCGCGCACGCGCACTGGCGCGCCCGTGGCGCACGCGCACTCGCCTTGTAGGGCTGCAGCTCCTGCACCTGACTCGCCATGTGCGCCGCGCGCGCCTCCATCTCCTGCAGCTGCGCGCGCACGCCGTCCTCGCGCCCGTGGTAGAGCGCCTCCAGGTCGGCGCGCTGGCTGTGGATCTCCGCCAGGTCCACGCGGTTCTGGTCCTCCAGGCGCACCGTGGCGTTGGCGCAGCGCTGCGCGTGCGTGCTCACGTAGCTGGCGTAGAAGCGGTTCTCGTCGCGCAGGCGCAGCGCCTCGCTGTCCAGGAGGATGTTCTCCTGCAGCACCTGGTCCACGCGCTTCTCGTAGGCGTCCAGCTGCTGCGTGAGCAGCTGGTACTCGCGCAGCAGGTACTGCGCGCGCTCCGACAGCCGCTCCTCGGCGCCCTCCGCCGGCCGGCTCGGGAGCTTCTTCTTGGGCGCCATGAGCCCCGGCCTGGGGCAGAGCGACAAGTGAGGGCTCCCAGCCCGCCGCCCCGCCCTCAGCCCGCCGCCCGCGCCCCCTCCACTTCGCAGCCCCACCCCACCCCGCCGCCCGCGCCCACAGCCCCCAAGCCGCCGCCCGCGTCCCCTCCCCGCAGCCCCCCCACTTCGCAGCCCCACCCCACCCCGCCGCCCGCGCCCACAGCCCCCAAGCCCGCCGCCCGCGTCCCCTCCCCGCAGCCCCCCCACTTCGCAGCCCCACCCCACCCCGCCGCCCGCGCCCCCACCCGGCCCTGCGCCCCCAGCCCCCAAGCCCGCCGCCCGCGCCCGCACTCCGCAGCCCCCCCAACCCCGCAGCCCGCGCCCCCACCCGGCCCTGCGCCGCCGCAGCCTGAGGACTCCAGCGGGTGGGGCGCGTCTCGGGGTCGAGGGAGGCAAACTCAGGGTGGGTGATGGGTCGGGGATCGGGGCCGTTGGCCAACCTTTACTCGTGGGTTCTTTAGGGACCGTGGCCATCCGTCGGGGTATTGTTGGCATTCAGCCCCTGCAGTCTCCATGGAGACAGAACTTGGCCGCCCTCCCCCACTCTCACCCCGTTGCTTGGGCAACAGTCCTACTAGCCTCTCCCCCATCCAATCCCCCCAAAATCCCCGCCTCAAAGTGGACACCAGACACCGGTGTGCCCCGCACAGGTCCCACCCGGCCTGTGGCTTCCGGCGGACGAAGCAGTAGCCCGAGGCGCCCGCCTCCGCACCGGCAGGCTGGTGTCGGGCCCCAGCACCTCACTCCCGCGGCTGCACCTGCACGACACGTGCGGCAGCGCCTCTTAAAATCACGAACACAGCGGAGGCATTTTCCTTCGTGTAAAAAACTGTTTTATAAATAAAGACAAAATGGCAGAAACTTCAAGACAATACAGAATCTTTGTTTATTTTTACATTAAAATATGAAAGACACGGTCCGGCTGGTGTGGCTCAGGGTTTGAGCATCGACCTGTGAACCAGGAGGTCAGGATTGAGTCCCTGCGAGGGCACATGCCCAGGTTTCGGCCTCCATCTCCAATGTGAGGTGTGTAGGAGGCAGCCGATCAGTGATTCTCTCTCATTGCTGTTTCTGTCTCTCTCCCTCTCTCTTCCTCTCTGAAATCAATAAAAATATATTTTTAAAAAAATTATAAAAGACACATTGCGCATCACCTAACACAGCATCTGAGCGATGGCCTTAAAGGGTACAGACTTTTAATACAATACTGGTGCCCGATTTACAGAAAATTGACTGAAGACCAACTAGAATCAGGGAAAAACAGAAAACCTGGAACCCACAAGTGGAGGCTTTCCGAGGCCATTTGGGACGGTTCCCTCCAGCCCAAGCCTGTCCAACTCGCCGCTGCGGCCGATTCCCTGTGAGGGCACATGCCGCGGTTTCGGGCTCAGCCTCCAGACAGGGCGTACAGGAGGCAGCAGATTAATAACTCTTTTCATTGATGTCTCTATCTCTCCTTCCCTCTTCCTCTCTGAATATATATATGGTTGGTTTTTAAAAACAAAACAAAACAAAACAAAACAAAAAAACAAAGGTTACCACTGCACAGGACCAGTTATTCTTTTTTTTTTTTTTCTTTTTTTTTTTTTGATTTTTTTACAGAGAGGAAGGGAGAGAGATAGAGAGCTAGAAACGTCGATGAGAGAGAAACACCGACCAGCTGCCTCTTGCACACCCCCTATCGGGGATGTGCCTGCAACCAATGTACATGCCCCTGACCGGAATCGAACCTGGGACCTTTTATTCCGCAGACTGAGGCTCTACCACTGAGCCACACTGATTTCGGCAGGACCAGTTATTCTTGACTAACAGTCAATGAGAAAATAAAACATTTTGACAAGATTGACATCAGCAAGGGTCTTTGCACAGGGATGTGGGACTTGGTAGAAACAATGGGCTCTAACCCTGACCGGTTTGCTCAGCAGATAAGAGCATCAGCTCCCGGACCAAAGAGTCCTGGGTTCGATTCCAGTCAAGGGCATGTACCTTGGTTGCAGGTTCTTCCCTGGCCCAGGGCCCTGGTCTGGGTGCGTGCAAGAAGCAACCAATAGATGTGTTTCTCTCACATTGATGTTTCCCTCTCTTCCACTCTCTATAAAGATCAATGGAAAAATATCCTTGGGTGAGGATTAACAAAAAAAATAAATAAAATGAAATAAAATAAAAGCCCCTAAATAAAACACACAATAGCAGACTTTAAAACCACTAATGGGTGAGTCGAATATCCACTAAAAAATTGATATGCTCACTGACTTAATAAGTCATGACGTTCACTCTGCAGGTTGTTTTTGGCTGAGATCCACTGATGTTGGAATAATGCTGCTCATTGGCACACATTCTCCTCCAGCGTGGGGTGCATGGGAGAGGCCGGGAAAGCAGGGGCTGGGGCGGCCATGATCACAGCCCCACTGCTGGCCTTGGGGTCTCCATGACCCGCTCTCATTCATCAGTCTGTCCTGGTAGCCATCAGTCCTCCCTCCTTCCCATCAGCCTCCTCTTCTGCCCTTTGCCCTTTGCCCTTTGCCTTTGTGGCACTGGCTTTCCCATTCACCCTCCTCCTGCGGGAATCCTAAACCTGCCATTCCACCCGAGGGCCATGCGTGAGGCTGCGAAGCGCGAGGGCTCACTGTCTTGTCAGGTTGGAGGGTTTGGTGGACACGGGCTCTCCTCTCATGGCCCTCAGTCCAGCTGCACTTCACCATGCGAATTCAGAGAACAACTTTCCACTGGCTTTCTGGCTCCTACACCTTCCTTTTCCGTGATCCTACTCTTACCTTTGTTGTTTCTTCTTCTTCTTCTTCTTCTTCTTCTTCTTCTTCTTCTTCTTCTTCTTCTTCTTCTTCATTTTATTGATTTTTTTACAGAGAGAAAGGGAGAGGGATAGAGAGTTAGAAACGTCCATCACCTGCCTCCAGCACACCTACTGGGGATGTGCCCGCAACCAAGGTACGTGTCCTTGACCGGAATCGAACCTGGGACCCTTCAGTCCGCAGGCCTACGCTTCCTCCACTGAGCCACACGGGTCAGGGCTCTTACCTTTGCTTCTCATCATTTCTGCCTGCGCTGGGTTTCCTTTCCTCCTTGTTTTCTAGCTTCTTGCGGGGGAACGCACACTTTCCTCACACAAGCATCTGGATCCACCGGGTCCCCCTCGGCGGGGCTGAGGCCGCGCCCCGTGCCTCCTCCGACCATCTCTCTTCCTCATCTTTCCGGTCAGAATATTAATAGATAATAATCAATCCCCACATCGGTGTGGCCCGGCTTCCTCTCAGGGGTGTTGTATGAAACTCCACATCCTTTTCGGGGAGGTAGGGGAGTGTCCCAAATCCCTTTGTGTTTGTTTCTGTTCCGGTTCTGGGGGCGCAGAGACCAGGAGGCGGCACCGCTGGGGACGGCGTGCCCCCCCCACCCCTACCCCACCCCGAACAGCGCCGCCTGGAGGGGCTGCCTGCGAGCGACCCCCCAGCTGTCAGCCCACCTTCCGGGTCCGGGGGTGGAAGCCCCCCCCCCCCCCAGGCCTAGGCGCCGCCGTCAAAGGCCCGGCGTCGGCGAAGGCTCCGGAGCTGCGGGGACTCCGGGGGCGAAGTTCCCGGGCGGGTCCGCGGCGAGAGGGGGCGGGGGCTTAGGGGGCGGGACTTGCGCACCAGGCCCCGCCCCCGAGCCGCGCAGGCGCCCTGGAGGCGCCGCCGCCGGTTCCCCAGGCAACGGGGCTCAACAGCTGGGCCCCGCCGGTTGGTGCAGCCCCGGCGCCGCCGCTCACATGTGCTCGGCCGAGGTGGACGCGCACGTAGCGCAGCGGTTCCTGCTGAAGCGGCGGCTCGGGAAGGGGGTGAGCGGGCCGGGCCCCCGAAGGCCAGGCGGCTCTGTCTCCCCGGCTCAGCGGGGCCGAGGCTGGCATCGCGCCCCCTCCGCCGCCGGAGCCCCTGTAACGGCCCCCGCGTGGCCTCCGCCGGGAAACTCGTCAGGGACACGGCGCTGGGTCCCGGAGCAGCCCCTGCCGCCGCCCCGCCTCCCCGTCCTCCCGCTCCCGGCTCTGTCCCCGGTTCCACATCGCTTCCTGGGGGGCTGGGCCCCGTCCCAGGCTCGGAGCGGGGGGGGGGGGTCAGGGCGGGCAGACGCGGTGGACGTGCGTTGGGAACCACAGCGTGTGTGAGCCCACGCGTGTTTGTGGTCGTGAGTGAGCACGTGGGTTGTGCAGGAGTCTGTGTGGGAGGAGCAGCCAGTAAGATCTGAGTGTGAGAGAGAGGTCAGGGTGCCTGGAGGAGGGTCCTCCCGGACCCCAATCCTCCGGGCCTCCATCTCCCCTTGCTGCCTGCCACCCCTTCCATCTCCCCCCTACAAAGATGCTGGGGTCCTGAGCAGCCTCGGCCCTCATTGTACTCCCACCCCTCCCAGCAGCCGGGGCAGGAGGAGGGGGTGGGGGCCGGCGGCTCACTCGCTCCTCCCCAGGCCTATGGGATCGTGTGGAAGGCGGTGGACCGGAGGACTGGCGAGGTCGTGGCCATCAAGAAAATCTTCGATGCCTTCAAGGACAAGACCGATGCCCAGGTAATCGGTGGCCAAGGGCGAGGGCAGGGCAGGCCCTGGGCTGCCCCCGCGCCCCCCCCCTCCCGCCTGCGCTGAGAAGTTGCCCCACAGCCGGTGGGTGTGGGGGAGGAGGCTTAGGGCCCTGCTGGCTTGGCACACACGTGTGTTTCTGCCTCGTTCCAGAGAACGTTCCGGGAAGTCACGCTGCTCCAGGTGTGTGGCCGAGGCCCCTGCCCCTTCCCCGGGGGTAGCTCCCCAGAAGGAGGGAGCCGGGCCCTCGGCCCCAAAACACAGCTGCTGGCTCTCTCCCAGGAGTTTGGGGACCATCCAAACATCGTTAGGTTCCTGGATGTGATCCGGGCGGAGAATGACAGGGACCTGTACCTGGTGCTTGAGTTCATGGGTGAGTGACGCCTCGTCAGCCCCCAGCCCCTCCTCCGCCCGAGCCCGGGCCCCCCTCCAGCGGCCTGGCTCCTGCTGAATGGCCCTCCACTGCCGGGTCCCTGGTGGCCAGCACCCGCACCGTGGGGTGTCCTGTGCCCAAGGACGGACAGCCTGGCTGAGGGCAGAGGCCCCTGCTTTGTCCACAGCTCCTTTTCCTCTTTCTGCTCATTCTATAAGATAGAGACCCTGCCGAAACCGGTGTGGCTCAGTGGATAGAGCGTCAGCCTGCGGACTGAAAGATCCCGGGTTCGATTCCAGTCAGGGCATGTATCTTGGTTGCAGGCACATCCCCAGTAGGGGGTGTGCAAGAGGCAGCTGATCGGTGATTCTCTCTCATCGATGTTTCTAACTCTCTATCCCTCTCTCTTCCTCTCTGTGAAAAATCAATAAAATATATTAATTAAAAAAAAGAGACCCAGCCCCAGGTGGTTTGACTCGGTAGAAAGAACGTTAGCCTGAGGACTGAAAGGGTCCCGAGTTCGATGCCTCTGTTGCAGGCTCCACCCCGTGTCTCCCCCTCCCTTCCATTATCTCTAACAACCAATGGGACAATACCCTCAGGTGAGGGTTATCCAAAAAAATCAAAATAAAGCAAAGGCACAAAAGAAGTAAAAATAACTCCACAAACTTGTTGCTGAATCAACAGTGAGCAGGCCCAGGCTGCCTGCAGGCCCAAGGGGAGGTGTATGTGCCCGGGCGTGGGGGGCTGGGGGCCTGGGTGCGGGCAGTGGCCAGCAGAGTCCTGAGCGGTTCCAAGGCGGGCACACCAAGCTGCTCTCCCCAGGACCTGGGCTAACCAGACGCCCCGCTGCCTCGCTCCCCCAGACACGGACCTGAACTCCGTCATCGCCAAGGGCTCGCTGCTCAAGGACGTGCACAAGCGCTACATCTTCTACCAGCTGCTGCGGGCCGCCCGCTTCCTGCACGCCGGCCGCGTCATCCACCGGGACCTGAAGGTGCCGCCGCGCACGGCCCACCGCCCCAACCGCTGCCCCCATCCCACCCCCACCCCCGCCCCCGCCCCCGCTCCCGACCGTGCGTCCGGCCGCCCTGAGCCACCTCCGCCCGCAGCCATCCAACGTCCTCCTGGACGGCCGCTGCCTGGTGAAGCTCTGCGACTTCGGCCTCGCGCGCTCGCTGGGCGGCCTCCCCGAGGGCCCCGAGGGCCCGGCCCTGACGGAGTACGTGGCCACACGCTGGTACCGGGCTCCGGAGGTGCTGCTGTCCTCCAGCTGGTAACGGCACCCCTTCCTTCCGGCGCCCCCTCCCAGGCAGCGCCCCCCCCCAGCCCAGCAGAGCCTCAGGCCCGGCCCCCAGGTGTCCCCCACAGCCCCTCCCAGCACGGCCGGCCCCTCCCACGCTCCCCGCTCCCCGCCAGGTACACGCTGGGGGTGGACATGTGGAGCCTGGGCTGCATCCTGGGCGAGATGCTCCGGGGGAAGCCCCTGTTCCCCGGCAGGTCCACCCTCCACCAGCTGGAGCTGATCCTGCAGACCGTGCCCCCGCCCGCCCCGGAGGGTGCGTGCAGGGCCGGGGGGAGGGGGGAGCACCAGGCCCTGGGAGGCGCCGGCAGGCGGGGCTGGGGGGCAGGATGCCAGGGGCCCAGGAACCTCGGGGAGGCTGTGCAACCTCCCAGGGCTGCTCCATCCCCCCCCCCTCACCTCACACCATCCGGCGCTCCCCCTCCCTCCCCCCAGACCTCCTGGCTTTCCGCTCAGGCTACGGAGCCTCAGTCCTGCAGCACCTGGGAGCCGGGTGAGTCAGGCGGGGCCCAAGTCCCGCAGCTTCCGTCCCCAGCTCAGCCATCGCAGCTCCCCTAAGAGGGCCCCAGTGTGTGTGTGGGGGGGGGGGGGGCAGAGGGGACCAGAAGGCCCGGATCTGGTGACCCCCCCCCCCCGCCAGGCTGCCCGAGTCCTGATGGGCGGAGGGGATCCGGAGACAGTTAGTGGGGCCGGCAGAGGGGCAGCTGGGCCAGGTGCGGGTGTGGGGGGCCGGACCCGGACAGGACGGGACTCGGCCCGCAGGCCCCGGCAGGAGCTGGACACCCTCCTGCCCCCGGACACGCCCCCCGAGGCCCTGGACCTCCTCCGGCGGCTCCTGGTGTTCGCCCCCGACCAGCGGCTGAGCGCGGCGCAGGCCCTGCAGCACCCCTACGTGCAGAGGTAGGGGGGCCGCTGTCCGGGGGCTCGGGGGCCACAGCCCGGGCCCCGCCCCTCCGTACCCGCCTGGTGGGCTCCCGCAGGTTCCACTGCCCGGCCCGCGAGTGGGCGCTGGAGGCGGAGGTGCGGCTCCCGGTGCCCGAAGGAGTCCAGCTGTCGGCGCCCGAGTACCGCAGCCGCCTCTACCAGGTGCGGGGGCGCGGCCTCCCCCGCCCCGCACGCCGCCCGCCGCCCGGGCCGCCCCTGAGCGCCTCCCTCCGCAGATGATCCTGGAGCGCAGGGCCGGCGGCCGCGCCCCCAGAGAGACGGGCCAGGGGGACGCGCCGGTGCCGCCCGCGGGGGCCCCGGGGGCGGAACTCGGCGCCTCCCGGGCCCAGGCGTGCGCGCCCCAACCCGGAGCCGCGCCCCCGCCGCCCGCGCAGGACTGCGGACTCGGCCCGGCGCACGGCCCGGCGCTCGGTGCGTCACGGGAGCGCCAGCCCCGGTGCGGGTGTGGGACCCCCTCGTCCGCGCCCCGATTCCTCACCGGGCGGTGTCCGACCCACAGGCGCCCCCCGCGGAGCCCAGAACCCCAGGCAGCACTCGGCGCCCCCGCTCCAGCCTCCGCCCCCGCGAGGCGGGGGGAGCGGTGAGAGGCCCCCCGGGGCGGCGGCGGAGCCCCCCTCGTGGGTAGGTGGTGTGTGGGGGGGGCCCGGGGGACCCTCTGCGGGCCTTCCTGGGCGCAGAGCACCCGCCGGCGGTGACACCCCCCACGTGCCTCCAGGCGAAGCCCGGCGCGCACGCAGCGCCCTCCCTGGCCGCGCAGGCCGCCGCGCAGGGGGCCGTCCAGGCTCTGGTCCGGAGCCACCGGGACCCCGGCCGCGGGGCGAGGGCGGCCAGCGCGCCACGGGTGAGCCCGGCCCCCCAGCCTCCTCCCTCCGTGCCCCTTTCCTCCTTTTCTCCCCTCCGTCTCACCTGGACCCCGGCTTCGCGCAGGTCCCCCTGGCGCGCCCCGCGGAGGCCCGGCCGGGCCGCAGGATGTTCAGCGCCGCGGCCTCGCAGGGGGCGCAGGGGGCCGCACGGGCCGCGCTCGGGGGCTACTCCCAGGCCTACGGCACCGTCTGCCGCTCGGCGCTGGGCCGCCTGCCCCTGCTCCCTGGACACCGCGTGTGAGCCTCTCCCCCTGCCCGCTGCCCCGCCCCGCGCCCCAGGACTTGCCCCCCAAGTCCCGCCTACACTTTGCTCCGCCCCATGGGAGTCCCGGGAGGCTTGTCCAGAGGCGCCCACTCCAGCCCCATCACCTCCAATAAAGTGGCCTGTCCCCAGCCTGCCGGCCAGTCCTTCCTCCTCAGAGGATCCCGAGTCCTCGCACCTCTTTCCTGGAGCCCATGCCCTCTCGAACCCTGGTGTTACCCAGCCTCTCCCTAAAGGCTCAGGGCACCCAAGGGCCTGCCTGTGGGGCGGGCGCATAGGCTAAAGGGTGCAATAGGTAGTGAGGCCGTTGAATCCATTTGGGAACGTGGTAGAATGTTCTGTGCTGGTGTTTTATTATCATCAAAATGTCAAGAATCACAGTTGAGGAGCTGTGTCACTCAGCAAGACATGGGGGTGTGGACAGGAGGCTCCGAGGGCCCCAGCCCCTGGCCTCTGCTGGCCAGGAGGGTCCTGGTGGCCCTCCCTAAGCACCAGGCCCCAGGGGAACATTTGTCAGCAGACTCCAGCTCATCTAGCTCCACGTGACCTTTGCCACCCAAGGACAAGTCCTCACTGTCACCCCTCGCTGGGCAGTTGCCTTGGTCACCAGGCCATGAGCTGTCGGGGTGGGAAGGCGCAGCCTCCACTCAGTGCCCCGTTTCTTAAACCCTTTCCCATCTGGGCAGTTGGGTTTCTTACACTTAAAAGACCAAAAGCTATCTGAGAAGAAATGGTGGAAACACTCATTTCACAAGAGTAGCACCTGTGGCGGGTGACTGCCTGAGCACCTGGTGCCAAAAGGTGTCATTTCAAACCCAGTCACTGCGGGCGAGGACACAGGAAAGCAAGCGGGCACGTTGGTGACTGAGAGAGGGTGCAGGGCGGGGTGGAGCTCAGACCGCTGGGACATCCATGGGCTGGGGCTCAGTGCCAGGAGGCCGTCCTCTGCCTCACCTGGGCAGGTACAGGCACTCCACACCCAGCCCCTTCTGGGCTGACTGGCCGTCGGGGCACATGGGGACCCTTCGAGAGGCTGGGGCCCCACACCATCCATCACTGAGGCTTGGAGCTGACATCCTGGCTGAGGACCTTGCTGGAGGGATGGCCAGGTGTACTCAGGTCTGGGGGCAGTGCAGCCCTTCCAGGACCCCTCTGCTCCCCCACCCCCTCTGCCCCGCCTCCCTGCAGGAGAGGAAGGGCTGCCAAGCAAGTGGGCAGATGGACGGGGCGGGAAGTAATGGGAGGCCCGAGGCAGTGGGAGGCCCAGCAAGAGGAGAGGATGGGGCAGCCAGGAGGCGGCAGAGGCAGCGGAGTGAAGATGTGGTGTAGCTAGGAGGGTGCACAGAGGGGAACCCTGAGACATAGAAGCCCTGAGATGTGAGGCCCCCAGAGAAGTGGGGACTAAGGCACAAAGGGATGGGTCCCTGAGGACCTGAAGCCCAGAGAGATGGGGAGGCAGATGCCTGAGGGGGCGGGGACTGGAGATGGAGGTGCTGAGGAGACAAGACAGTCGGGAATAAGGCAGGGGGCAGTGAGCGGCTGCAGCCCCAAAGCGGAGGCCAGGGCAGGCACGTGGTGAGCCCCAGGGGGGCTGGGCTCTGGCTGTGCTCATCCGGGTTCCTAGCTTCTGCGCCCGAGGACCGAGTGCCCTGCTGGCAGGCAGCAGGGGTGCGGAGACCCCGGCGGGCTGCTGGCTGGGACGCTCACTTCTTGCTCTTGAATGAACTCAGGATCTTGGGCATGAACTTGCCCACCTTGCTGTCCCTGGCGTCCTCCTCCGCCGCGCCCTCCCCTGCGCCCCCGCCAGGGCCGCCCGCCTCCTCCTTCTTGCAGAAGACCTCGAAGCGGCTGTAGACGCGCTTCTCCTTGCGCATGCTCTCCATGCGTCGCAGCAGCCGGTCGCGCTCCTCGGCGCTGGCGGGCAGCGTGCGGCTCACCCGGCCCTGGGTCCCCAGGCTGTCCGAGCGGAAGATGGCCGAGCACTTGTCCTTGTCGGACATGTCAGGGGCCAGGCCGCTGGCAGCCGGGGGGCGGCCCAGCTCCGGGCTGCTGTGGGCCGGGGAGGGGCTGGGGGCCCCGCGGTGCTTCTGGCCGTGGGCGCTGATCTGCTCCAGGATGGCTTTGGTGTCGTCGCGCAGGTTGCTGCTGTACAAGGCGTTGGCCGTGGCTGAGGCCATGCGGGCCCGCGGGCTCCGCTCCTCCCCAGCGGCAGCCTCCGTGCTGTCTCCGCGGCTCAGCGAGGGCCGCCGGGGGCTCTCGGGCTGCCCGTTCTCCTGCGGCGCCGGGAAGCCGCCCTCATCCTCCGCGCGCCGCTCACTCTTGGGGCTCAGCAGCTGCCGGAGGCGCAGGGAGCCCTTGCGCAGCACCTCCATGGGGCCGGTGGGCGTCTCCTCCGCGGGCCCGGCCTTCTGGGCCTCTCCCGCGAGGGCGAGGGTGAGGCTGCCCCTGCGCTCGGGCACGGGGGGCACCGGGCTGCCCCTGCGCTCTAGCACGGGGGGTACCGGGCTGCCCCTGCGCTCTAGCACGGGGGGCACCGGGCTGCCCCTGCGCTCGGGGTAGGCGGCGGTGGGGCTGCCCTGGCGCTCAGGCAATCCTGCGGTCGGGCTACCTCTGCGGGTGGGAAACCCAGGAGTAGGACTCCCCTTCCGCTCGGGGTAGGCCGAGGTGGGGTTCCCTTTTGGCTCCGAGTGGGGCGCGTCCACCGGGGGGCCGTCCTGCCCTTGCAGGGAAGAGGAGAGGCCCTGGGTCAGGAGGAAGCGGGAGGGCAGCCTGTCGGGGCCGGGGCCGCTCCGGCCCAGCGTGTCGAGCAGCTGGGCGGCCGTGAGCGTGGCGGCCCCGGGCTGCCGCTCGGCCTCCTGGTGCAGCCGCTGCGTGAAGGAGTCGCGGAGGTCCAGCAGGCAGCTCTCGAGGCTGCGCCGCTCGGCCCCCGCGGCCCCCGCCTCCTCCCGCCACGCCTGGGACAGGACGGCTTTGCTGTGGCTGGAGGCGGTGACGGCGGTGGCCGGGGCGCCGCTGGCGTCGCGCGCGGGGCCCTTGTACTTCTCCAGGAGCTCGGCCACCTTGGTGGAGGCGGCGGAGCGCACGGCCTCGCCCCCGGGGCCCACCGCCTCGTGCACCGCCTGCTCCTTGTGCAGCAGCTGCACCTTCTCGGTGGCGGCCCCGCCCGTGCCCTCCGCCTGTGCCGCGAAGATGAGCGAGGAGCGGAGCCGGGAGCTGCGCTGGATCAGCGGGTTCAGGCGCGAGCGGAAGGAGTCCTGCTTGGCCAGGCCGGCCTCCTCCGGGCCCTCGCGCTCCGCGCCCTCGCCGCCCCCGCCGCCCCCGCCGCCGGAGCCCTTGGCCGGGAAGGCGGAGGGCCCGCGGAAAGACGAGGGCAGCAGGTCCCCGGCGGCCGCCCGGCCCCCGGACACCAGCACGTCGTCGTCATAGGCCTCGGACTCCATGGGCCCCGGCAGGCCCTCGTCCCCCGCGTCCTCCCCGTGGCAGCCGCTCAGGTAGGAGGCCAGGCGCCAGTGCCTCAGCCCCGCCCGCCCCTCCGGCCCCGCCCTGCGCTCGGGCTCTGCCTGCAGCCCCGCCTCCGGGCCCAGCCTCGCCGCTGCCTGGCAGGGGAAGCGTAGGCCCAGATTAGGGCGCGGGGCCCCACTGGGTTCCAGGCCCCGGGGCCCGAAGGCCGGGTCTGAGCCATGGCGGACCTCGCGCGACTCGCTGGACGGCACGTAGTCCAGCCGCTGGTGGGTGTCCAGGCCCAGCTCCGGGAGGCGCGGCCCGGCGCCCAGGGCGAAGTCCTCGGGGTCCGCGAAGCCCGGGCGGCCGGCGCGCAGCTTCTCGAACAGGCCCTGCGGGCGGCCCGGGGCGAACTGCGGGTCCCACTGGTAGTGCTGCTGGTAGAGCTGGTCGCGGTGGAAGTGGCTGGTCTGGAAGCGGAAGTCGTCCCCGTGGGCGAGGAATGTCTGGCGGGACACCTGCCGCGCGGCCGCGAAGTTCTCCACGGCGCCCCCGCCGTCGGCGGCCGCGTAGCTGTGGCGCTTGAAGGAGTCCATCTCCAGCTGCCGGGCCTGGAAGAAGCCCCGCGGGCCCGCGAGCTCGGCGCCGGGCCCGGCCTCCGCGTCCCACCTTCGTGATGGCAGCCGCAGCCCCATGTGCGGCTCCAGGGCGCCCCCGGGCATCCGCGGCTCCTCCCGGCGGAAGGCCGACAGGAAGTGGCGGTCAGGGTCCAGGAAGGAGGGGAAGCCGAGGCCCTCGTCCCGGGCCGGTGGGAAGAGGAGGTGCGCGCGTTTGGGGAAGGAGAAAGGAGTGGGCGCCCCGGTCATCTGACTGGCCATCAGGGGCCCTGCCCCGGAGTACGGAGCCAGGGCATAAGCGTCCATGCGGGCCAAGGCCCCGGCCGAGGGCACCAGAGGCTCCGACTGCGCGAAGAGGATGCGGAACTCCTCGTCGAAGCTGGACACCAACTCCCCCTGGAACACGTGCGCCAGGCTGCGGTGGATCTTCTCGAAGGACCACATGAAGCTGCGGGGGCGGGACCAGAGTCAGGGGCGGGTCCAGGGTCAGAAGGGGCGGGGCCGTGGACAGGGGCGGGTCCAGGAGCCGGAGGGGCGGGTCCAGGGGCAGGAGGGGCGGGTCCAGGGGCAGGAGGGGCTCCCAGCCAGGGCCTGGGGATCAAGTCTGAGAAGATGCAGGAAGGGTGACGGGCTGTGCTGGCCACGGGAGGAGGACGGTGGGGAAGGACCGTGGAGAGGGGTCTGCGCACCTGTAGCTCCCGCTCATCACCACGGCGCAGTCCACCAGGAGGAACTTCTCCTTCACGTGGCCCCTGAAGGACTTGCCCGTGCGGCAGTAGTAGGTGGGGCCCGCCACCGTGCGCACCCGCAGGAACTGCGGAGGGCGAGGCCGTTAGGCAGAGGGCCCCCCCCCCCCCCCCGCCTCCCCTGCGGGCTCCTCCCGCCCCCCACGCCCACGTGTCCTCAGGCGTCACTCACGTCCACGTGGTGCAGGTTGACGCGGCACTTCTCTGCCGTGTCCAGGAAGTGCTGCGCGTTCATCTCGTCCAGGAGGATGTAGACGGGGACGCGGCGCGCGGCAGCCTCCAGCACTTCGCTCAGGAGGTCCACGTCGGTGAACATGTCCATCACCACGGCCACCACCTGGGGGTCGGGAAAGGCCCGAGGGCGAACCCGCTGCTGTCCCCCATTCTCCAGCCAAGTCCGGGGCCTGCGAGTCACCCACAACCACCACAAAACCGCCCCCGGTCTCCCAGGGGAGCAGGGTCCCGGTGGCCATGGGGCCAGGAGGGGCTGTCAGAGGGGATGCAGGGCTGCTGGCTGCCCATGATGGAGTCCTCCTGGGGGAGGACTGTCCTGCTGGGGTGGCTGCCGCCTCCTGGGCAGGGGCAGATGAGTGAAGCCCCTGTAGTCCCTCCTGCCCCACAGGTGTCCGGCCTCTCCTGACCCTTGGGCAGAGGCACGGCCTTTAGCACCTGATCTGCCTGTCTCGGTGGCTTAAACAGGTGCCTTTGCTGTTTACCACCTGCCGGTGAGGACAAGAAGCCCCCAGCGCGGTCAAGGGCAGGGGTAGAGGTCACGGTCTATCCAGGCAGCAGAGGACCCAACCATGCGAGTTCCTGGGCACCGGCCATGACCCCCAGGACCACGGACAAGCAAACCGAGGCAGAGAAGCAGCCTGTGGCCTGGGGCACCAGCCCTCAGGGACCCTGGAGGTCGCTGGGATACCCTCGCTGCCCCTGGCCTCTCCCTCCCCCTGGAGGCGCACGCTTTCCCTCACACTCCCCAGACCTCGAGGCCCAGCTCGGGCAGTCCTGCCCCCGGCCCCCCGCCCCCTGCCCCCCGCCCCCCGCGCCCAGCCCCCTGCCCCCCGCCCCCCGCGCCCTGCCCCCCGCCAGCGCACCTGCTGGGCGGAGCGGATCATCCTCCGGGCCTCGTCCTTGATGCTGGGGCTGTCGGGGGGCGGTGGCTGCACCAGCGTTGTGACCTCCGTGCCCTGGAAGCCGAAGGTCAGCGGCCAGCCCAGGTCCAGCTCAGGCACCGCCTGGTCTGAGTTCACGGGCCAGTAGGTGCCCGAGGAGCCATCCATGTCCACGTTGGGCGGGCTGCCTTCGGGGGGCTCCGGGGCGACATACTGTGGGGGCCGCAGGTGGCGGCTCACGTGGTCCAGCTCCTCGGGACACAGGAAGGCGGGCGCCCCCTCGGCCGCCAGGAAGCGGCTGTAGGCCTCGGGCCCGCCCTCGGCCAGGGCGTCCACGGCCAGGCGGTAGTACTCCTTGTAGTGAGGCGGCAGGTACCCTGGCGCCAGGGGGTTGTCTCCCTGTGAGGAACTCTGGGAACGGCGGGCCATGTTGAGGCCGGGGGCCTGGGGAGGGGCGGGAAGAGGTTACCAGGGCCGGGCCAGGGCCCACTGCCCACTCGTGCAGTGCGGAAGGCTGGCAGGGACCTCGGCTGGGCTTGGCGTCCGCCCAAGCCTGGAGGCCTTCCGGGCACCCAGACGGGGATGGCAGAGGACCTGGCAGCCTGGGCCTTGCTGCCCCAGAGCCCAGGGAGAGCCCGGACTCCAGCAGCAACCGCCCCTGCACCACCAGGGCCGCCTCATATTCTCGGGGGCCCACCCTTCTGCTTTGTGACCCTTTACTGCCACCGCTGCTGGTTTAAAGAAAACAACCCCGTCTGGGGTCTCTCTGAGAGGGGCACATTCTGCTCCTGACTTTATGACAACACCCTTCTGTGGGCCCCTGGTCCTGTGCAGACAAGCGAGAGGCCCACACCCCAGGCCACGCCCCTGCCTCCCCAGTCCTTCCTTCCACCTCATGGGCAGCTGCCAGGCTTGGCCAGGCGAGCTCGCACAGAGCCGGTCACAGGTGTCCAGCCCGGGGAGGCGAGGCTGCACCCACAGTCCCCCAGCCCACCTGCACCCACCCTACCCTTTGACTCGCCCCACCCCACAGCCTCCTCCTGCCCTAGAGCCGAGTCCCGCCCCAGCCACGTCTGTCACCACCCTGTTCCCCGGCTTCCTTCCGGGTGGAGCGGAGCCTGTGCTGTGCCCAGCAGGCCGTCTGTCCCGGCTCCCGAGCCTCCCCGACCACACGGAGTGCCCACCTCACAGCCCTTGTGGCCCTGACTGAGCTCCCAGGACCCACCTCCTGCCCACCCCAGCCCACCCCGTGCCTGCTGCTCCTCCGGAGCTCCAGCCTGAGGGTGTGGTGCCCGGGAGGCGCCTCTGCTGCCGGCCCACAGCGCCCTCCCCGCAGTGGGTGAGGGGCTGCGTGGCCGGGCCAGGAGGTGACACCTGCCTGCCACATTGGGGTCAGCGCTCTGTGCACCATGACCGGGCACCTTGGTCCACTCCCCCTTGGTGGGAGGTGACGGAGCCGTGTCCCTAACCGTCGGCAGAGCTGTGCCTGGTCCCCGGCAGCCCCGTTAGATGGGGGCCACGTGTCCTCGGGCACCAGGACCAGACCAGGGAGGCCCAGGAGGGGGTGAGCTGGTCCTGCTGTGCCAGGGTCTCCATCCCACCTCAGCAGGGGGCCCTCCTATGTGACCGGTGGGGGGGGCCCTCTCTATGTGACCACAGTGTGGGGGCCTCTATGTGACCACAGTGGGCGATGGGGGTACTGTAGTATGGAGGGGCTGGTTGCACAGGACCTGACCCTGCTAGGCTTGGTGGCACTGTCCCTGTTGGGGGACATATCACAGACTGTCCAGGCGCACACAGTGGGGTTGGGGGTCCCATGGGGTCAAGGACCTTCTCATCAGATAGGACTGGCTGGGAGGTGACCCCCATGGGACCCTCAACCCCCCTGCACGGCCTCACAGCGATCCCCCAACCTCAGGGACCTGCTCCTTTCTGGGGTCCGCACACCCCTGAACTGGGGATAGTGGGGGTCATTCCCCAGCCGGAAATGGCGAACCCCAACCGCGTGCCCCCCCACACCTGCCGCAGACGCCGGCCCTCCGGGAGGGAGGGGCTCTTTCCCACGCCCGCCGTGACTCAGCGCGAATCCGCTCCGGGCTGACCTCTGACCCCTGACACAACCCTGCGGTGCCCAGGCCCCAAGGACCCGGCCCGGCAGGAAGTCCACTGCCAGACGGCGCCCCCCCAGGAGGGAGGTGCGGCTGAGGGCGGGGCCTGGGCCGCTGTGGAGGGGCCTGAGGCGGCCCCGGGGAGGATGGGGGCCGAGGGGTCAGTGCGGGGAGGGGTCCAGAGGACGGGCTCCCGCCTGCAGGTCAGGGTGGTGCGGTTTCCGGGGTGCTCCCCGCGGGCGGGCCGTGCACCCCAGGGGTTAGCGGCCGCTGGGCGACGTCCCACTTCCCGGCCTCGCCCGCCCCGCGCCCGGTGGGAACCGGCCAGGGCCCCGCCGGGAAGAGGCCGCCGGCCCCGCCGCTCGGCCCAGCCAGGCACCGAGTGGGGCCCGGCAGGTCCCCCTGGGCCCGGCCTCCCGCTCGGCTCCTCCGGGCCGCATCGGGCAAGGGCCCGGCGTCCCCGGCGGCGCCCCGCCGCCCGGCCCCGCTCGGCTCGGGCGCGCGGCCCGCACAGGTGCCCGGAGGCCGCCGGGCCGCACCGCCCCCGCCCGCCGCCCGCCGCGGGGCCTACCTGGCCAGGTGCGCGGGGTCTCGGGACCAGGACAGCAGGAGCCGACCGCCGCCCAGCGGCCTCGCGGTCCGGTCGGTCCGGCAGCCACTCCCTGGCGCGGCCCGCCCGCCGCGCGGCCTGATTCACGCGCCCGCCCCCGCCCCGCCCGCTCCCGCGCCGGCCTGCCCGGGCAGCACCTGGGGGCGGGGCGGCCCCGCCCGCGGCGCGCCCGCATTCCTCCGCCCGCCGCCCGCCGCCCGCCGCCCCGCGCCCGCCGCCCCGCGCCCCCCGCGCCCCCCGCGCCCGCGCCCCGCGCGCCGCGGCCGCCGGGGCCCCGCGCCCCCATCAGCCCGCCGAGGCCGCGCAGAGGCCCCATCTGACCCCTCACCCTCGCCCCGGAAGTCCAGGCGGCCCGGGAGTTCCAGCTCGGTCGCTAGGCAACGGGCCCGCCCGACGCGGGGGGCGGAGCTTCCGGTCTGGCTCTGAGGCCGGGCGGTGCGGCAGGTGAGGCAGGTGAGGCCCGGGCGGCCCGGAGGCCGCGGCACCGCGCAGACCCGGAGCGGGGCTGGGCCGGGGGACTGGGAGCTCACTGGCCCGCCCTCCGCCCCCCCCGCACACCGATGCCTGCAAGGACCTGGGCCCTGCAGGTCTCAGGGACCCTGGCACACACGTCCCCCCAGATGCCCACAGCTACAGGGACCACGCGCACAGGGGACCCCACACCTACACCAACCACGCCCCACTCGCTGGCCCCCACGGCCACACACGGGCTCAGGTGTTCTGCACCCCCACATGGACAGGGCACCCTTGTCCATACCAACCCTCTGCCACGTACATGGGACCTCGCAGCACAGGAACCCTACGTGCACACCAAGCCCCGCACATGCCTATCAGCCAGGCGCCCCCCAAAGTCGACACACACACACAGGGGACCCCCACTCTGCATGGCACCCTCCCCACAGGATTCTGCACAGAGACGACCCCACAGCAACACTGAGAGTCCCCCCACACACAGGGACCCTATAAGTACTGACCACATGGAGCAGGGGACCCCAACTCCCCCCAACACCTCTCCGCTGTCCCTAGGTGCCTCCGTCCTGCCAGTGTCTCCCCAAAACACTCAGGGCCCTGCTCAGAGCCCCCCTAGACCCCCGCCCCTCCCTGTCACTGCCTGGGCTGCTTGCTGCCAATCCGTCGCCTCCCCCAGCCCTCCCACCAGTCCCCGTTGTCCCAGCTTCGGGTTATCCTGTCCCCAAACACTCGGCAACTCTCCACAGGAGCCAGCGGGCGGGTCAGACCGTGCCCAGGCCGCAGCCCTGCAGTGGGGCACCCGGCTGTGGGGGAGGGCAGGAGAGGGAGTATCCCAGAGAGAGACAGGAACTTTGGGGTCAGCTGAGCAGACTAGGGGAGCACAGGCCCAGGCCAGGGAGAAGCACCGGGGGCGGAGGGGCGGGCTCTGCTGCGTGTTAGACGAAGCTGGGCCTGCTGGTTTGGGCAGAGATGGGAACGGGACCCCCCACCTGGGGGTTATGGTCAGGCCCTGGGCCCAGAGGATGGAGCTGGGGGGCAGGGGGCAGGGAGAAGGGGACGAGGGTGCTGAGCTGTGGCCAGCGATCTTGCTCGGCATCCCCCCCGAGTGCCGGCACACACACGCCAGTAACCAGGGCAGGCAGGTGGCCGGAGCCGGCCGGTGCGGTGTGGACGCCGTGTCCTGTGCTCCCATCAGGCACCTGCCGACTCCCCCAGCTGCCCACAGCTACAAGGGCCTGGAGCAGCCGCCTGGAAGGCGTGTGCTGTGCTGTGCCCGCTGCCCCCCCACGCTGAGCACCCCTCCCTGACCTCCCTGCCCGCCCTCAGGAGGATGAGCGGTGAGAAGCAGGGCCCCAAAGCAGCGTCAGGAAAGAGGCAGCCATCCCCCCCGGGCGCCGAGCCCAGAGCCACTGCTGGTGAGTGCCTGCGCCTCCCAACCTCCAGGGCACCGTCGGACCCTCACTTGTGAGACCCTGTCCTCCGAGTTAGGGGTGGTGGCAGACTGAGGGCTCTGAGCTCCGATGTCACTCCAGGCCCTGGGGTGGGGTCAGAGCCCGGGGGCCGTGCTCAGGGGAGGGAGATGGGAAACAGGCTGTGAAACGGAGGTTTGCATCCATGTTGGCAAGTCACAGACTAAGTCTGTGGTCCACTGTGACCCCGGCTCCACCTGCTGCGGCTCTGCAGCTGCCTCTCCATGGCCACGGCCAGGCCGAGTGGAGGCAGCTTGTCCACCTGGCCATGCCCACCCACCCCGCTGTCACTCCCCTGCTCCGCACTCCTGCCTTCTCGGTCGCCACACCTTCCAGGCAGCTGCTCCAGGCCCCTCCAGCCAGGCTGAGGGGCTGTGCTGGCTAAGAGGGGGCACCCCTCCCACGTGGCTGAAGCCCTGGACCCTGCAGGCCCCGAGGCCCTCGGACCTGGCTGGATGGGGCGCCTGCTCCTCAGGCCATGTCGGGGTGGGACCCTTGTTCCCCCAAACAGCCCCAGCGTGCCGGGGCAGCTGGTCCTGGAATGAGGATGCTGAGCTCGGGGGGGGGGCTGCTGCTTCCGCCATCGAGCCCCAGACGCACAGTAAACAGGCGGCAGGTGCGCCGGAAGCTGCTCTGGGGGCGGGACCCGCTGGCTGTCCCCCTCCCCCGAACCCTGCCCTGGACAGCACCCGGCCAGTGCCTGCGGCCTCCACAGGAACACCCCTGCCTCAGTTTCCCTGAACACGCGGCCTGCCTGGGCACCCGACCCGCCTCAGCCTCACTTTGCAAATGTGGACTCGGGTCTGAGGTGCCCCTCCGACCATCGGCCTCCCAGCCCGTGCAGGTGCCTGTGGGTCAGAGGTACCTCAACACCGCCCGCCCGCCCCCCCAGACCGCCAGTGCCACCCCCGCCCCCCGCATGCCCTCCAGGCCTTACCTGGCCCTGGGTCTGCAGTACCTCAAGGCCCTCGCTCTGGAGCTGCTCCAGGGCCACGGCCAGCTCCAGCCCCTCCATGCGCACCCAGGCCTGCTCCTCCTGCAGCTGCTGCAGCCACAGCTGCTCCTCCTGCAGCTGCTGCAGCCACAGCTGCTCCTCCCGCCACAGCTGCATCTGCAGCTGGGCCTGCCGGCGGCGGTCCGCCAGCAGCTGCTGCTCCTGGGCCAGGCACAGCTGGACCTCCTGCAGCCTCAGCAGCTCGGCGCCCAGGCTGTGCGTGCGGCCCCCCGGCCGGCCATCCTCCATGTCCGCCGCGGGGACTGGCACCAGCTCGGACCCCGGAGCCGCGGCCGGCACTGGCCTCTCCGCTGCCTGTGGCCGCTCTGGCCTGGCCGCCTCGGGATGCCCCCGGGCAGCTGGCTGGCTGCCGGTCACGTGCCCGGCAAGGGCCACCCCTGTCTGGTCCAGAGGGCCCGCTGCGTGGGGGGGCGGGGGCTGGGCCTCAGGGCCCTGCTGCCCCGGAGCCTGCTGGGCCCTGCCCGCCCTCCTGGCCCGGGGCTTCCGCGCTCGGCTCCGTTTCCCAGACATGGTCCCGATCCAGCGTCGACTCCCGGGGGCCCTGGCTCATCGGCAGGCGGCCCCAGGTCCTGGGGGCCCCGATGGTGCCTGGGAGACGACCGTGGGCCCCCCGAGGCGGCTGCTCTGTGCCTGCCCTGCCCCTCGGCTGGTGCCCACGGTGCCACGGCCCGGCTCCGCCTGTGGGCCTCGGGGGCCGGGCCACGCCGGGGAGTTTATGGGGACTCGCGGCCGCGGCTCGCGAGGCTGACTAAGGCGCTGCTGACACGGCGCAGGACTTTACGGGCCCGGGCCTCGCCGGCCGGACGGGGAGGGAGGCTGGGAGAAGCTGGAGGAGGTGACTCTGCAGCCCGACCGCGGCTGGTGCAGGGCGAGTCGAGTCCTGCCCTGGGCGGGCACCCCTACCCCATCCCAGCCCCGGACTTGGGGCTCAGACTCCAGCCCACAGGACTGGGCGCTGCGTCCCTGTGTCCCTGCGGCTGGCCACCCACCAGGCCAGGCCCTCACTGGCCACAGACAACCCGACAGGACCAGCAGGGGGACGCAGGGCCCGGCCACACTGAGCATTCCCCCCACCCCCCGCCACACACACACAGACACGCACAGGAGCCGGGCCCGGCTGCCCGTGCCCTGCCTTGCCCGCGGGGAGGATGGACCCTCTGCTGGCCCGGGACGCCCTCCAAACGGCTGCCCAGTGGCTGGAGGCAGGTCCTGGGCCGGGGAAGGCCCCGCCCTGTGGACTGAGATGAGCGGCAGAGGCCCCGCCCACTTAGGGTGCAGGGGCTCCAGGCCCTGGTCCTGGTAGGGGTGTGGCTGCCCTGCCACCGACAGGGAGCCCCAGGAGCTCCCCAGCCTTTGTTTGGGGGGACGCGGGCCCATGTTCCTGCGTCCCCTGCGCTTCCCGTGGGGAGGGGCCCCCCACGGCTTCCTCCCCAGCTTTCCCCAGCCTGGGGCCGCTGACTCACCCGCACGCCAGGGCAGTCCCAGCCAGCTCTGCCGCACTGGCCCGACTGGTTTGCCTGGCACAGCCCTGCCCACACCCCCCCCCCAGCCGGCCCGGCCTTTGCCCTGAGACTGGGGGAGACAGATGGCAGCCACCACACCTGGCACAGGGGGCACAGGGAAGAGGAAGGCTCTGGAGGGCGGTGGCCCTGGCTGGGGCAGGGCTGAGGGGAGGCGGGCAGCAGGAGCCCCCTGAGCCAGGGCCACTCCTGGCTCCCCAGCGCCCGCTGCAGGGCCCGGGGCAGGGCAGCCCTGGCCGGGGCGCTGCTGGCACTGCCGCCCCGCGGCATGGACGCGGCCTGGTCGCTCGTTAAAGCTGCTGCACGGAGGGCGCCCCTAACAAGCAGGCCAGCTGCCCACAGGAGGCCCGTAAACGCCTCCGAGGGGGCGGGGCTGGGCTGGCCCCCCCCCAAAAAACCAGGAGAGCCCCAGTCACAGAGGGGGGCGGGGGGGGGCTGGCGAAGGAGCCACAGGGAGAGCGCACCAGCCGCCCGGCCAGTGAGGAGGGGAGACTCAGCTGGCAGGAGGCGGGCTGTCCGGGCTGATGCCATGTGCTATGTGTGTGTGCACACGTGTGCATATATGTGAGAGAGCACGTACACGATCATGCCAGATTGTACATGTATGTGATTGCATGTGCACGTTTGCGAACATGTGTACACACATGTACATGTGTGTGAGTGATTGAATGGGCTCCTGGGCGAGCAAGTCCCTCCCAGTAGCAAGTGGGGAACCCTGTCCTCCCTGTTCCCACTGCCCGGCCCCCCCTTTTCCGTGAGGGCTGGGCAGGTGGCACGGTACCTCCCAGGGGTGCGGCCTCTTGGGGGCCCCCTCCCTCCATCCTCCAGCGCCCTCCTTTCCCTGGAACTCCGAACACGGGAATCGTGGTGTCTGCTCCGGGTGCTGTCGCCCTCCAGTGGCAGGAGCCAACCTCGGGAGGGCACCAGGGACAGGAGGTCTCCGTGACCGCCCAGCCTCTCGGCTTGGCCAGCCCTCTCTCCCCGCAGCCTCCCAGCCTGCAGCCTCCGGAGCTGGAGTCCCCTCCTCCCTGCTCCAACTGGACTCAGCTGCCAGGCTCTCCAGGGCGTCCTCCAACCCCCAGCGCACCCCTTCCTCCGTGTCCCATCTGCGAGGCTGCTCCTGGGGACCCTGGGCCAAGCCCTCCGCCAGAGTGTTCTCTGCGCCCCACCCCACGCCTGACCCCGGCGGCTCTCCGCTGGCCGCCTTCTCGTCTGTTCTCTGCGGAGCCCTGGTCTCGAGTCTTGTGCACAGTTACCCTTCTGGATGGTGGCCTAACCCCCAGCAGCACCTGCCACCTTGGCCTCCCGAGGGCCCGATAGGGAGCCTGACCCTGACCCAGGAAGGGTGGACCACAGGGGTCTGTGATGTACTGACTGTGGCTTTATTTTTAAAATCCTCACCTGAGGATGTGCTGCAGAGAGAGAGAGAGAGAGAGAGAGAGAGAGAGAGAGAGAGAGAGAGAGAGCGCGATGTGAGAGGGAACACCGATTGATTGCCTTCCTGTATGTGTCCGTCGGGGATCGATCCCACAACCCCGGCCTGTGCCCTGACTGGGAACCGAACCTGAGACCTGTCAGTGCATGGGACAACGCTCCAACCAACCAAGCCCTTGCCAAGGCCTGACGGTTGGTTTTCTAGAGGCTCCAATGCCCAACCTCGGCCCTGGCTCCAGGCGGCCAGCCGGGCACAGCAGGGAGAGCCTGCAGCTGGAAGGACCCCCAGAACCAGGAACCTGGGCTGGAAGCAAGCGCAGGGCACAGGCAGGGGCAGCCCAGAGGCCAGCCCCTCTGCTGCCCCTGCAGTTCCCGCAGCCTGAGGGCGGCCTCCGCTGCTCAGGGGGCAGGGACAGGTGACCCCCAACCGTTTCAGTCTTTGTGGTGGGCAGTGAGCTCCCCGACTGCTGCTGATGACCCCTGACCTTAAGGTGGGAGCCTGGGTCGTGGGCAACAGGCTGCTCTGTGGGGCCAGTGACTCGGGGCCGGGGTGCGTCTCTTCCTGTGGGTGCACCGGTGCCACCTGCCCAGCCCCCACCTCTGCCGGGTCAGCCAGCCTCTGGGGGGATGCCCAGGGCCTTAGGGGTGCCGTCCTGTGGGGTCCACAGTGGCTTCCCTGCCAGAGGCCATCTTTTCACCTTTCCCTGGTTTCCTACCAACGTCCTCCCCAGGCAAGGGGCTCAGGGGGCTGGCGGCTCCCCAATGTCTGGGGTTGGGCCACATGGGCCTTCCTGTCCAGACCTGGGTCTCCCCTTGCTGGCTCTGCTGGTGGCCGGTGGCCGGTGGCCAGTGGCCAGGTTGCTCTGGCTAGGCCTGTGGATGTAGAATGTGCTCTTCAGTGAGGTCGCAGGGTTAGGGTTAGGGTTAGGGTTGGGGTTGGGGTTAGGGCTGTGCTCACACACCTGGACCCAGGAGCTGGTTCCTCACCAGGGCCAAGCCGGGAGGACCAGGCGGCCACCGTCATCCAGTGCACCTTCCGGCGGTACCTGGCCAGGAAGGAGCTGGCCCTGCGGCGGCAGAAGCACGAGGAGTATCTGGAGCAGATGGAGAAGCTGCAGAGAGAGGTGGGACTCGGTCCGGGGCGGAGCCGTGGGAGTGGGGCCTGGGTCAGGTCCTGGGGGTGGGAGCTCAGGGTGCCGGGCTATGGCCTCAGGGCCGGGGCTATGGCCTCAGGGCATGCCCTCCCTCCCCCAGGCCTTCCTGGCGCTGGTGCAACGCGAGCGGGAGGTGGTGCGGCGCCGGCGGGAGGCGGAGGCAGAGGCGGAGCGGAGGCGGCAGGAGGAGCGGCGGCGCCAGGAGCGCCTGCTGGACGCAGCCTTCGAGGGGAACCTGGCGGAGATCCTGGCCGTCCTGCGGGAGGCGCGCGGGGCGGGGGCGCGCGGGGCGGGGGCGCGCGGGGCGGGGGCGCGCGGGGCGGGGGCGCGCGGGGCGGGGGCGCGCGGGGCGGGGGCGCGCGGGGCGGGGGCGAAGGTGACCCGGGGCGGTCGGAGGTGACCGGAGGGGCCGGGCGCAGGTGGAGGAGCTGCTGACGCGCGAGGGCGTGGGCCACGACGAGGCGGGGCTGGCGCGGCGGCGGCAGCGGCGGGTGGCCCTGCTGGAGTGCGAGGACTCGGGCGGGAACACGCCGCTGTCCGAGGCGGCCGTGGGCGGGCAGCCCCGGGCCATCCAGCTGCTGGCGGAGCAGGGCGCGAGCCCCAACTGCAAGGTGGGCGCCGAGCCGGGGTGCGGGGTGCGGGGGCGGCGGGGCGGGGGTGCGGGGTGCGGGCGGCTCGGGCTGAGGCGGCCAGCCCTCCGCAGGGCGCCTTCGGGCGGACGCCGCTGTACAGAGCCGCCTTCGGGGGCCACCTGGAGGCCGTGGAGGTGCTCCTGAAGCTGGGAGCCGACCCCCGCGTGTACGCGGACGACGGGAGCACCCCCGCGCAGGTGGGAGCACCCCCCCAGCCGGGACGGTGGCCTCGCTTTAAAAGAAAACACACTTTATTGATTTTTGTAGAGAGGAGGGGAGGGGAGAGGGAGAACCGTCCGTGGGAATCATGGGTCTGCTGCCTCCGCCCGCACCGCAGTCACACCTGCCCATCAGGGTCCTGGGTGGACCCCCAGCCGCGGGGCAGCCGCCCCTACGTCCTTCATTCCTGTAAGCGGCTCAGACCTGCACGCAGGCCATGGCCCATCCAGGCGTCTGTCTCCCGCCTCAGCGGGAGCCCCGGATTGAGGGGCCTGCCGGGGCGCCCCCAGGTTGCCTTTCCAGGCTGCTCCCCCTCTGCACACCCCCCCCCCCCCGCCCCTCGGCTCCTCTCTTTCATATCAGGGCGGGGAGGCGAGCAGCGGAGCTTCTGGCTCCACAAGGGAAGGGCCAGGCCGTGAGGAAGGGGGGGCCGGGGCCGTGGCCAGGGGCGGGGCCCAAAGGAACTGCCTGGTAGCCGTGGTGGTGGCTGCACAGATCGGCTGGTACACACACACGCGTGCACACATACACACATGTGCACACACACGCACATACACACACGCACGCGCACACACACGGGTGAACCGTTGTAATGGGACAGCGGTCTGGGTGGCAGCCACCTCCCGGCCTGGACACTGTCAGTGGTTGCGTGAAATGCCATCGCTGGGGAGACTTGCTAAGGGCACGGGAACCCTCCTATCGCCACGACCTCCGTAAACTGTTATTGTTTCCAAATAAACGTTTAATGGAATGTCCAGGCCTGGGAGGCGGCAGGAACGAACCCCCAGCAAAGAGCAAACTGGCTCATGGTCACCCACTCACCCAGCGGTCCATCAGCGCCCCATCCTCGCCCTTCCTGCCGTGGCAAACCACCCATTAACCCAAACCCTAATCCATACACACGCCGGCACTGCTGACGGGAGTTCTGAGGAGGCAGGGACCGTGGTTAGCCCGCGCTCGGCTCTCGGGCCCTCCGTCCTGGGCGTCACAGGAAAGAGACGCAGCTGTTTTGAACCTGCCGGCCAGGAGGTTGAGGTCTGAGTCCCGGTCAGGGCACGGGCCAGGGTTGTGGGCTCTCTCATTGCTGTTTCTATCTCCCTCTCTGACATCAATTTTAAAATATATATATTTACTTTATACATAAATAAAATAAAGCGGGCCGTACATGGAACGGCCTCCCAGGCTTCATGTAACCAGCCCTGCCCGGACCCCTCGCCAGGTGGCCTCGCTGGACGCCGTGGCCAGCGTGCTGCAGGCCTGGGACCTGAGCCTCACGGAGGCCATGCTCCACAACATGGAGGCCGAGCGGCAGCGCCGGGCGCAGGAGGCTGAGCAGCACAAGGAGGCGGAGGCTAAGCGGTGCGCCTGAGGGAGGAGCCCGGCCGCGGCCCCCCAGCCCCGCAGGCGCTCTGACCCGCGCTCCCTCCCTCCGCAGCCTGAACCTCAAAGTGCAGCAGCTGGCCAAGGAGCAGCAGCGGTGCCACAAGGAGGTGAGGCCCGGGAGCGGCCGGCGGGCGGCGGCGGAGCCGAGGGGAGGGGAGGGGAGGGGAGGGGGAGAGCCTCGGGCTGCGGCTGAGGCCCAGGACAGCCTGCGCCGCCCCCGCAGCTGCACCAGGCCTACTGCGAGCTCAACCGCAGGATCGCCGAGCACGAGAAGTGCGAGCGGAGGCGCGCGGGCAAGGCCGAGCTCACGCTGCAGGTGGGTCCTCCCGCCCCTGCAGGTGGGTCCTCCCGCCGGGAGCGTGGGGTCCCGCGGCCCGCCCCCCCTTTCCCCCCCAGCGCGGCCCTCCAGTTTGGGGGACCGGGTGGGGCCGTGGGAGCGGCGCTCAGAGCTCGTGGCCCCGCCCCGCCCCTAGGCCGTCAGAGACGCGGAGACGCAGGTGGACCGGCTGCGGCTGGAGGCCCGGAAGGCGGAGGAGACGCTGGCCCTGGCGAGGCTGGAGCTGCGGGAGCAGACCCAGGAGGGTGGGCGGGCGGGCGGGCGGGGCTGGAGGCTGGCGAGGCCGGGCGGGGAGGGCGCCGGGTGGAGCTCCGGCTGCCCACTTTGTCCCCGCAGGGGGGGAGGAGGAGGAGGTGCCGGGGCTCAAGTGCCAGGTCACCGAGCTGCACGACGTGCTGATGAAGGACGTGGGCGACCGCATTCGCGCCGACGGCCGGTCAGTGGCCCGGCGTGGGCGAGGGCCGATCCGAGGGCCCGGGCGGCAGCGGTGACCAGGTGGCCGCCCGCAGGTGGCCTCTTGTCATCGACCCCTCAGGCCAGGCGGCCACCTTCCTGCGCTACCGGGATACCAACTACGTGGACACGGTGAACCCCGACCACCTGCAGCCCGAGAGGATCCGGCTGGCACTCCTGGGGGCGCTCAGGTGAGGCGGCGGGCGCCGGGGCACTCGGGGCGCCCCTGCCAGCCCCCCGCCCTTACCACCCCTCCCCGCCGGCTCCTCCCCTCACCCCCCGCCCCGCCCCTCACCGCCCTTACCGCTCTTACCGCCGGCTCCTCCCCTCACCGTCCGCCCCGCCCCTTACCGCCGGCTCCGCCCCTCACCGCACGCCCCGCCCCTCACCGCCGGCTCCGCCCCTCCCCGCCCCTCACTGCCGGCTCCGCCCCTCACCGCCGGCTCCTTCCCTCACCGCACGCCCCGCCCTCACCGCCGGCTCCTCCCCTCACCGTCCGCCCCGCCCCTTACCGCCGGCTCCGCCCCTCACCGCCGGCTCCTCCCTTTACCGCCCGCCCCGCCCCTCACCGCCCCCCACTGCCGGCTCCTCCTTTCACCGCCCTCCCCGCCCTCCCCGCCGGCTCCTCCCCTCACCGTCCGCCCCGCCCCTTACCGCCCGCCCCGCCCCTTACCGCCGGCTCCGCTCCTCACCGCCCGCCCCGCCCCCCTCCCGCCCCTCACCGCCCCCACCGCCGGCTCCTCCCCTCACCGCCCGCCCCGCCCTCACCGCCGGCTCCTCCCCTCACTGCCGGCTCCGCCCCTTACCGCCCGCCCCGCCCCTTACCGCCGGCTCCTCCCCTCACCCTCCGCCCCGCCCCTTACCGCCGGCTCCTCCCCTCACCCTCCGCCCCGCCCCTTACCGCCGGCTCCTCCCCTCACCCTCCGCCCCGCCCCTTACCGCCGGCTCCTCCCCTCACCCTCCGCCCCGCCCCTTACCGCCGGCTCCTCCCCTCACTCTCCGCCCCGCCCCTTACCGCCAGCTCCTCCCCTCACCCTCTGCCCCCCCCTTACCGCCAGCTCCTCCCCTCACCGCACGCCCCGCCCTCACCGCCGACTCCTCCCCTCACCCTCCGCCCCTTACCGCCGGCTCCGCCCCTCACCGCACGCCCCGCCCTCACCGCTCGCCCCGCCCCTCAGGTATGGGAAGCCCCTGGTGTTCGATCTGCGGGAGATGGACCTGTTCCCTGCGGTGCAGCGGCAGCTGGAGGCGGTGCAGCAGGGCCTGGCGCAGGAGCTGCTGAGCCGCAGGCTGCTGGAGCAGGACCGCTACCTGTCGCTGCTGAGGCCCACGGACGGGCCGGAGTACGGCCCCACCCAGTTCCAGGAGGCCCGCCTGGAGCAGTTCCGCCTCTTTTTTGTCACCCAGGTGCGGTGGCCCCCGGCCGAGCAGTTGCAGGCCCTGCTCCCCGTGCAGGTGCAGCTGCCCAGCGAAGGCCTTTAGCAGCGGCACCAATAAAGCAAAGCCCTGGACCTCCGCTGTGCGTGCTGCGTGCGTACGAGCACCCCTGCGGGTGGAACGTGCCTCTGCCGGTGCGGGAGGGAGCAGAGCGCCGTCTAGACGCCTGGTCAGGGGAGCCAGGCTGAGGAAACTGGTTTGCAGGACTTGGGGTGCCCCTGCTGGAGGTGGGAGCAGCAGAGTGGGGAGACCTGGGAGCGCAGTGACCTGCCCAGGGCCCCGGCCTCGGAGGGCAGTGGGTGTGGTGTGGGTGGTGGAGTCAGGCAGCCAGAGGTAAAATGTAGTCAATTTTATTTCCTTAAACCACAAAATAGAGTCTTTGGTTGTACAAACATCACTAGTTACAGTCTTGCCAAGAGGTCCCAGCTGGGGAGGGAAGGTTAGTCACGGCCAGAACTCCTGAGGGGTCTCTAAACCTAACACCAGGTTAAAGGACTCGGGGCCGGGGCGGTGGTGCTGGCGGCCCCACCCCAAGTCCGGGGAAGGGACGGCCTTAGGAGGGCACGGGGCCCAGGCCGCGGCGCCCCGGCCGCAGGGGGCGGCGGCTGCTACACAGGGCCCCGTCCTCAGGGCCCACGGCGTCCGGGGAAGGCCTGCCCAGGAGCACCAGGGCCACCTCTCCGTCCTCCTCCTGCAGGCCTGCGGGCAGAGGCGGGTGAGGGGGGGCCGGTGCCCCGCGTGCCCCCCCGCCCCCCTCCCTCCGGCCGGCCACTCACCGGGGCTGGGAGACGGCTCCAGGCACCGCAGCTCCTCCGCCAAGTCCGGGGACTGCGGGGGGGAAAGGCAGGTCAGGCTAGGCCCCACCTTCCGAACCACCGCACCCGGGAGGTCTGCCCAGAGGGGGCGCTGGAGGGGCCGGGCGGGAGGCCGGGGCCGGCCGGCCCGGTACCTGCAGGTCACAGACAGGCCTGGAGGAGGGCAGGGCGGCGAACACCCTGTAGTCGAACTTCCTCCCAGACAAGGCCTTAGAGGACAGCATGAGGAGAGAGGCAGAGCGAGCTGAGAGAGGGCGGGGCGGCCGCCTGGGCGGGCTGGCGGGCGGGCGGGGCGGGGCGGTCCTCACCAGGCGTCCCGGCGAGCTGCCAGTCAGCGGGCCGAGGTCTGGGGGGACAAGAGACGGGTGTCGGGGGAGGTCGGCGCTGCAGGCCAGGCCTGGCTGCCCCCGGGCGCACGGACCTTCCAGGGGGGTGGGCGACGGGGTGGGCGCGGGCGAGGGGGCCTCGGCCAGCCGCTCCAGGGGCCCCCGCTTGCCGCCGCGGCCGTCCTGGGACTTGCTGAGGACCATCTGCGCGCGGAGGGCGTCCTGCTCCAGGGACTTCATCCTGCGAGGGCGGAGGCGGGGCTGGGCGGGCGGAGGCACGGGGCGGCGGGGAGCGGCAGGGGCAGGGGCAGGGGCAGGGGCAGCGGCGGGGCCTCACCTGGCCGCCCTCCACAGTGCTCGCTTCTCGGCCTCCAGCGCGCGGCGCTCGGCCGGAGACAGGGCCCGCTCGGGCGCCGGCAGCTCCGGGCTCTGCACACGCAGCCGCTCCTGATGGCGCCGCTCCGCCTTGGCCGTCCGCACCGGGGCGCTGCCTCCCAGGGGCGCCGGGGACGTGGGGAGCAGCCTGGGGGGACAGGAGCGCCAGTGGGTGGCGTCCGGCGGGGGCGGGGCGGGGATGGAGACGCGGGTTCCCCGGGCCTCACCCTGCAGCGGGGGCGCCAGCCCACGGAGGCTCGTCCTCGGGCTCCTCGCTGTCCGGGGCCTCCCCGTCCGCGAGCCCCGCGTCGGCCGCCTCGCGCAGCATCTGCGCCCGCTTCTGCTGCAGCTTCCGGGCTTCCTCCTCCTGCATCTTCCGCAGGTCGTCGGCGCCCACCAGGGACACGCGCTTGGGGGGGCCCTCGGCCTGCGGCGCCCGCACCTCCAGCTCAAAGTACTTCTGCCGCTCGCGGAAGGACAGCTGCTCCGGGGAGGCGGTGCGGCCCGGCGTGCAGGGCTGCGGGGAGGGGGTCTGAGCCGGCTTCCTCCTCGGCCTGCACCCCCTCCTCCCCGGGCGGCATGCGGGCCCGCACCGCACCGCGCCTACCGGGGCAGCTGGGTCCGGGGGCGGGTGCGGGGCCGGCACGGCGGCGAAGGTCCGGTAGGCTCGTTTCACATCCGAGGGCAGCTCGTCCGGGGAGGGCGGGGAGGGGGGCTGGGGGAAGGCTCTCCTGAGCTGCGTGGGGACAGCTGTCCCGGCCCCAGCCACCGCCCACCGCCCACCGCCCACCGCCCTCAGCTGTTGACTCTGAGATCCGACCTCCACTCCCGGCCCGCGGGTCAGGGCACTCACAGAGCAGGGATTGCCTCTGCCCCTGGGGGCCGGGGAGCCCCTTGGCCAGACCTGAGCCAGCGGCTGGATCACCCCGGGTTTTGTCTGCAAAGGGCAGGGTCCAGAGGGGGGGGACCAGGGGTTCAGGCCAGGGGTGGGGATGGAAGGGAAAGACAGAGATGGAGCCACGGTGGCAGCAGGGCGGGTGCCCAGGTCCCCATGCAGCAGAACCAGGGAGTGGGGCAGGGCCAGGTGCAGGGGAGAGGCCGTGACCACTCAGCCCCACGGCCCCAGGGCCCCCGGAGCTCCCTGCTCCATGCCAGCCAGTCTGGCTAAGAAGGTGCTGTGGGCTGTGCCCACCCAGAACAACAGGTGCACCCATAGGTGCTGCCCCGGCCCCACTTCCTGGAGGACAAGCACCCATCCTGGAGGGCACTCACCTGTTGGTGGCCGGGGGAGTGAGGAGCGTCAGCCATCTTCCCTCCAGCAGCCCCAGGCGGTACCTGGAGGAGCCAGAAGCCGGGTGAGGGTCAGGCGGGGGGCCATAAGGGGTTGGGGAGTGGGGTGCTTGCCTGGTGCAGAGGCTGGTGCTCAGCTCCTGGATCCGGCCACAGCCCAAGGGGGCTGCCCAGATGGGCCCAGCCAGCGCCAAGGCTTCCCCCAAAGGGCTGTCCCCTGGAGCCCCCCAGGTGTCCCCCCCCGCCCCCTGCTGCTGGAACAGAGGGCCTGGCCCGGTGCTGCCCCGCCCAGGTGCCTGGCAGTGGGCAGTCCGGAGCTTCAGAGAAGCAGGGACACAGACAGACCAAGAGGAAACGGTCCCACAGCTGCCCTCGGTCAGAGGACACGGCCCGCCGCCCCAGGGCCTCCTCTCCAGCTGCTCCTGGCTGAGGCTGGCCCAGGTGAAGCCCTCGGCCCTCACCTCCCTGCCCTCCGAGGCCCTCGGCCAGCACCGCGGCGCCGCCCGCCCACCACTCACGTCGGGGGGGTCGCAGTGGCGCTGTGGACAAGCCTCCGGGCTATTTATACTTGGGAGGAGCAGGCCTGGCTGTCCGTCCTGCCCGCGCCCACGCCCGCCCCAGCCAGCTGTCGGCTGCCCCCAGCCCGGCCTCCACAGCTCCCGGCAGCTGCTCCGGCCCGTCCTCTGATGACGGCTCGGTGCAGTGAGGGGCTTGGACCCCTGACAGCGGGGCGGCCACCGGCAGGTGAGTGCCCGCCAGCCCTAAAGGCCCTGACCCGGTTCTCCCCCCTCCACCCGCTCGCTCTGGCGAGGGGCTCCCATGGCGTCAGCCTGGCCCTTACAGGAGCCTGTGGCCCCACCCGCTCGGCCCTTCAGGGTCTCAGGTGACGGCAGGGATGGGACCAGCAAACAGGTTGCTGGGGACTCGGCCCTAGAAGCCAAGGACCCAGCGCGAGGAGGGGCGGGCGGTGACGTAGGCGAGGTGGGCGGCCTGGAGAGCCGTGGAGGGGTCTGGGACACGCTGCCCACTCCCGTGTCCCCGGGGAGGACCCGCCGAGCTGAGCCGGCCACGGCCAGCACTCACCGCGGCCTCCGGTCCCCACTGCGGCGTCGGCCCCGGCAGCTCCTTCTCCTGGGAGCAGAGCAGCCGGCGGTCAGCACCCGCGGCCTCGGGCTGCCCGGCCCCGGGCTGCCGGCCGCAGGCGGCGCTGACCTTGCCGGGGCCGTCGGGGCTCAGCTCCCGGTCGATGGAGGACACGCTCTCCAGGCTGTTGCGGCGGCTGATGCCAGCAAAGGGGTTGGCGATGACGCCCGGGGACACCTAGGGGCGGGCACACGTGTGTGGGCGGTCCCTGCCACGTCCGTGGTGAGGCGCGAGCCTGTGTGGTGCCTCAGGCCGTGGGAGCCGGCCCGCCGGACCTGCAGCGGTTCTAGGAGCAGCAGCTGCGGGGCGCCACTGAGCCGTCGAGGCGGACACAGCGGGTGCTCGGGGCGTCTCCCTCCAGGGACGCCGAGCAGAACCTGGCTGTCCGGGGTGTGGGCCCGCTGCCCGGCGCTGCCTGGGAAAGGCCCCGGCGCCAGCTCTGGGCTGCGCCCTGGGGGCAGCCCCGGAGGGCGGACGGCGCCCTCGATGAGTGCCGCCGGGTCACCTCCTTCGGGACTGGCCAGCCCCGGCCACCTGCTCCGCTCGTCCTCGGCCGAAGCCCGCACGTCAGGAGCAGCGGCCAGCCCGTACCCGGGGCCCCACCCACCCCGCCGCCCCGCCCGGCACTGACCTCGGCAGGGGCGTCGAAGCCGTCGCACACGAGCACGGTGAGCGTGTCGCCCGCGCTGCGCAGCAGCTGCACGGCCTCGGCGTGCGTGAGGCCCAGCAGGCTCTGCTGGTTCACCTCCAGCAGCCGCAGCCCCACGCGCAGGCGGCCGTCCCGCCCGGCGGCTCCCGCGGGGCTCACCTGCCGGGACACCAGCGGCACTCAGGGCGCCGCCCGGCCGCACTCGCCGGCCCGCCGGCCCAGGCCCTCACCTTGGAGATGAAGATGCCCTCGTCGGTGGGGTCGCAGGGGTTCCCCGCGTGGCCCTTGGCGCCCCCCCGGATGCTGATGCCCAGCTTCTCTCCGGGCGCCTTCTGGATGCAGAGCTCGCGCAGGCCAGGGGGCGGCGGGTCCCTCCGCACCAGCAGCACCAGCTCCAGGCACGGCCGCAGCAGCGCGCCCACCGCCTCCTGGTGCGTGGCCTCCCGCACGTCCTGCCCGTTCACGGCGAGGATGCGGTCCCCGACCCGGAGGCCGCTCCGGGCGGCCAGGCCCCGCGGGAGCACCTGCAGGGGGCAGTGCGGGCTCAGCGCCCCGGCCGGGCACCCCCCCCCCCCCCCGCCCCGCAGTGCCCGGGGCCCTTCTACCTTCGAGATGAACACGCCAGGCTCCTGGGCACCGAACGGGTGGCTGGAGTGGTCGGAGCCCCCGACAACGCTGAGCCCCAGCGGGCCCCCTGCCCGCGGCAGACAGATCTCCTGGGGACACCGAGGGCGGGAGCGGGTGGGGCCAGCCGCCAGACCAGCTGAGGGGCTCCCCTCCAGCCCAGGGCACGGCGCCAGGTGTCGGGTGGGGCCCGGGGAGAGGACGCTGTGCTCGGACAGAGCCTGGCGTCCTGGGCTGAGCGCCTGCTGGCGGGCAGGCTGCGAGGGACGCGGGGCGGGTTGGGGGAGGTCTCACCTCCACGGGGTAGGGCCCCTCCAGGGCAGCGGTGAGCAGGCTGGGGGCCAGCCGCAGAGGCCCAGGGCCTGCTGGTGTGGCAGGGGCCACGGTGGCGGGGTCGGCAGCAGGGGGTGCAGGGGAGTGAGGCGGGGGGCTGGGCGGAGGGGGGCCCCCTGCCTCCCGCTCCAGCAGCAGGGCGATGGTGGGGGCGGCGGCGGTCAGCAGGGAGACGGCGTGGTCGTGCCTGGCCTCGGTCATGTCCACCCCGTTGATGGAGAGGACGCGGTCGCCGACCTGCAGGGTGCCCGCCCGGTGGGCAGCGCCGCCCTCGGCGATCCGTGAGATGAAGATGCCCTGCGGGGGAGGGGGCAGCCGTGCCAGGAGCTCGGGCGCGGGTACCCGGCCCCAGGGCCCCCGCGCCGCTCACCGTGCCGCTCACCGTGTCGCCAGCCCGGTAGGGCGTGGAGCCTTTCCCGCCGGCGATGCTGAAGCCCAGCCCCCGCTCGCTGCGCACCAGGCAGGCCACGTGGCGCTGCCGCGGGGGCCCCGGGCTCTCGGGCGGGGGCGGGCGCGGGCCCCGCCGCGCCCGGGGGCTGTAGTCGTCCTCGGGCCGCAGGGGCGTGAGGGTGACGGCGTTCTCGGGCTCCACCATGCGCTCCCGCCACAGCCGCATCTGCACGGTGGCGCCCGCCCCCCGCAGCGCCTCCACGGCCTGGTGGTGCTCGGCGCTGTGCAGGGCCACGCCGTTCACCTGCGACCGGACGTGGCGTCACGCCCGCCACGCCCTCGCCAGGCCCTCCCACAGTCCAGCTCCGGGGGTCCCCCCCGGACGGCACCAGCCCTGCCGACCAACACCCTGACGCCCGCTGGGCTGGTGGCCTGGCATCCAACTCCCAACCAGACCTGCAGGGTGCCGCGGCCGGCCAGTCCCCGGGCAGTCCCCCCTGCCCTGCCTCTCGCCCGGCCCGGTGGGTGCCCGGAGCCCCACCCCGAGGGGCTGCCGTGTGGGGCTGAGACTCACCTCCAGGAGCTTGTCGCCCACTCGGACTCCAGCGCGGGCGGCGGGGCCCTCCTCCGACACCCGGGAGATGAAGATGCCCTGGAGAGGGCGCGAGTGCTGAGCCGCGGAGCAGCGGGGGCCAGGGCAGCCCAGAGGTGCCGGACCTGCGGCCCATCTCCGGGAAGCTGCGACCCAAAGCAGGCCTGGCCTCCGCCTGCAGGCTGTGCTGCCCTCCCTCCGACGGGCCCTCCGATCAGGCCCCAGGAGCCGAGGTCAGCCCTGGTCAGCGGTCAGCACCAGGGAGGAGCCGGCTGCCGGAGGGCAGGTCTCCTGGGGCCGGGAGCAGGTTCGAGGGCAGTGCTGTCGGAGAGCAAGCTGAGCCCGGCCGGCGAGGCTCCGTGACTCTCAGCATCGACATTTCACACACACACACACACACACACACAGCCCCGGTCTCTGAAGCCAGAAAAGGAGCCAAGCGGAGGAGGAGGTCCGGGGCAGGGGTGAGGGGTGCTGGGACGGGGCGAGAGGGGCAGAGGCACTCACCTCGTCGTCCCCCTTGTAGGGGGTGGAGCCCTTGCCGCCTGCAATGCTGATGCCCAAGCCGCCCGTCTGCCGCACGATGGTCAGCGTCAGCTGGAGACGGAACAGACCGGGGCTCAGGGAGGGCGAGGGCGGCCGAGGCTGCAGAGGCGGGATTACTGGGCGGGGTGGCGGCTCGGCGGGGAGGGGGTGAGGCCCCAGGCCCACACCTGCCGAGACCCCCCGCCCCGCCCCGTGCCCCTGGGCCCGGGGTCAGCGGGCCCCTCAGGGCGGGGCAGGCTCCCCGGGCTGCCAGGAGGGGGAGGCGCGTGACCCGCAGCCCGAGGCAGCGCACAGCGGGCGGAGCAGCCAGTACAGACCTCTTCCTCCTCAATGCGCGCGGGCTCTATCAGCAGGTTATGGGCCTGGTCAAACGACACCCCCTGCAGGACAGGACCAGCGAGGCATGCGTGAGCGCCCGCCACCGCCGCCGCCGGCCCCACGAGCAGCAGAGGAAAGCCCGCAAGCTCCGACGCAGCCTGGCCCGCGAAGCCCCTCAGCTCCCGCCACGGCACGCACCGGCTCGGCACGCACCGGCTCGGCACGCACCGGCTCGGCACGCACCGCCACGCACGCACCGGCTCGGCACGCACCGCCACGGCACGCACCGGCACACATGCACCGCCACGCACGCACCGGCACGCATGCACCGCCACGCACGCACCGGCTCGGCACGCACCGCCACGCACGCACCGGCACGGCACACACCGCCACGCACGCACCGCCACGGCACGCACCGGCTCGGCACGCACCGGCTCAGCACGCACCGGCTCGGCACGCACCGGCTCGGCACGCACCGCCACGCACGCACCGGCTCGGCACGCACCGGCTCGGCATGCTGAGCTCAGGGCGAGAAGGCTAAGGTGTCAGATGGGTGCGAGGGCACAGGGCACCCAGAGAGCAGGCAGGACCACGAGCCAGGAGAGCCACGGAGGCCGGGAAGGGCCGGGAAGGCAGAGCAGCCAGGGAGCCGGAGGGGCCGCTCGGCACAGGAGGGGCCTCTGGGCCCAGCCGGAGGGGGTGGTGTCACAGCCCTTGGAGGGGGTCCCTCTGCGGGGCCTGGAGCTGCGGCGCCTGCTCAGACGGTGCCGCAGGCCCGGGTACTCGGCACCAACGGGCCCGGCACCGAGCAGCAGCCGGTCAATCGAACGGAGACCCACCTTGACGGAGGGCACGGAGGCCACCGCCGCCTCCTCCTCCTCCTCCTCCTCCTCCGCCGCCGCCGCCGCCGCCGCCGCCGCCGCCGCCGCCTCCTCGTGGTCCTCGGGCCCCTCCTCCTCCTGGGCCCGCGGCGCCCAGGGTGCGTGCGGGCCGTTGTGCCAGCCGCCGTCCGGCCGCATGCCCTGCAGCAGCGCCACAACGGCCTCGGGCTGCGGCAGCCGCGACACCTTGAGCTGCTTCTTGTAGTGCGGCGTGTCCTTGCGGGTGAGCCGCTGCCGCCCGGGCAGGGCCCAGGGCGCCTCCAGAGACCCCTCCTCGCTCTCACCGCCTTCCCCGGCGGGCAGCAGCTGCGTCTCCTCGGCGAACCGCACCGTGGGCTGCGAGGGGCACGCGTGAGGGGCCGGCCCCGCCCCGGGGCGCCCCCTCCTGTGAGCACTCGGGCGGTGGAGGCGGGAGCACCGTCAGGACCAGGGAAAGGTCAGGGGAGTCTGCGGGGATCTGCTTGATGACCGTGGAAGGCAGCTGGGGGAGACCCTCCCGCCCCCCGCTCCCTACCCTGACGGTCCTGCAGGCACCTGCGGGGGGCAGCGGGCCCCCCAGGCAAGTGGCCTCCCGGGCGGCCTCACCTCCTCGTAGGCGTCCTCCTCGGCCTCCTCCGGGGTGGCCGGTGGGCGCGGGTCCTCTGCCTCGGCCGGCAGGCCCTCGGGCTCACCCTGGGAGGCGGGGCTGGTGGGCAGAGGCGCGTCCTCACTCAGGCCGGACCCGGTGCTCAGCCTCTTCTCCTGCCGACATCGGCGGGTCAGGCCTTGCCTGCCCAGCTCCTGCCCCAGCCCCTCAGAGCCTACGGGGGCCGCAGCGCTGAGTGCAGGGCGAGAGCTGAGCACGCAACCACCTGGGGGCGCCCTCCCAGTGGCCCAGAGCACCCCAGCAGTTGTGGGGCCCCCGCTCCTTCACAGCTGACGCCGCCTGTGCCCGCTGGCGGGCACTCACAGGGGCGTGCCACCCGCAGAGCCAGACCCCTCCCCTGGCCACCACGGACAGGGCCTGAGCCGTCCACTCCTGCCCCACACGCCTCCACCCTGTCCCCCACCCCCCAGCACCCTGCCCTGCACCCTCACAGCTCTGCCCTCCCTGGGCCCTCAGAGCCCACCCCCAGGACAGGCCCTCCCGCTCCGTGCCCCGTGGCACCTCCTCCGAGGGCGAGGGCGAGGGCGAGGGCGAGGGTGAGGGCGGCCGGGGGCCAGGCCTGCAGGCTTCGCCTCGCCGCTCCTCCACGGCCCTCTTCATCACCTTGAGCTCGCTGGGGTGGGGCGTGGCCCGGCGCTGCAGTCCCTGCGGGCACGCACAGGCGAGGGGTGGGGGCGAGGGGCGAACGCAGGGCCGGTGGGGGCAGCCCAGGGCCAGCCCCCCGTACGCACCCGCTTCTCGGCGGCGGCCTCCTCGGCGTCCTCGTCGCTCACGGGGGCCCCCAGGAACTTGATGACGCTGACGCGGCTGAGGGGGGCGTCGCTCCAGCTCCCCGAGGGGCTGCTCCGCGGCTCGGGGTCCTCTGGGGGGCGGGGCGGGGGCGTCAGGCTCGCTCAGTGGCCAGGCCCCACGCCCGCCTCCCGCCGGCGCGCAGACCTACCGAGGCTGGGCGGGGGCTGCTGGGGCAGCAGGTAGCAGGTGAGCACCTTCTCGCCTGTCTGGGCGTCGTCCTCCGTCTGGAACCGGAGCATGGGCTGCGCCTGGTTCTCTGCCAGCCACAGGGCCTTGAGGTTGAGGTGGGTGAGCGCGAACGGCAGACTCTGCAGCCTGGGGGCCGCGCACAGTCAGCGGGGTGTGGTCAGCCAGGGGGCACGGTCAGCGGGGTGTGGTCGGCCAGGGGGCACGGTCAGCGGGGTGTGGTCGGCCAGGGGGCACGGTCAGCGGGGTGTGGTCAGCCAGGGGGCACGGTCAGCGGGGTGTGGTCGGCCAGGGGGCACGGTCAGCGGGGTGTGGTCAGCCAGGGGGCATGGTCAGCCGGGGGGGGGGGCACAGTCAGCCGGGGGCAGGCAGGGGCTCTCACCGGTTCCCGGCCACGTCCAGCACGTGCAGCTCGGCCGTGTGGGCGAGCTCGGGCGGCAGGACGGCCAGGCGGTTGTCCCTCAGGGACAGGACGCTGAGAGCCGCGCAGCCTCCAATCTCGGGGGGCAGCGCCTCCAGGCGGTTGCGGTCCACATTGAGGTTGGTCAGCTTGGTCAGCTTGCCCAGGGAGTGGGGCAGCGCCTGGCCCGGTGGGGAGAGGGGTCAGAGGTCGGCAGAGGCTGGGTGAAGAGGAGACGCACCCCTGGGCCGTCGCTCACCGTCCGGCCTCTCCCCCTCCCGCCCCCGCCCCTCCAGGCGGACACCGGCCGGCACAGGGACACCCGCTCGCCTGCCCGCGGCCCCGCCCCCTGCCGCCCTGCCGCCTCTGGAACCGACGGGGCGGGCGCGGCCGGCGCCTACCGTCAGCAGGTTCTCGGTGAGGATCAGCTCAGACAGGTTCTCACAGCCCCCGATGGCCTCCGTCACCTCGTTGAGGCGGTTCTGGTCCACCTTCAGGATGGACAGCTGCTTCAGCTGGCCTGGTCGGGCGGCGTGGCGAGAGGGCCCACTCAGGGAGACAGCCTGCCCTCCCCGCCCCCACGTCCTCCACGCCTCAGCCCTGGAGACAGCCTTCCGCTCTGCGGGTAGGCCGCCTGCTCGGCCGGCACCCCCACTCGGCACCACGCGCCTGGGGGGCCCCTCACAGCCACCCCACCCGACCGCAGCCCGGCCCTCAGGGCCGCCCGGTGCCCGGCGGGACTGACCGATGCCGTCCGGCAGCCGCTGCAGCAGGTTCTGGGACAGCAGCAGGTCCGTGAGCAGCGCCAGCCCGCCCAGCTCCGTGGGCAGCGCCTCCAGCCGGTTCTCGGACACGTCCAGGCACACCAGGCGCCGCAGGTTCCCAAGCTCCTGCGGGCGGGCGGGTCAGGGGCGGCCGGGCCCGCGGGCGGGCGGGTCAGGGGCGGCCGGGCCTGAGGGCGGGCGGGTCAGGGGCGGCCGGGCCCGAGGGCGGGCGGGTCAGGGGCGGCCGGGCCCGAGGGCGGGCGGGTCAGGGGCGGCCGGGCCCGAGGGCGGGCGGGTCAGGGGCGGCCGGGCCTGAGGGCGGGCGGGTCAGGGGCGACCGGGCCCAGGGGCGGGCGGGTCAGGGGCAGCCGGGCCCGCGGGCGGGCGGGTCAGGGGCGGCCGGGCCTGAGGGTGGGCAGGTCAGGGGCAGCCGGGCCAGGGGCAGCCCGCACTCACCGGAGGCAGTGCTGACAGCTGGTTGCGGTCCAGCCACAGCTCCCGCAGGTTGGGCAGGGCGCCCAGGGTGTCGGGCTGCGGGAGAGGGCAGGGTGAGTGCAGCTCCCCGCAGGCCGGCCGCTGCCCTGCGCCCTCCCACGCCCCGCCCTCCGCACCAGCACTTCCAGGTCGTTGCCGCCCAGATCCAGCTGCTCCAGCTTCACTAGGAAGGACAGGGACCTGTGGGAACAGGCGGCTCTCGTGTCAGGCGCCCGGCGAGCTGCCCCCACGGGGCGCCTGGCACTCACGCGGGCAGAGACTTGAGCAGGTTCTCCCGGAGCTCCAGGGTGACCAGGTTGGCGAGGCTGGAAGAGAGGCGGCGGCATGAGGGCGGGCGGGCGGCGGGCAGGAGGGCTGCGGTGGGCGGGAGGAGGGCAGCGGGCGGGCAGAGGGCGGTGGGCAGAGCCAGGACCCGCGAGGGGCACTCACTTGCCCACGTCCCCGGGCAGCGCCTGCAGGGACACGTCGTTGAGGGCCAGGTGGGCCAGGCTGCGCAGCTGGGTGAAGCCCTCGGGGAGCCTGTGCCGGAGGAGAGGGGCTTCAGAGGAGCAGGCCGGGCGGGGCCCCCCGCGCCCCCAGCCCGGCCCCGCACCTGGACAAGGGGTTCCCGCTGAAGTCCGCGATCTCCAGGGCCTTGCAGAACTTGATGCTCTCGGGGATCTCGGGGATGTCTGTGACGGGAGCGGGGTCACCATAGACACCCCCAGCCTCGGGGGGCCAAGACCTCCCTGCCCCCCAGGCCCCCCACGCCCGGGCCCCACCGTTCCGGGACACGTCCAGCTCCACCAGCTGCATGAAGTTGGCCACCTCGGGGGGCAGGCGCTGGATCTCGTTGTCACTCAGGCCCAGCCTGCGCAGGTTCAGCAGGCGGAAGAAGGGCTGGGGGCGGGGGCAGGTCAGGGGAGCAGAGGCGCCTCCAGGGCAGATGCAGGCTCCCCAGTCACAGGCCCCCGGCCTCTGCCTGCTCCAGCCCCACAGGAGCCCAGGGTCCTGCCCCTGCCCATCTGAAGCAGGAAAGTGCGGCAGGAACAGGCACACGTACACACACGTACATACACATACATGTACACACGCACACACATGCACAGACATACGCGCACACACGCGTGGCTAGCGCTAGGGCTCTTCCTGTCACCTCAGACGGGCTCTGCCGCTGTCACCACGCCTCACACTTTCCATCTCATCTGGCCTCATCCCTCCTACCCGGTGTTCCTCTGGCTCCACCTGCCACCTGAGGGACCTCCTGAGTGGCGCCTTGCCCTCCCCCAGGGCTTCCCCCACTGCACTGCAGCCTCCCCGGCCCAGGCCGGCGGGGGCCCCGGAGTGGAGGCAGCAGAGCCGCACGCCGGCGGAGCTGCGTGCAGGGGCAGCAGGGAGCCGGGCACCTGGACAAGACCTGCGAGCAGCCCTGGCGAACACGGCCAGGCGGGAGCCACATCCTCTGGCCCGCAGCCCCAGGCCACTCGACTCCAAAAGGAAACCCCTGACGCTTCCTTCAGCCCCGCTGCCGAGGAGCCTGTGAGAGGAGCGCCAGCCGACCTGGGGGACAAGCAGCAGCGGGCGGCGGGCAGAGGGCGGGAGCCAGGGACAAGCCCCGGTGGGGGCTGCGGGCCCTCCCCAGGCCGGGGCCGGGGGGAGGAGGAAGGCAGTCCCGGCCGGCCCCCCTTCCCGCGCCGCCGGCAGGTGAGCGCCTGCAGGGCCGGGTTCACTTTCACCTTGGCCCGCATCTGCCCCGCTTCCCCTGCAGCTTCCCCGCGGCCTCGGCGCGGTGACCATCCCGCCCCCGGGCAGGCACCTGACCACGGACCGCCGCCACCTGGTGCCGGCGCCGCGGGGCGCGGAGGGCGAGGCGGCGGGTGGGGCTCCGGCCGGCGAGAACCGGCAGGGCCGGCTGCAGGGCCCCGCCCGGCCGGCGGCCTGCGAGCGCGCTCACCTTGGGCAGCTCGCGCAGCTGGTTGGCGTCGAGCAGCAGCTCCTCGAGGCTGCGGCTGTAGCGGTAGATCTCCTCGGGCACGGCCTGCAGCGAGCAGTGCCGCTTGTCCACCGACTCCACGTGCCGGTTGCAGCGCCAGAGCGGGATGCACTTGAGCATGGTGCGGGCGGCGCGGGCGGCGCGGGCGCGGGCAGCGGCGGGGGGCGGGGCGGGCCCGCATGAGCGCCCGGCGGCGCGGACGGCGGGAGGGGCGGGGGCGGCCGGGCTGGACGGCGCTGGGCCCGGCCCGCGCCCGGAACGCTCGCAACGCTCGGTCCCCCGGGGGGCGCGGCTCGGCAGCGCTCACTCTCTCAGAAGACGGCGAAGGTGGCGGCGGCCCCGCATCCCGCCCGGCCCCCGCCCGCTCGCCCGCCGCTGTGCCGCAGCCGGAACCGCCGCCGCTACTCGCCGGACTGCCCCGCCGACAACCGCCGGCCGCCGCGCAGCCCGCCGGGAAGGCGAGGCCCGCCCATCGCCGCAGGGACTGCAAACCCCACAAGGCCGTGCGGCGCCGGCGCCTCCGAGGACCCGTAGCGAGTTCGCGCACAGCCTGCTGGGAAGCCCCGCTCCCGACCTGGGCGCGAGGCACGATGGGAACTGAAGTCCGCTGTGGCTAGAGGTGTGCGGGCCCTGGCCTTCCTACCACCTTGCCTAGACCTTCCGGCGCTTGTTCCCTCCGTGGAGTTGGCCCCCTGATCACTGAAGCAGCCCGGCACCCTCTTCCCATAACCGGCCCTCCGAGCTCAGTGACCGCCCCCCTCCTGCCTGCTCTCATTTATAGGGCAGCCCGGCCAGCCCCCCCCACACCCCCGGGCATCCGCAGTCCCCCAGCCAAGAAGCACTGGACCACCATGGCCTTTGGCCAGCAGCATCTGCACTTTATGCGCGTGGGCCGAGACACTACAAAACCCAGGGGAAAAAGGAGCAAGTGCAAGTCCAGGGAATGGGGCCAAGGTCACGCGGAGAGGTCACTGTTATCAAATCGCTCCTGGTCATACACTTCGGCCACCACCTTGCGGCCGGCAAACCAGCGCCCATTGAGGGCCTGGATGGCCTTGTGAGTCTCGGAGGCCATGGAGAACTCCACAAAGATCTTTACGATGATCTCCGCATCCTCCTCCTCGCCCTGCTTCTCCTGGTAGATGATGACGCGGTTGACGGCGCCGAACTTGCCGCACTCCTCCGTCACCTCCCCCTCCAGGTCGTCGTCAATGTCCTTGGGGTCCACCATATTGCGCAGAACCATCACCGTGGACTGTGGGGGGGACGACAGCTGAGCGCTGCTGAACCACAGCACCGCCCCCCCACATCACCCCCCACCCGGCCCGGCCCCACCCGGCCCCACCTCCTGCTTGCGGAGCAGCTTCTGCATGACCATGTGGCGGGCGCTGCTACCCGAGATGCTCATGTGCTCCTGCTCACTCAGCATCTCCGGCCGCTCAGACTCGGTGAACAGCTCCTCCTCCTCCTTCTCCTTCTTGGGCTCCAGGAGGCCCAGCGTCGGGGGGCTGGCAAGGATGGGGTTCACCACTCCCACAGAGGGGATGGTGACCGGGATGGGAGGCCGGGCTGGGGTCACTCCTGCAGCAAACACACCGAGTCCAGTGTCACCCCCTCCCTCCTTCAGGACCACGCACCACGGCGGGCCTGCCTGGGGTTTGCAGGCCCCCAAGCTGAGGGCAGCTGGGGGAGTGAGCCCGGAGGAGAGGGGCAGGGGCTCACCTGTGATGACTCCTGGGGCCTGGGCAGCCATGACAGCCTGAGGTAAAGCCCCCAAGGGTTGGGCCAGAGTCAGTGCAGGGGACACCAGTCCAGGTGTGGCCAGGGTACCCAACACTGCTGCTCCGGCCACTGCTTCCTGCAACCACAAAGGCCACCACACTGAGCCCCAAGTCTGGCTGCCTCCACTCTACACCACCCCGAGAGCCAGTCAGTCCCCCAAGCACTGGGGTCTACTGCCAGGACGGAACCCACACAACTACTGGCCCTCACCTGAGCCGTGATCTTGGCTGTGGCTGCAGCTGCAGCCACAGCGGCAGCTGGCGGGAGGCCTCCAGGTGTAGCAGGTGTAAGCAGGGGCATAGGGGGTGTGACAGCCTTGCCCACCCGCAAATACTGGCCACCCAGGTCAAAGAGGTTCATGGAAGACACGGCATCTTGAGACGACTGGGCCTTCTCGTACTCTGCAGGGCAGGAGCAGCAATGAGGGTCGGCCACAGAGCGGGGTGGGCCCAGCCCAGGCCCTGCCTCAGCCTCTCCAATCTCACCAATGAAGCCATAGCCCTTGTGCTTGCCGGTCGTAGGGTCCCGGGCTAGCGTGCAAGATTTGATCTTGCCAAAGGCCTCAAACACGCTCTTGATGTCGTCATCGGACAGGTCCTGATGCACAGAAGCCACGTAGATTCGGTTGAAGGCACGTGCCTCTTCTGCCAGCTGGTCTATGATGGGCTGGGCCTGCCCAATGTTGCTGGGCCTGCCCACCTGGGGGAGAGGCAGGGGACCAAGAGCCGCCCATCAGCCATTGGCCACCTGAGGCCTCTGGAGGGTGATTGCATCTCCTGGGTGATTGGACAGAGCATTCTCCCATCAGCCCAGGGCCCGCCTCCCTGGCACTCACCTTGATGTTCCTGCCGCCCAGCATCACTGAGTTCATCTGCTCCAAGGCCAGCTGCGCAGCCTCTGGGACCTCGTACTCCACAAAAGCAAAGCCCTGGACGCAGGGAGGTAGCGTTAGGCCTGGAGAGCCCGGGGTGGGGTGGGGGGCAGAGCAGAGCAAATCTTACCTTGTGCTTCATGGTGACCGAGTCCCAGGACATGTCAATGCTCTTGATGGGCCCAAAGGGGGCAAAGGCCTGGCGAATGGTGTCCTCCCCCAGCTCATAGTAGATGGAGCCCACGTAGACCCGGCACATGATGGCCAGTGCCCGCTGCCGCTGAGCTGCCATCTGGAGCAGGACACAAGGGGAGAGAGTGCCACTGGCTTGTGACGGGGTGGCAGGAGGCTAGGCAGCCCACGCCCCTCCGGACCCACCCACTCAGCACCACTGTGGTGAGGGCTCCCCACGCAGCAGCGTGGTGCAGGCTCAGCCCTGCGGACAGGGTGGGGAGGGTCCGCAGAACCCTGCCCCAGGAAGGAAGACCAGGCCCAGAGGCAGGACAGGGACACACCCGGGCCCGCCCAGGTCCTGGGCAGACTGGCAGCAAAGCTGACAGGTGGTTGGGAGGCAGGGCTGTGGCCCTCCCGTCCAGCCCACCCTCCAGCCTAGAGACCAGGAAACCTGGGCTGGACTGGGAGATCCTCCTGGGTCCTGACCAAGTGTTCCAACAGAAGAGGGAGGGGAGCCATCCAAGCTGGAAGGACCCACTGGTGTGGAGGCAAGAGGGGACCCAAGGCAGGGCACCCAGAAGACCCCAGGGAAGGTCAGGAGCCCAGATTGGGGGCTCCCTGCAGAGTGAATAGCTACTTGTGCAGGGCCAGCTCAGGCAGGGGCTCAGGGATTCCAAGACCCCCGTGCCTCAAGCCCCTCACAAAAGAGCTGCCTGGAGGCCCCCACGCACCCAGAGGATGTGGCCCCAGGAACATCAGGAGGTGACAGGTCCGGCAGGCCCAGGGCAGACCCTGCCTCCGCATTGGGGTGAGTTTGGCCATGGTGCTTTGTGACTTCCCATACCCCCAGGGAAGGGCTCCCATTCCCGCCACCTAGGCACCATGTGCCTGGCAGAGGAGTGCCTAGAGCCACCGAGAGGAGATGGGCCCCGGGGAAGAGCCCCCAGCCCAGGGCAGGCGAAGATGGTGGGGCCTGGGCTCTAGCTTCTCCACCAACAGGGTGCCCCTCACCCTCACAAAGTCCCCATAACCAGAGGCCCATTTCCTTCTTTAGATTCCAGCTTAGTATAAGCCGGGCATGCCCTCCCTCCAGGAGGGACCTAAAAAAGGTCCTCAGCTCCCCCCAAATTGGGCACCTCCTCAAACTGGGCTCCTGACACAGGCCTCAGGCTCCCTGTGGAGACCAAGGACCCCAGAGGTGGACCGTGACCCTCTCATTAGGCACCCGAGACATGGAACCACCTGTCCCTCCTCAGTCCCCCAAGACAGAAGCACGGCCCTCTCAGTGGGAGCTCCCGAGCCCGCGGGCGAAGGCCCTCTCCCTGACGTTCCCAGACAGACGCTTCCGAGGGCACTGGGTCTGCCTGCCCCATGAAGACAGGGCCTGCTACCCTGTGCCAACAGCATGCCCAGGAACGGCCCCCAGAGAAAGGGCCATGTTCCCACAGGGGTCCCTGGCCTCCTCAGCCGCTCTGAAGGATGGAGGATGTCTCCTTCCCAAACTCCTCTGCCATGGCAGCCAAGGCCACTACCACCTCCTCCCTGGCTCCAGGCCCTCTACCCCTTGCTCACAGCCAGGCCCAAGGCCCAAGTTCTTGCCCTTCCCTCTCTTGCTGGCTCGGGTTCCCCCAGTCCCCACCTTGTCCATCCATCCTCCCTCCAGGGTCTGATGGGGCCACGAGTTATGACCCTTCTCTTCTCAGGGCCTGACCTCAACCCAAGAGCCAAGGCAGCCTGGAGACTGGCGGAGCTGGAGGCCTGGGCGGTGCACTGTATGTGGAGGCGGCACGGGTACAGGTGGGCCAGGCGTGGGCACCTACCCTCCTGGCCGGCTGCCCTCCGCAGTTACCTGACCCTCAGAGCAGATGGAGGCCTCCCCGGGGCGGTCCCAGGTGGGTGCCCGCCCACAACACTGGCCCCGCCACGCCTGGCGCTCTGTTGCGCTCGTCCGAGCTGGCGGCAGGGCCGGCTCGGGGAGCAAGGTCCCCAGCACGCGGCTGCACTGCCCCCCTCTAGCCTGACTAAGGACATGAGCCCGGAAGAAGTGAGCATTTCTATTGACCGATTGCAAAGGTGAGAGAGGATCTCCAAAGCCCATTGTCACTGCTGCCATCTGAAAGACAGTAAAGACAGAGTTCAGTCTGTTGGAGCCGAGCAGTCTCCCGCTCTTGTCACACCTCACGCAGACAGCGGCAAGGCCCGGAGTCCCCGCCCTGCCGAGAGGCCCGCCTGCCTTCCCACATGGCCGGCCACTGGCGGCTGCCGGCACCTGCCCAGGGGGGCCTCAGGGCCCCAGGTGCCCTGCCCCACAGCCTGGCCGGCCGGCCGGGGCACAAGGGAGAGGGGGCGAGAGGAAGGGACCAGCCAGGCATCGCCTGGCAGCGTGACTGTCTGGGGCTGGGCAGGGGCGGGGCTCAAGGCCCAGGCACCTGTCGGCCTCGCCTGGCCGCATCGCAGCTTCCAGCCACAGGTCTAAAGCAGGGCCTATGGAGATGCCCCAGCCTGTCCTCATTCCCGGCCCCAGCCCGTGGGGTCTGGACTCGCTGCAGGGGTGGGAGCCTGACCTTACTTATCCAAGGCCCTGGGGCAAGGAGGAACGCCCCTACGTGCTGCACCGACAGCTGTGCAGCGGGGGGCACGGGTGCGGGGCGACCTGAGCAACAGTCTGAAGTCCGAGGAGAGGAGCTGGCTCGGGGAGCGGGCAGAGCTACAGAGAAGGGGCGGGAGGGGCCATGGGTGCTCAAAGGCGGATAAGGTGGTTACTCAATGCTGGGGAGGAACCCAGGCGTCCCCAGAAGGAGTCCTTGAGAAACCGAGACCACACACCTGGTGGGGAGCCACAGGCGCAGGAGGAAAAGAAGGAAGAGGGTGGGAGTGGGAGGCGGCGGCGGCTCACCTGCAGGTTGGTGAGCTGCTGCTGCTGGTGCGCGATGGTCTGCTTCACCAGCACACTCTTGATGCTCTGCTCCATGGCGTACTTCTTGGCCTAGGAGAGAAAGCGGTGAGGAGCACTGGGGGCCCGGCCTGTGGGGAAACGGGCCTTCTTCTACCCCAAGGGGCTCCCGTACCCACCCAGCCCCGGGAGGTACACTCTCACCTTCTGGAGGGCCTCCTGCTGCTCGGGCGTCAGAGGAGGCAGTCCCAGCTTTGTGGCTGTGCTCTGCCCGTTCTCCATCTTGATGGAGTCTGTCCCCTAGTGGGGGAGCAGGGAAATGTCAGGACCAAGCTCAAGGCCTCCCTCACGTGGACCCAGGAGCCCGTTCCAGGAGCATACAGGTCCTAGCACACTCGCCTGCAGCCCCTCGGACCATGTCGGGACGTATACCGAGGCAGCAGGTACCTTGGGGGCCCTGGACCAACCGCAGAGCCCAGCCACAATGGCCTTCTCAGCAGCACCAAGACCGTGGCAAGTGGCAGGAGGGGCAGCCCTTGTGGCAGTCTGACTCCAGAACCTCCGTCCCGTGCCGGCCCCCGCTGCCCTCCAGGACGGGGGGGGCTCTGGATGGTCCAGGCTCCTCACTCCCCAGATGGCCAGACCCAGCCCCCTGCTGGGAGGAGTCCAGGCACCACTGCAGCAGCGTGTGTGTGGGAAGGACCCCCACCCGGTGCAGTGTTCCAACCCCACCCGCACGCGGCCCAGAGAGGCTCTCCCAGCGCCCGGCCCAGAGGAGCTCCTGCCCTTTGCCAAACGCCTCCTGGCTGTGGCCAGCCCCTGGGAGAGGCAGACACACACCGCCAGGGAGGGACAGGAGGACCAGACACCCTCCAGCACCTGGCAGATGAGCCCAGGGTCCAGGAGAGGATCTGGGAGGCAGGCAGAGCCTGCTGCAGGCCAGAGCAGATGCTACTAGGATTATGTTTACATTCCTCTGTCAAAATTCATTTCTAGGCTGCATGAGAGGGAAGAACACAGCCGTGTAAGCAGAAGTATAGCCACCAGACCAAGCAGAGTGTGGGCGACGGGCGTCTGAGCACCCCGCCTGCCCGCCAGCTCAGGGGCGGGCTCCTCCAGGGAGTGCTGGAGCCCTGGGCATGCAGCCTCGGGAGGGACAGCAGAGAAGAGCAGGTCGCAGCACAGGAGTGGCGATCAAGGACAGAGGAACAGAGGAGTCAGGCAGGGGCTGGCTGACCCAAACCCCAGAACCAGAATCCTGACCAGCAGCACAGGTCAAAGGGCAGGAGGCCCCTCCCCTGGCAACCAGCTGGCCCCCACCCAGGCCTCCCTAGTGGGAGAGAGGCCCCACAGCCAGGGCTGCACGCTAGAGCAGGCTGTCACCATGGTCATCGATGCCAGCCCCCATTCAGCCCCTTAGAAACTTTCAATCTCCTCTTTGTGTCGGTAAACAAAAGGCCCTTCTCTCACAACCAATGGCTGCTGCACAGCCAGCCAGGGCCGGTGAGGGCTGGCTGGAGGAACGCTCTGGCCGCCTGGCCCCCCTGCCCATCAGCTGCAGCCCCATAACTTCCCAGGACCCAGGCCACATTCCTCAGCCCTTCCCCAAAGGGGGGAAGAAACGACCCTGAGGAGGGCCCAGCCCAGTGGTCACCGGCTCCGGCTCCGTTGCTGAGGCCCCGCTGGAACCCCTGGAGGCAGTCGCTGCCATGGCGAAGCACCAAGAACTACCACCCACCGCCCACTCCACTTCCCACAGCCCCTGCCAAGGGCCAGGCGCCGGAGCAGGACACGTCTGCCCACACCCACAAGACCAGTCTGCCTAGACCCGTGCTCTGGCTTGCACGGAGTTCTGCTTTGCTGTTTTATTTAAATTAGATCAGAAATGGAAGTCTGTACTCTTCACTGCTCCCTGCAAGCTGGACAGCATCAGCCTCTGCACACAACACACCAGCGGCTCGGAGTGTGCAGGGCTGAGGTGCAGTCCGACCTGACGTCACATCTGCCTAGTGTGCAGACACACACAGCTATGGCCCGCCACAGAAGCGGGGGATGCTCAGGGCAGAGGCAGGGCAGGAAGCTAGAGCCCGGCCTGAGGCTGGGGGTCAGGGGGCAGGACAGGTGCCTCTGCCTGAGCTCCTCCCGCCCCGCCCTGGCCACTTCTCTCGGGGCCCAGGGACGTGCAGGCAGGCGGGCGGGCGGGCAGGCGGGCAGGCAGGCGGGCCTGAGGGCAAGGATGCTTAAGGTCAGTACCTGTGGCGGTTTCCATTTGTCTCCCGCTGCCACCACTGCCGCCGCCGCCGCCGGCTCGGACCCCCCTCCTTGCTGGCCATTGACCTGCTGCAGGCAGGAAGGAGATGTTGTAATGGACAGTCACAAGACCCATCCACCCAGGCCCTCTCGCCTTCCCCAGCTAAGGGCTGAGCTCCCCTGGCCAGCCAGGGAGGCTGGGCAGGGGCACAGGAAGGGGCCAGCGCTGGCTTGGCCCTGAACGTTTCTGACACTCCTCCTCTCCGCCCTGCCCATTCCTCCAGCTGTCCAGGGCCCTGCCACAAACCACAGCAGAATCTGGGGCAGCCCCAGCTGGCAGCAAGTCCCCAGGAGAGGAGGGTAGAGGGGCAGAGCCAAGGGAAGGCAGCTCTGCCCTCCGGCCACGAAGCTCAAGTCTTCGATCAGTTCCTCTCCTGCCAGCAGGACAAGGGCACCTCTCGAGCACGCTGCACAACGCCTGGGCCGGCCACAGCTCAGCTTCCGTCCCAACACCTTCCTCAGGCTCTGCCTCAGCCCAGGGCCCAGGCCCTCCTGAGCCACCTCTGAGGTGTCTTCTGAACCAGGGCCCAGCAGGGGCCTGCACGCTCAAGAGCTCCCCTTGCAGTAAACGTCCAGGGTCTGCCCATCTCACGCTAACGAGGGCAGCTGAGATCTTGGTCACAGCCCTAACCCACACCCTCGGCCAAGGAACCCTGCCACGAAGAGCGATGGAAGACAGGCCCCCCCCCCCCCCCCCCGGGCTGAGCAGGGTGGTGGGACAAAGACAAGCAAGGCTGAACCCAGGCGATGTAGAGGATCCGGGGCCTTGGTGAAGGGCCGGGGCTGCTCCCCCCTGAGGCTGCACAGCGGAACCAAGAGCAGAAGGCACTCCCCCCTCGCCAGGATGAGGCCTCAGACACCTAGGAACACAGGATGGCATGCTCATGCCGGGCGCACTGTGCACAGACCATACCACAGCCGGGATGACTCAGCCACGAGTCTCAGACACTCCGGCCCCAAAGGAGGGACAGCAACCCCGGCCAGGCTGCACAGGAGGCACGGCCAGTGGCACTGAAGCTGTGGCTCACCAGCCCTGCCCCTCGCCTGCAGCCACTCTGAACCCGGCACCACTGCTGGACGAAATGGTGTGCATGGCAGCTGGGCCTCACCCAAGCCCCCTGACAGCTCCAGCGCACCCAGAGCAGAGGCTGCCCTCAAGGCCCACAGCAAGCGCTCACTCCAGGCCCGAGACCCGCCGGCAGGGCCAGCGTCCCACCCTCCCGTCCCTGAGGCCGGGACCGGCACAGGGTGAAGGCAGGAGTCTGGGAAGAGCCTGTGGGCGGCTGTGCTAACTGAACTAACTAGAACACTGCGGAACGTCAGCTGTGACTGGGAAGCGGATCTAAACGCAAAAGTAAAAACAAGACAGCACTCTGACCAGTGAACACACTTTCAGTGATCACAAACAAGCAGGTCCCGGTGACGACTCTGCCACACACAATGAGTCATTTCACACCATGTAGGTGCGCCTAGGCCTCGCAGGGTAGCTCAGTTGGTTAGTGTCGTCTGATATGCTAAGGTTGTGGGTTCGAGCCCGATCTGGGCATATACAAAAGACAACCAAGGAACATATAAAGAAGTGGAACAACAAATGGATGTTTCTCTTTCACTCCCTTCCCCTCTTTAAAGTCAATTAAAAAACAACAAAAAATTGCCCTGGCTGGCTTGCTCAGTGGTTATAGAGCATCAGCCTGTGGCCTGAGGGGGCAAAGGGCACATCCCTGGGTTGCAGGTTCAATCCTGGGCTCCAGTTGAGGATTGAGCTCAAGACAACCAATTGATGTGTCTCTCTCATGTCTATGTTTCTCTCTCTCCCTCTCTCTCCCTAGAAGTCAATGGGAAAAAATATCCTCAGGTGATTTTAAAAATAGAACATGAAAGTTATTAAAAAAAATGCCCAGGGCTCTGGGGTTAGCAGACACTGAGACTGAGGCCACCGTCTGAGTCAGCACGGCTCCTCAGGCTGTCCTCCTCTGGCCACAGCCCATCCCGAAAGCAGCGCCTGGAGCGGAGGCCCTGGAAGGCAGTGCAGCCCAGGTGATGGGACCCAAACCCCAGCCCTGCCCGGTCAGCAGCCCGAGGGAAACAGGATGATTCCACCAGGAAACCCCGAGTGAAGTAGTTACTTGACGTTCCCTGGCCTCAGGCTCTGAGTTCAGGCCTGTCTCCTGGGGCTGGTGGGAGTTAGTGTGTGTGCATGCGTGTGCGTGTGTACATGTGTGGAGTACCTAAGAGAGTCCCTGTCCATGAAGTCCAGTGTCAAGGCTCAGACGGCACTGCTGCCTTCCCCCTGCCCAGTCCTCGCCAATGCCGAACTGGGCACTGAAAACCCGCAGAAGCAGACAGGGGGCATGCCCACAGCCCCGAGGCAGGGCTGCTCCAGGAGACCCGGCCCAGATGGGGAGGATGTGAGGCAGCTTTTTGCTCACGCCCACCTCGGCGATGATGCCACAGCTGAGCTAAGCCCCATCACACCGCAGTCCCGGTGAGCACAGGGTGCTGCCGGCTCCTGCCTCGGGGGTCCCCCAGGCCGGGGCTTGGTAGTTACCTGCTCTGCAGATGGTTGGGGGCACACACATCCTGCCTCCACCCACACCTTCCCAGGAATTGGGGGCCTTGTCTCAGCCCCCCTGTCGGACACCACTCAACTCTGCTGCTAGGATGGCCCCCAGGCCTGACCCTCACCTCTTCTCTCACTCCTCTTCACCAAGGTCACCTGCTCCTGTGGCTCCAGCAGGCAGCAGGCAGGGCGGAGGACAGGGGCTTAGCTGCGGCCCCACACTCTGCCCCAGGAGAGGCAGCCTCAGCACGTGCACCTCGTAACCCTCAGATAGTCTCCCCCGACCAGCTCAGCCTGCAGCCACCTGCACGAGATGCCTTCTCAATGGGCCCACTGCATCGGTTTGGGAGGGGGTGGGAGTGGGGACAGGTAAGCGAAGCATCGCCAGACAGCAGTGCCCAGCGAAGGGTCCGGGAGGGGGTCGGGGACTTCAGCCGATGGGGACGGGGAGGGACCAGGGACACGCCCCTGGGGATGAGTGTGAGCAGGGTTCCCGCCTGCGCTAATCGCTCCGTGGCCGAGAGGAGGGGGAGCCCTGAGCATGGCTCCCCTGGGCACCGGTGTAAGGCATGCGGGTGGGAACTGATCTCCGGGCCCCGCTGTGCCCCCAAGTCCTCGCGCAGCGCTTGGGGCAAAGTCACTACGAGAGAGCACGTCCTTCCCTTCCCGAGTGGGGCCCACTCCCGCAGGGCACCAGCGGAGAGCAGGTCCAGCTCTGGATGCGGGGCGCCCAGGCCACCTCCCCGCCGCCTCTCCCAGGCACCCCGCCCCCTAGTCGGGGCCGCGGGCGCACCCCGGAGGCAGCGGGGGCCCCAGCCGCCTAACTCCGCCCCGAGGCTGCGGCTCGCCGGGGCCTGACGGGCGCCCCGCGGAGGGGCCGGGCTCGGCGCGCAGCACGGCCCCGAGACGCGCCCCAGTCTGGGTCCCGCACGGCCCCCCGGCCGGAAGCAGCAGCCCGCGGGCCGGAAGCTGCGGCCGCGGCTCAGCCCCCGCCTCGCGCCCGCTCCGCCCCCGCCTCACGCGGCCTGAGGCCGCGAGGGCCCGCGAGCGACCGCCGCGTCCCCGGGGGACCCTGCCCGGGCGGACGGCCCGCCAGCGGGGCGAAACCCCGCGTCGCCGGGAGCTTACTTACGAGAGCTAAGGCCGCCGTCGCCATCTTGCGCCCGTCGCGGCCGCTGCGCGCGCCGCCCGCTCCAGCTCCCTGCGCGGTCTCGCGCGATGTAGGGGTTGGCGGAGGCCTTCGAGGAAAGACGGAACTATCGCGATAACAGGTCCTCGCGCCAGTGACGTGGAAGGAGAAAGGCTCGCGCTTCCGGGGCGGGCGGAGCCTGTGGAAGGGGCGGGCCCGGGGCGGGCGCTGGCGTCGCGGGCGCGCGCGCGGCGGGCGGGGGCCGCCTCCTCTGTCCGCGGAGCCCCGCCGCTCCTGCCCGGCCTTACCGAAACACTTGGTGCCTTCCGCCCTCTCGCACCCAAGACCGGGCCGGACGCCGGGCTCCCGCCGGGGCTGCAGGAGTTCGCCCAAACCGACGACAGTGGTAACGAAATCGCCCTGTTCCGCAGTCAAGTTTTGAGATGCTTCGTTGCATCCTATAATAACATCTCTGAAGTCAGCGCGCGCCATCCAATGGAGGTGCGTCCGCATGTAATGGGCGACGTTTGCTCTTTCCTAGTGACGCATAAGCCAGGGTGCATCGTTTTATTTTTAAAAAATAAATTTTTGTTGATTTTTAGGGAGGAAAAGAGACAGAAACATCAACGATGAGAGAGAATCACTGATCGGCTACCGCCTGCACGCCCCCCACGGGGGATGGAGGCTGCAACCAGGCCTGTGCCCTGACCGGGAATTGAACCATGTCCTCCTGAGTCATAGATCGCTGCTCAACCTCTGAGCCAGGCCGGCCCACTCAGAATGCATCTTAAAGCGATGGCATGTTGTAAGCTCAGTGATGTGCAGCCCAGCCCCACTCCCCCCACCCCAGGGCGTGCACCCCCATTCCTTAGTCCCTGTGCTGATTGTTAAAGGCCCAAGGCGCCCCTCTCTGGCGTGCAGCTGCCAGGGCCTTTTGCCCCTTGCAGCTCCCAGTACCAAGACTCCAACCCGGAAGAAGCCACGTCTGTGAGACCAGCAACTCCAGCCTCCCTGACACAGCAGCTTCCTCCCTAACTAGGCAGGTCCCTTCCCAGCCCTGGGAGAGTTCAGCATGAAACAGCTAAACATGACGGAACAGGTCCCTCCTCTTCCTCCCCTCGGGGACGGTGGGGGTCGGATTCCTCAGAGGCAGGAGCCCTTGAGGACAGGCACGTGGGACCCTGTGGAGCTGGAGGTGGTTTGGTGGTGCCAGGGGGTCACGTGTGACAGGCCCAGACCCAGCCCTCAGCGGCAGCAGGAGCTTGGGGACAGGCCCTGCTGTGCAGCAGGAGCGAGGGTACTCCTGCCCTGTCCCCTGTGCCACTAGGATCCTCAGAGAGGAGAGCTGCTCTGTATCAGCTCCCAGCTCTGGAGGAAAGATTGACAGCTGGGGGGGGAGGGGGGGTGTTCAGGGGAGTGACCTGGCTACGTGGGTGGTCTCAGCGAGCCCCACAGCTAAGAATGCCTCACCTCAGGGTCACCAACACCTGAGGGAGGGGACAGAGACAAAGGAGAAGGGACTCAGAAGGAACAGAGACAATAAAGCAAGAAGAAGAAGAAAAGCTAAGATTACACCCTCAGAGATACCGGAGAGCGTGTTGCATCCAAAACCAGGGAGAGGCTATAGAGAAAGGATGTTCACCGAGTGAGAAAGGCGCCGACACAGGAAACGTGCGAGGAAAGCGAGCAATATGACCGCAGGGGTGGACGATAAAGCCAGGAGGTCAGGGTTCGGTTCCAGGCCAGGGCACACGCCCCAGTTGTGGGCTCCATCCCCAGTGTGGGGCGAGCAGGAGGCAGCCGGTCCATGGTTCTCTCCCATCATTGGTGTTTCTCTCTCTCTCCCTCCCTCTCCCTCTCTGAAATCAACAGAAATATGTTTAAAAGAAAGAAAGGTAAAGCTGAAATCTTCCAGAATGTGTAACAACAAACGAAGCAGCTGGAAAACAGAAAATGCAGTCATTACCATGCTGGTCAGTACTGTCCAGAGCTTACACCAGGCCAGGCACCTCAGGGCTCCATCACGGGGGGTAGGGGGGATGGACAGGGTCGGGGAGCCACAGGCACCCGCACTCTGATGGCAGCTCCCCTGTGAAATGATATGTCATGCAGCCCTCCAGAGGGCTAGTGGCCGTGCAGTTCTCACGGCTCACCTCATCTCGCGTGACCTGGCGGCAGCCCTGGAGTGGGCACCGTTAGCCCCGTGCTCACAGAGATCAACATCTGGAGCAGGAAGCGGCTGAACAGCCCCTGGACTCCTGACCACCACCTCTCGTGCCTCTCAAAAGACAAGCCCAACATCCGAGTGGCAAGAGTTCCAGTAACTAGGGGGAGGGGAGAAATGAACAAACATGTAAAAAATCTCTCTGGAATTGCAAGGTTGGGATCTCTGGACACTAGATGGAAGAAGGCAACATCCAGACATGTCCGGAGAATTCCCAAAGCTCTGGGACTAAGGGAAGATGGAGAGAGAGAGAGAGAGAGTGAGAGAACGAGCACAGGGTCAGCATTCAGGAAGGCACCACGTTCGTGGGGCTAGAACATACCGTGTTTCCCGGAAAACAAGACATCCTCCGAAAATAAGACCTACTTACAGGTTTCCTTCTGAGTGACATATAAGGCAACCCCCGAAAATAAGGCCCCCCTAGGCTAAACATGAGAGATTTGGTCCACTGATTCTGAAAGAAATGGAGTCACAAGAAATACACCAGGAAATTCAGGAATTGGATTGTGATGATGATGTTTCAGATGATGATGACATGATTGTCATTGAATAAATGAGTAAATTCTTGATACTGTAGGATTCACAGTTTGCCTGGTTTGTGTTGACAACTACCGTACTACCGTACCGTATACAGATAATAAATTTCCTTTATTTTCATTTAACAATAAATGTGTACCGTATTCTTCTTCATGGAAAAATAAGACATCCCCTGAAAATAAGACCTAGCACATCTTTGGGAGCAAAAATTAATATAAGACACTGTCTTATTTTCGGGGAAACAGGGTACGACCCCTTCCGAGTCTTGGGAAGAATGACTCTCGGCCTCACCCAGCTGTTGTGCTGGCCACACTGACGAGCAGCTGTGAGTCCAGGAAGAACAGCCAGGCAAAGGCCCTCCACTTCCCTGGCACCCGCTCAGGAGACCAGGATGTTCTCCCTCTAACAGGGCAAACAGACAGGGTCCGAGAGAGCCTGGGATCCAGAGGCCGGGGCGTGCCAGGAGCCCTGGAGGGAGCCCGCCCTGCTGGCAGCTGCGCCTGCTCGCCCACCTGCCCGCCGCCCAAGGACCAGCAGCCTGGGGCAGTGTGGGCAGGCCGGGCTCCAGGGGGAGGTGAAACCGAGGAGGCTGTTAGGCACGGGGTCCCCCAAAGTGAGGGGAGGCCTGCCCCGCTGCAGGAGGCTGTGAGGGTGCGTTGAGACATGCACGGAGACCGGGCACACAAGCCGAGGGGAGGCAATTATTAACTCCAGGGAACAGGAGGTTGTGCAAGAAGGCAAATAGGACCCGGACACCGCGTTCCCTGCCAAGACCTGCGGCGAGGAAGCCGTGAGAATGCGCTTCACCAGGGGTGGCACTGGGTCAGGGATCGAGGCCAGTGCCCCCCCCCCCAGGGGACACCTATTGTAAACACACACACACAAGCAGTGGAAGGGCCTGCGGTGCGCGGGACGCGGGTCTAAGAGCGAACTGGAAAGGATCAGGCCGGAGACCACGTTTGTTGTTTGTTTATTATTGGCCTAAAAAACCATTGCACTTTCTAAAATACGATGCATAGAACTTCGATAAACGTTAACGTGAGACCTCGGCACAGGCTCGATCAAACGAGGTTTAATCGCTGGCACAACCTGTTCCTCGTTTGACACCAGGCAGTTTAAGAGGACGTGAATCAGACAGCTAGCATCAGGGTTCCCGCCGAGGCCTGTGCATTAGTCTAGGTCCGTAATTCTAGGGTGAAAGGTGTGAGAACTCACGTAATCTCATAGAGAGGGACACGCTGATAACGTGAGAGCCTTGGTTGGTTTTGTCTTGGGCTTTGGTTCGGGCAATGTGGTCAGAGGGACAATGGCTCTCCCCCGAACCCTGGACCCTGCGGATGCGCCCCCCACGGCAGGACCCGGAGGTGGGGAGACCACCCTGGACGATCGGCAGGAAGCCTGGGCCCGCTGTCGCCGGCCTTGAAGGTGGAGGCTGGGGCCACGAACCATGGCGGGTGGCAGCCTCTGGAAGCTGAGCACAGCCTGCAGTTTGCAGCCAGCCCAACGCGGGGGCCTGGCCCGGCCACTGCTAGGACACCAATTCCTGCCCAGCGCCCAGCGCCGCGCCATGCCTGGCCCCACAAGCCAAACCCCAACCTGAGGGGAGAGGAACTGGGTTCTCCCCTGTTCCTCCGGGAAGACGTGGGCTGGCAGGCGAGGCCTGGGCCAGACGCCCGACAGACAGGAGCGTAACAGCCGGGAGGTGACTCTGTAGCAGCGACAGGCACCTGGCCGGTGGGCGCTTCACCGGGTTGGCATTTGAAATCTTAAAAGGAACCCTGAATGCACTACGTGCATGCATGCAGTTCACATGTCGGAGGGTTTACATCTGAAAACGGGGGGTGGCTCAGGAGAAGTAAGTCCAGGGCAATGGGGGGGGGGGTCGTGGGCAGGGCGGGTGGGGAGGTGGGGGGTGAGTTTGAAGGAGGCACGTGAGGAGCAGGGAGGAGTCTGGCTGACCCCTCCAGGCCAGGGAAGTGGGAGAGGAAACAGCCCTTTGGGGGCTGCAGGGGCCAGAGTGTCGGCTGAGGGGGCTGTGGGCACAGCCTCAGAGCCTTGCAAACTCAGAGGGTTCCGGAGCATCTGTGCTGGACGTGGGATGGGGTGCAAGAACCACGTGGTGTGGGAACTGGGTGTCTCTCCCGGCTGCTTTTTGGCACCCTGCGCCCTGCACCCCGCCGGTGCTGCAGGTGCTGGACGTTGAGTGGAGGTGGGTGCTCCTGTGTGGGCCTGTGTGTGGTGCCCCCACCACTGTGACCCCCTGAAGGGCACCCTTGCCACTGACCCACAGTTTGGAGTTGGGGTGAGGCTCCCGGCCAGCAAATGGGGGACATGGGAAGGAATGGGGAGCCGGGGAGGCGGGTGGGGTGAGAGTATCCTGGTTCTAGGAATGGGCATGGCCTCATCACAACCCCCCACCCCACTGGTGAGCTCCCCCTCGCCCTCACCCCATCCCCACGTCCAGGGCCTCTCAGCAGCTGCTGGCGGAGCAGGGCCCTCGAGCAGGCCCCTGTCCTCAGCCCCGGCTCAGGCCCTGGCGCCCCGTGTCCGTCACTGGGCTCCGCGGTACTTGAGGAAGGTGCTCTCCAGGAAGGCGGCCAGCTTGGTCCGGTCGTCCTGCAGGTGGGAGGTCGGCATAGGTGCCCGCCCCCCCCTCCCCTCCCCGCCTGGCCGAGTGGTCGTACCTCGTGCAGGAAGCCATAGTGCACCAGCTCTGCGGCGAGGTCCTGGGCGCTGTCCGCTGTGCAGGGCGCGGGCGGGACGAGGGGACGAGGCGTAAGGTCAGGAGCTCGGGGAAAGCCAGGCCGGGCTGTGGCTGCTCACGGCGGGGGGGGGGGGGGGGGGGGGCGGGGAAGGGGGGGGTGGGGAGCGGTCTCGGCCAGCAGGGGCGCACGTTCACTCACTCGGGAGCAGGTCGTAGGTGAGCTGCCGGTGCAGCCGGTCCTCCAGCACGAGCAGCAGCGTGAGCTGGGGGGCGGGGGGCAAGGTCTGGCTCGGGTGGGCTCTGACCCCCCGCCCCACCCGCCCCCGCCCCCGCCCCCGCCCCCACCCCGCTCACATGCCAGCGGGCCTTGTCCTCGCTCCTCTCCAGGTTGCACTGCATCTGGATCACCTGCGGGCGCGGGGCCCAAGGTCACCCCGAAGGCTCAGACTCAGCACCTGCGAGGCACCTCATGGGGCCCAGGGGGAGAGCTGGGAGGGGCTGGGCGGACAGAGCGGGCACAGACAGGTGCAGGGGCAGCTGAGCAGAGGGCGGGGAGGCAGAGGCCGAGCACAGGGCCCAGGCCCCGCCGAGGGCCCCACGGTCTGTGGGCAGCCTGGCTGTTGGGACATGATTCTGGCTGCGGTGTGGAGGGGAGCCAAGAGGAAGGAGGCAGCGGGGAGGAGGGGCTGAGGGGGGCATCCAGGCAGGGAATGGAGGTGCCCGGAGCAGGGCAGTGACTGTGGACATACCCACAAGGGCAAAGCCAGGGCCTCCGGACCCAGGGGGTATGGGCATGGAAACAGAGGAGGGGCCGGGAAAACACGACAGGGGGGTGCTGGCAGAGGGGGTTACACCAGGACACGGACGTCGGGGAGTCGGCCAGCCAAGGGGGTGGCATCAGAGGGGTGAGGGCTCTGGAGCAGGTGGGAGCGGGGGGCAACTCCTAGGGCTCAGGCAGCAAGGAGTGGAGAGGGGTGTCGGGAGGGGCAAGGAGGCTCCGGGAGAGGGGGTACCGCAGCTTCTCTCAGCCCCCAGCTGCACAGAGGGGTCGGCAGCGTGGGGAGGGTGGCGGTGCCCGGCAGGCGGGCCCACCTTTCTGGTCTCCGAGTCGAAGGGCTCTGGCGTGGGCGTCTTGGCCTTCTGGGCCTCCTCCGGGGGCGGGGCCAGCACGCGGGGCAGCCCCAGGGGCCGCGCGGCAGCGAAGTTCATCAGGGGGTAGATCCCGTTTCTGGGGACACAGCGGGTGACCGGGGGCTCAGGCCCGGCAGCCGCCTGCTCCCCGCTCCCGCCAGCTCTCACCTGACGTCCTCCAGGAACTTGTCCAGCTCCATGCAGGAGACCTCGGAGTACCTGCCCGGGAGAGGCACATGAGGCGCCGGCCGGCCGGCCGGCCTCGCCAGGGGCAGGACCGAGGGGGCGGCCGCTCACCGCCACTGCACAGGGGGCCGGCCCGGCCGGCAGATCTCCGCCAGCACCGCGTGCATGTCCATCGACTTGGCCTTCTCCTCCACCACGTTCTCAGGCATGAGATCTGCAGGCCGAGGAGCACGCAGGGCGAGGCTTGGGCCAGGGTCCAGCAGGCCCTCCTCATCCCAGCCCAGGCCCTGACCGCCCGCCCTCACACTGGTGCTGGATGAAGCAGTGAGCGGCCAGCAGCTTCAGCGAGTGCACCTCGAAGAGCACACGGTGGAAGAGGAGGTTGTGGGCAGAGGGCCTGTGGGCGGGGTCCCGGGCCAGGCAGGAGAGGATGAACTCCTGGGGCAGGGAGAGAAGAGGCCTCGGTTCACGGGGTTTCTCTGCTCTGCCCCCGCCCCCAGTGTGAGGGTGTGAGGGGAGGGGACCCTGGGTCCCTAGACCGCAAGGTCCAGCGCCAGGCGCCTGCATGACGTGTGCAGGGAGCGGCCCCTGCTAGCAGCCAGGCCCTGAGCCTGCACACAGGACAGCCAGGCCCCTCCGGGCCCCCCAATCCTCACAAAAACTTGGTGCGGGGTGCGGTGGGGGGCCGGGAGCACGGCTATCCCCATTCACATCACACACACACACACACACACCACAGGTCACGTGGCCTTGCATGGACCCACCCGCCACGGCCAGCCCGCCTTCTGGAGATGACCTTGACCGGTCCCGGCCCCGCCTCGCACTGCCTGCCTCTCTTGTCTGTCCAGGCTCCACCTCCCCACCAGCCCCATCCAGGCCCGTCTCTTCCCTCTCCATCGCCAGAGGCCTGTGCTGAAGCCAGAGATTTCCCAGACGCTGGCGGAGAGGCTGTGGGGGAAGCTCCCTCCCGAGCTCCGTCTGCCACCCCACGGCCCACCCGCTGCCCACCCGCTGCCCACCCCACTGTCCACCCACTGCCCACTGCCCACCCGCTGCCCACCCGCTGCCCACCCGCTGCCCACCCCGCTGCCCACCCCGCTGTCCACCCGCTGCCCACCCCACTGTCCACCCGCTGCCCGCTGCCCGCCCGCTGCCCACCCGCTGCCCACCCCGCTGCCCACCTGCTGCCCACCCCGCTGTCCACCCGCTGCCCACTGCCCGCCCACTGCCCGCTGCCCACCCGCTGCCCACCCGCTGCCCACTGCCCGCTGCCCACCCGCTGCCCACCCGCTGCCCACCCTGCTGTCCACCCGCTGCCCACCCGCTGCCCACCCTGCTGTCCACCCGCTGCCCACCCGCTGCCCACCCGCTGCCCACCCGCTGCCCACCCGCTGCCCATGTGAAGGCAAGAGGCAGACCAGGTGCCAACACTGTTCTCCTCACTCTGGAGCCTCTCTGAGCCTGTTTCTTTATCTATAAAATGGGCATCACAACAGTACTCACCCACTCGGTCAGGTTTTCCTGACCTTACCATGTGCCCTTAAAAAAAAAAAGAGCCCGGCCCGTCCAGCCATCGTGGCTCAGTGGATGAGCCCTGGACCTATGAACCAGGAGGTCACAGTTCAAGGTTCAATTCCGGGTCAGGGCCTGTGTTGGGTTGTGGGCTTGACCCCCAATGGGGGGCTTGCAGGAAGCAGCTGGTCTGTGATTCTCTGTGGACGTTTCTATCTCTCTCTCCCTTCCTCTCTGAATCAATAAAGATGTATTTTTAAAAAGAAAAGAAGAAAAGATATGCCCTCAGCTCCTTCAGGCCTGGAACTCCACACCAGGCAGGGAAGGCCCCCGGGTGGGTGGCCGCGGGGCAGCACGGACCCCGTACCCCCAAACCAGGCCCAGGCCGCTCACCCGCATGTTGGGGTCGCTCAGCGAGTGCCGGGCCCGCGCGATGGCCTCCTCGGTGACGCGCGTGTCCCCGTTGGCCTGGATCTCCAGCACTGCCATCTGCGGGCAGGGCCGGTCAGCGGGCAGGGCGGTCAGCGGGCAGGGCGGGGCAGCGGGCAGGGCGGGGCAGCGGGCAGGGCGGGTCAGCAGGCAGGGCGGGGCGGGTCAGCGGGCAGGGCGGGGCAGCGGGCAGGGCGGGTCAGCGGGCAGGGCCTGGGACAGGGCAGGTCAGCGGGCAGGGCCGGGGCGGGGCGGGCGAGGCCGGCGCCGGCGGTACCTCCAGCGCGCACATCCCGAAGGAGAAGATGTCCACGGCGGTGCGGTCGGCCACCTCTGCGGGGGACAGGCGTCAGGGGGCGGGGCGGGGCGGGGCGGGGCGGGGGCGGCGGGCGGAGCGGGACCCACCTCCGTACTCCGGCGGGAAGAAGTGCAGGTTCCGCAGCTCCTCCCGCTCCGCGCGGATGGGGCTCCGCAGGTCGTCGGGCAGCGCTACGGGGGGCGCGGAGGTGAGCGGGCCGGCCCTCCCCGCGGCCCTCCATCCCCGGGGCCCCACGCACCGTTGGAGAAGATGCGGTGCCAGACTGCGGGGCGGAGAAAGAGCGGTCAGCGGCTGGGCGTCCCGCCCAGCCCGGCCCCGCCGCCCGCCCGCCGCCCCCGCACCGGAGCCGATCTTGATGAGGCCGTTGTGCTGGATGAAGATGGTGTCGCTTGTCAGGTTCCCGTGGATGATGGGAGGGCTGCAGGCGTGCAGGAAGCTGCGGGCGGGGAGCCGTCAGGGGGCGGAGGGCGGGCAGGGGTGCGGGGCGGCGGGGCGGGCAGCGGGCCTCACCTGAGCGCCGACAGGATCTGCGTGCACCAGCGCTTCCAGGCCTGGCGGCGGGGCGCGTCCGAGGGTCGGAAGGGCGGGGAGAGGCGGCTGGGCCTGGGCGCCCCCACCGCCCCCTGCCCGGCTCCGCCCGCCCCCGCGCCCGCCCCCGCCCCCGCCCCATACCCGCGCGTTCATGGCCTTGTGGTTCTTCTTGGTCTTCTTGAGGAACTGCTTGAGGCTGCCCGAGGACACGTACTCCGTGATGAAGACCACCTGCGGCCCGCACGTTGGTATCGGCCCCGCCAGCTGCGGGCGCCTGGGCGGTGCCCCTGCCGCCGCCCGCCCCGCCCGCCCCGCCCGCTCCCGCCGCTCCCGCCCCGCTCACCCTGGCGCGGGCCTCGCAGGCGTCCAGCCAGTACTTGTGCAGCTTCACGATGTTGGGGTGGTCCACCAGCACCAGCTGCTCGAACATGGTCTGGATCTTCTCCTGGGCGCGGGGGGCGGTCACGGGGCGGCCACCAGGCGGGGGCGCAGGGGGCGGTCACGGGGTGGGTACCAGGCCGGGGTGCAGGGGGCGGTCACGGGGCGGCCACCAGGGGGGCGCGGGGGCGGTCACCAGGCGGGGACGCGGGGGGCGGTCACGGGGTGGTCACCAGGCGGGGACGCAGGGGGCGGTCATGGGGTGGTCACCAGGCGGGGGCGCCGTCACGGGGTGGTCACCAGGCGGGGGTACAGGGGGCGGTCATGGGGTGGTCACCAGGCGGGGGCGCGGGGGCGCCACGGGCCTCACCTCGTGGGCAGAGAAGGCCTTCCTGTCGCTGAAGCGCAGCTCGTTCCACACCACCTCCACGCCCTCCTCCGTGTCCATGGCCAGGAAGGTGCTCTGGACGCCGGGCATGTTCCCCTGGTTCACCTGGGAGGGGGAGGAGGAGGGGGACAAGGGGGGTCCGCTCACAGCCTCCCAGGCCCGGCGAGGGCAGGACTGGCCGCTCTGGGGGTGGGGGCTGAGGGCGCCGGGGCGGGCTGAGCGGGCGGAGCAGGCTGCAGGCGCTGAGCACGTCCCCGGGGGCTGGCGCCTGGTCCCCGGGGCCGGGAGGTGGCTCTGCGGGCTGGCCCTTGGGGAATGAGGGTTCCTCCCCGGGGCACGGGGCCAGGCCAAAGGGGTGCAGGAACCGGGTCGCCCCCTCGAGGCTGCGGAAAGGTTTCGGGTCTCCGGTCCCCCCCCCCCGCGGTGCCCACCTGCTCGCGCCGCTTCTGCCAGCGGCCACACGGGCTTTCTTCCAGGATGTCGCTCTCGTCCTCGCTCTCCTCCTCCCGCTCCCGCTCCCGCTCCCGGCCCCGCCTGGGCGCAGGCTCGGGAGCCGCCATGGCTCGGTGGGCCCAGGCAGCCGCCCGCCCGGCGATCCTCCGCCGCGCCCGCCGCCAGGCCCCGCGAGCGGAGCCGAGTCCGGAGTGGCGCCGCCGCTGCTCGGAGCCACGGCCCAGGCTCTGGGACCCGAGCGGCGCGGGCGCGCGACCCGGAGGGCGGAGCCCGCCCGCCGGCCGGAGCCGCCTCCTCGGACCGGATCCCGAGTGGAGCTCCCCGCGGAGGGCTGAGCCCGCGCAGCGCGAGAGGCCCGCCTGTCCCGGCCACAGCCCCGCCCCGGCGAGCCCCCGCCCGGAGCCACGCCCGGCCACAGGCCCCGCCCGCAGGAGGCCGCGCCCGTCCCGGCCCGTCCCGTCCTTCCTGGTGAAGGCGGCCCGGCCCGGCAGCCAGACCCTTGAGCCCCGCCCAGGCGAAGCCCCGCCCCACATTGGGACCGTCCCACAAGGCCCCGCCCACAAAGGACAAGGCCCCGCCTCCTAGGCCTCACCGATCTGCGTTTACGACCCTTCCCCGCGGCCCCGTCCCGGCCTGAAGCCCACCCTTAAGGCCCGGTCTCCACCCACCCGCTCCCGGTCCACCGCGGGCTCAGCCCCACCCCGCGATCCCGCCGGCGGCAAGCCCCGCCCCCAGGAGGTCCCGTCCCGCCCCGCCCACCGTGCCAATGCCCCGCCCCCGGGCCGCCTCACTGCTCAGGCCCGCCCCTGCCAGGCCACACCCACCGCGTCGAGGCCCCGCCCAGGACACGCCCATCGTATGTCACGCCCCCAGGTCTCTCCGGAATAGGCGGGGCGGAGCCCTGTCCCTCCCGGCGTCCCCGGGCGCTGCAGCCGGTGGGCAGGGCGACCGGGCTACGGGTCCACCCAGCCCAGCTCTCGGAGCCTCGCGTTCTCCCCTTGCCCGCTGCACTCCTGGCACAAACAGCCCGGAGCCCGGTGGTGTCTGGGCTTCCCCCTAGGGTAGCCCCGGAGCGGGGCGGGGCGGGGGGAGCTCTGGGGCAGCCTGCTCCCCTGGGGTCTGGGGGGCCCCGGGGACTTGGGCACTCCCTGGCCGGGCAGGGGGCGAGGCCCTGCAGGTGGACCGCCAGGTGGGAGTGAGTGAGGCGGCCAAACAGGAACGGATGGGGGTGAATTAGCACACACAAGGTACACCGACTTCAAAATGGAAAGATAAATGCTTTTAATAACAATCAGAAAACACAAAGCGATGCTGACACCTCAGGGCGCAGGCTGACGATCCAGGAAGAAGAAAAGAGTCCTTTGTTCCCAGCCAGGCAGAGCCTGTTGGGGTGGCCACCTGCCAATATTCAGAGAAATGCAAACAGAACCACCAGGGAGAACACCAGTCCGTGGGGGTGAGCATGGCCGGGGAACAGGCCTCTCTCCACCCAAAGGAAAAATACAGAGAACCCCAGGGCACTGGGAAGTAAACAATGTTACCAGAGGACTTAACACTGCGCTGCCCAGACACTGCGGCTTGGAGGACCAGGGGCGGCCGCGCCATCCCAGCAGGGGGCTCCCTGGAGGCAGCCCACCCATGTTTCTCTCTCACTGTCCCTCTCCTCTCTCTATCAAATAAAATATATACATATTTTAACACTAAGTGAAAACTCATTAAAGAACATTTTAAAATATTGAAAAATAGAGTAGGATATTTTTGAGAGTTAACATTCCACCACATAAAGAGTCCATTCTGTCTTAAGACAGAGAGAGAAACAGCAGGCCCGTTTCAGGGTCCCGAGTAGCCTTCTGCAGCAGCTGCAGGTACGTGAGGTTCTCGTGCGTGTTGGGGTCGAAGAAGCCCTTGGTGTCGTCGCCGGGGTCGGCCAGCACGCGGCTCATGGCCTCGTCGAAGTAGCCGCGCTGGTAGGCCACGTCCACGGGCACGCGGTGGCTGTGCACGGGGTCGATGATGCCGCCCGTGGCGATCTGGGCCTCCAGCAGGCGGATGCCGTGGTCGCGCACGATCAGCTCCTTCTGCATGGCCTGGAAGAGGGAGATCTGCTCCCCGGTGTAGGGGTCGGTGTAGCCGGTGACCGCCCGCTCCGCCGACAGCAGCTTGTCCCGGATCTCGCCGCCCACCAGGCCCGCGGCCACGGCCTCGTCCACGGACAGCCGCCGGTTGCCCACGGGGTCGATGAGGAAGCCGGTGGCGGCCTGGGCCTCCAGCAGCACCAGGGCGGTGCCCGGCCGCAGGTGGCCCTTCCACATGGCCTGGTAGACGCTCATCTTCTCACGCCGCCCCGGCTCGCCCCTGGCGGGCACCAGCACGCCCGCGATGCAGCTCGTGCCCTCCAGGTAGCGCTTGACCGAGTCCATCTGCATCACCTCCTGGGGGCTGCGGGTGCCCTGGGCCAGGCCCTGCAGCGTCTCGGGGTCCAGGACCCGCGACACGCCCAGCTCGGACGCGGTCACCTGGCGCCTCAGGCCCGGGAAGGACAGCTTGCTGAGCCGCTCCTCGGTCTCCGTGACCACCTGGGTGAGGATGGCCACCAGGCCCGGCAGGGCCAGGGTGCCGGCCGCGTGCTGGGCCAGCAGCTCCTCCCGGCGGGCCTGGCTCAGGTAGGAGGAGGTGAGGACGTCCCACACGGACACCAGCTGCCCTCGGAACCGCCCGGCCTGCACCTCCATGGTGGCCGCCCGCAGGGCCTGCTCCTGGAGGCGCCTGGCGGCCTGGGGGTCGGCGTGCGGGTGCTCAGGGCTCGGGGGCCCCTCGGCCTCCTCGAGGATGGTGGTCAGCCGGCGGGTCAGCGCGGGCAGGCCCAGCCGCCCCGCGCGGAACTGGGCCAGCAGCTGCTCCCTGCTGCTGGCGCTCACGTAGTCGGACTCCAGCACGTCCCACACGGGCACGGCCGGGCCCCGCAGCCGGCCCACCTTCACCTCCATGGTGGCCGCGCTCAGCGCCTGCTGGGGGTCGGCCGGGGCCGGGCGCGGGCCCTCTTCCTGGGCGCCGGCCAGCAGCGCGGCGAGCCTGGCGCCCAGCTCCTGCGCGGTCAGCGTGCCCGCCCGGAACCCGGCCAGCAGGTCCTGCCGCTGGCTCTCGGACACCTCCCGGTAGAAGAGCAGCTCCCACACCGAGGCGTCCCGGCCCTGGGCGCCGGCCGCGCCCGGGGGCAGCGCCACGCGCACGTCCTGCAGGGCGCGGCGCAGCTCCTCGCTGAGCTGGCGCACCGCGGAGCCCGGGCCGGCCAGCTGCAGCATGAACAGCCCGGTCTCGGGGTCGCGCACACAACGGCGCAGCAGCTGCAGGTACGTGAGGTTCTCGTGCGTGTTGGGGTCGAAGAAGCCCTTGGTGTCGTCGCCGGGGTCGGCCAGCACGCGGCTCATGGCCTCGTCGAAGTAGCCGCGCTGGTAGGCCACGTCCACGGGCACGCGGTGGCTGTGCACGGGGTCGATGATGCCGCCCGTGGCGATCTGGGCCTCCAGCAGGCGGATGCCGTGGTCGCGCACGATCAGCTCCTTCTGCATGGCCTGGAAGAGGGAGATCTGCTCCCCGGTGTAGGGGTCGGTGTAGCCGGTGACCGCCCGCTCCGCCGACAGCAGCTTGTCCCGGATCTCGCCGCCCACCAGGCCCGCGGCCACGGCCTCGTCCACGGACAGCCGCCGGTTGCCCACGGGGTCGATGAGGAAGCCGGTGGCGGCCTGGGCCTCCAGCAGCACCAGGGCGGTGCCCGGCCGCAGGTGGCCCTTCCACATGGCCTGGTAGACGCTCATCTTCTCACGCCGCCCCGGCTCGCCCCTGGCGGGCACCAGCACGCCCGCGATGCAGCTCGTGCCCTCCAGGTAGCGCTTGACCGAGTCCATCTGCATCACCTCCTGGGGGCTGCGGGTGCCCTGGGCCAGGCCCTGCAGCGTCTCGGGGTCCAGGACCCGCGACACGCCCAGCTCGGACGCGGTCACCTGGCGCCTCAGGCCCGGGAAGGACAGCTTGCTGAGCCGCTCCTCGGTCTCCGTGACCACCTGGGTGAGGATGGCCACCAGGCCCGGCAGGGCCAGGGTGCCGGCCGCGTGCTGGGCCAGCAGCTCCTCCCGGCGGGCCTGGCTCAGGTAGGAGGAGGTGAGGACGTCCCACACGGACACCGGCTGCCCTCGGAACCGCCCGGCCTGCACCTCCATGGTGGCCGCCCGCAGGGCCTGCTCCTGGAGGCGCCTGGCGGCCTGGGGGTCGGCGTGCGGGTGCTCAGGGCTCGGGGGCCCCTCGGCCTCCTCGAGGATGGTGGTCAGCCGGCGGGTCAGCGCGGGCAGGCCCAGCCGCCCCGCGCGGAACTGGGCCAGCAGCTGCTCCCTGCTGCTGGCGCTCACGTAGTCGGACTCCAGCACGTCCCACACGGGCACGGCCGGGCCCCGCAGCCGGCCCACCTTCACCTCCATGGTGGCCGCGCTCAGCGCCTGCTGGGGGTCGGCCGGGGCCGGGCGCGGGCCCTCTTCCTGGGCGCCGGCCAGCAGCGCGGCGAGCCTGGCGCCCAGCTCCTGCGCGGTCAGCGTGCCCGCCCGGAACCCGGCCAGCAGGTCCTGCCGCTGGCTCTCGGACACCTCCCGGTAGAAGAGCAGCTCCCACACCGAGGCGTCCCGGCCCTGGGCGCCGGCCGCGCCCGGGGGCAGCGCCACGCGCACGTCCTGCAGGGCGCGGCGCAGCTCCTCGCTGAGCTGGCGCACCGCGGAGCCCGGGCCGGCCAGCTGCAGCATGAACAGCCCGGTCTCGGGGTCGCGCACACAACGGCGCAGCAGCTGCAGGTACGTGAGGTTCTCGTGCGTGTTGGGGTCGAAGAAGCCCTTGGTGTCGTCGCCGGGGTCGGCCAGCACGCGGCTCATGGCCTCGTCGAAGTAGCCGCGCTGGTAGGCCACGTCCACGGGCACGCGGTGGCTGTGCACGGGGTCGATGATGCCACCCGTGGCGATCTGGGCCTCCAGCAGGCGGATGCCGTGGTCGCGCACGATCAGCTCCTTCTGCATGGCCTGGAAGAGGGAGATCTGCTCCCCGGTGTAGGGGTCGGTGTAGCCGGTGACCGCCCGCTCCGCCGACAGCAGCTTGTCCCGGATCTCGCCGCCCACCAGGCCCGCGGCCACGGCCTCGTCCACGGACAGCCGCCGGTTGCCCACGGGGTCGATGAGGAAGCCGGTGGCGGCCTGGGCCTCCAGCAGCACCAGGGCGGTGCCCGGCCGCAGGTGGCCCTTCCACATGGCCTGGTAGACGCTCATCTTCTCACGCCGCCCCGGCTCGCCCCTGGCGGGCACCAGCACGCCCGCGATGCAGCTCGTGCCCTCCAGGTAGCGCCTCACGCTGGCGTCCTGGCCCACGTCCTCCACGCTGCTGCGCCCCGCCTCCAGCTGCTGCAGCGTCTCCCGGGTGATGATGGCCGCCTGGAAGAGCTCGTTGGCGGTGATGTGCCTCCGGATGCCCCGGAACCACAGCTGCCTGGCGCTCCGCTCCTTCTCCTCGATCAGCGCGGAGACGGCCTGCGCCACCGTGCCCAGCGCCCGGGCCGTGTCGCGCTTGTAGCTCCCCACCAGCTCCAGCTTCTCCTCCTCCGTCACGTACTCCGAGTTGAGCAGCTCCCACACGGACGGCCGCCGCCCCCGGAACCTGCCCACCGGGACCTCCACCCGCTCGCCTTCCAGGGCCTTCCTCGTGGCCTCGTCCACGTAGGCGGCGTCCTGGCCGTCACGGGCCACGGGGAACAGGGCCCAGCCCGGCCCCTCCTCCCGGCGGCTCCGCCTCTGCAGCTCCTGGTACGTCACCTTCTCCTGCGTGTTGGGGTCCACGAACCTCTTGTTCATGAGCTTCTGGTCGGACACGAGGGCGTAGGCGTCCCGGCGCAGGCAGCCGCGCTCGTAGGCCGTGGCCAGCGGAACCCGGAGGTGGTGCCGCGGGTCGACCACCCCGCCCGTGGCCACCTGCACTTCCAGCCACCGGAGGGCGTCCTCCCGCCTGGCCAGCTTCCTGTCCGCGGCCTGGGACAGCGGGACCGTGTCGCCTGTGGCGGGGTCCACGTAGCCTCTGGCGGCCTTCTCGGCGTCCAGGAGCCTTTCCCGGAGCTCCTCGCCCACCAGGCCGGCGGCCACGGCCTCGTCCACCGAGAGCCTCCGGTGGCTGTGCGGGTCCAGCAGGAAGCCCGTGGCCGCCTGGGCCTCCAGCAGCTGAGCCGCGAACCCCGCAGGCACGAGGCCCCGCGCGCTGGCCTCATAGAGGCTCAGCACCTCCTGCGTGGAGGGGACGGTCACGCCGGCGATGCAGCCGCTGCCCTCCAGGGCCGCCCGCACCTGGGGCAGCGCCAGGAGGGCCTGGCCCCCCGGCTGCGCGTCCAGCGTCTCCCTGTCGATGACGCCGGCGTTGAACAGCTCCGCGGCGGTCACCTCCCCGCCGATCCCGGGCACCCGGACGGCCCGGTGCCGCTCCTCGGTTTCCTCCACGGTGGCCGTGACCACGCCCAGCAGCTGCTGCAGGTCCAGGGCCCCCGAGCGCCACTGCTGGGCCAGCTCCTGCCGCCGCGCCTCCGAGAAGTACTGGGACGACAGCAGGTCCCAGAGGGAGACGCTCCGCCCGGCGAACCGGCCGACCCGCATGGCCACGGTCTGCGCCCGCAGAGCCCGCCTGGTGGCCTCGTCCACGTAGGCGTACGCCTCTCCCTTCTTGACGATCTGCAGCAGGAACAGCCCGGTCTCGGGGTCGCGCACACAGCGCTCCAGCAGCTGCAGGTACGTGAGGTTCTCGTGCGTGTTGGGGTCGAAGAAGCCCTTGGTGTCGTCGCCGGGGTCGGCCAGCACGCGGCTCATGGCCTCGTCGAAGTAGCCGCGCTGGTAGGCCACGTCCACGGGCACGCGGTGGCTGTGCACGGGGTCGATGATGCCGCCCGTGGCGATCTGGGCCTCCAGCAGGCGGATGCCGTGGTCGCGCACGATCAGCCCCTTCTGCATGGCCTGGAAGAGGGAGACCTGCTCCCCGGTGTAGGGGTCGGTGTAGCCGGTGACCGCCCGCTCCGCCGACAGCAGCTTCTGGTAGGTCTCCTTGCCGAACATGCCCGCGGCGAAGGCCTCCTCCACCGTCAGCTTCCGGTTCTCCGTGGGGTCGATGAGGAAGCCGGTGGCGGCCTGGGCCTCCAGCAGCACCAGGGCGGTGCCCGGCCGCAGGAGGCCGCGGGCCAGCGCCTCCGAGATGCTCATGCGCTCCTGGGTGGCCTGGACCAGCACCCCGGCGATGAAGTTGCCGCCTTCCAGGAAGGGCCGCACGCTGTCCATGGCGGCCACCTCCTGCGCCGTCCGGGTGCCCTGGCTCAGCGCGTCCAGCGTCTCCCGGTCGATCACCTGGGACCGGAACAGGTCGCCGGCCGACACCTGCTTGCGCAGCCCCCGGAAGACGGCCTGCGCGGGCCGGGCCTCGGCCGCCTCCACCAGCGCGGTGAGCGCCTGCACCACCTGCCGCAGCGCCGTGGCCCGGCCCGACTGGCAGAGCGCCGCCAGCTCCCGCCGCTTCTCGGCGCCCACGTACTCCGAGTGCAGCAGGTCCCAGAGCGACACGGTCAGCCCCTTGAACCGCCCGGCCCCGACGGGCACCTTCATGGCCCGCAGGGCCACAGCCGTGTGCTTGTCCACCTCCAGGGCCACGTCCTGGGGCAGGGGCAGCAGCCGCAGGCCCGTGTCCGCGTCCAGCAGGCAGCGCTCCCTCAGCTCCTGGTAGGTCACCCGCTCCCGCCGGCTGGGGTCATAGAAGAGCCGGCTGTCCTCGTCCGGCCCGGTCAGCGCCTGGAGCGTCGGCTCGTCCAGGAGGCCCAGCCGGCAGGCCGCCGCCGGGGGGAGGCGCACCCCGTGGGCGGGGTCCACGGCACCCCCCGTGGCCAGCTGGGCCTGCAGGAGGGGCAGGCCCTCCTTCCGGGGCACGAGCCCCTTCTCCATGGCCTGCCACAGCGAGAGGGGACCCGCCGAGAAGGGGTCGGTGTAGCCGGCCGCGGCCCGCTCCGCCTGCCGGAGCTGCTCGCTCAGCGCCCCGCTCACCAGCCCAGCCTTGACCGCGGCCTCCACGGACAGCCTCTGGCTGGTCAGGGGGTCCACGAGGGAGCCGCACGCGGCCTGGGCCTCCAGCAGGCTCTGCCCCAGGCCGGGGGGCAGCAGGCCGTCCTGCATGGCCTGGGCGATGCTGGCCTTGGTCCCCGAGGGCTGCAGCAGCACGCCGGCCACGCCCCCCGTCCCCCACAAGCAGGCCTTCACCGCGGGCTCCTCGGCCACCTCGGCGGGCGACCGCGTGCCCTGGGTCAGCGCCGTCAGGGTCTCCTGGGTGATGATGCCCGCGTCCAGCAGCCAGACCGCGGGGACCTCGCCTCGGGGGCCGGGCACGGTGACCCGGGCCTGCGCCCGGAGCTTGGCCGCCTGCACCCAGCCGCGCACGGCCGCCTGCAGCTGCGGCACCGAGGTCTCGCCCGCCTGCACGCCCTCCAGGAACGCCCGCCGCTGCTCCTCCGTGAAGTGGCAGGAGGCCAGCAGCTCCCAGAGCGACGCCCCGTCCTCCGCGCCCGGCGTGGCCTGCAGGGTCTCCCGCAGCTGCTGGTCGGAGGGGCCGGCGGGCGCGTCCTCCTGCACGGGCAGCAGGTAGAGGCCGGATGCCTCGTCCTTCTGGCACTGCCCCAGGAGCCGGGCGTAGCTGGTGTGGCCGGGGCCGTCGAGCGCGGGGAAGGTCTCCGCGGAGCCGGTCAGGGCCGCCTCCGTCTCCCGGTCGATGCAGCCGCGCTCGGCGGCCACGGGCAGGGCCAGGTGGAAGTGGCCCGTGGGGTCGATGACGCCTCCCGTGGCCAGCTGGGCCTCCAGCAGGCGGGCGGCGTGCTCCTTCCGGACGAGGCCCTTCTTCGTGGCCTGGAACAGGGACACCCGCTCCCCGGAGAAGGGGTCCCGGAAGCCGGTCAGGGCGCCCTCAGCCCGCCGCAGCCGGGCGTACAGCTCCGGCCCGACCAGCCCCCGGCGCACGGCCTCCTCCACGGACACGGCCTCCCGGCCGTCGGGGCCGGTCAGGGCTCCGGTGGCCGCCTGGGCCTCCAGCAGGGCCAGGGCCATGCCGGGCGGCAGCAGCCGCTGCTTCATGGCCTGGTAGAGGCTGAGCCTGCGGTTGGAGGCGGGCAGCAGCACCCCGCCCACGGCGCCCGAGCCACGCAGGCAGGTGCGCACGCTGTCCAGGCCGAGCAGGGACTCGGGGCTGAGCGTCCCCGCCGCCAGCTGGTCCAGGAGCTCCTGGCCGATGACCCGGGCCTCCAGGAGCTGGAAGGCGGTGGCCCGACCGCGCAGGGCGGGCAGCGTGACGTCCACGCACCTGGCCGCCGCCCTCTGCAGCCGCTCGGCCGCCTGCTCCAGGGAGACCTCGCGCCGCCGGACGCCGAGCAGGAGCCGCCGCCGCTGCGCCTCGCCCACGCACTCGGAGTTGAGCAGCTCCCACGCGGACACCCGCCGGCCCCGGAACCGCCCGTACCGCCCGGGCAGCAGCAGGTTCTGGAAGGCCCGCCGGGTGGCCGCGTCGGCCAGCGGGGGCTGGGCGCTGCTGAGCGGCAGCAGGAACAGCCCGGTCTCGGGGTCGCGCACACAGCGCTCCAGCAGCTGCAGGTACGTGAGGTTCTCGTGCGTGTTGGGGTCGAAGAAGCCCTTGGTGTCGTCGCCGGGGTCGGCCAGGACGTGGTTCATGGCCTCGTCGAAGTAGCCGCGCTGGTAGGCCACGTCCACGGGCACGCGGTGGCTGTGCACGGGGTCGATGATGCCGCCCGTGGCGATCTGGGCCTCCAGCAGGCGGATGCCGTGGTCGCGCACGATCAGCTCCTTCTGCATGGCCTGGAAGAGGGAGATCTGCTCCCCGGTGTAGGGGTCGGTGTAGCCGGTGACCGCCCGCTCCGCCGACAGCAGCTTGGCGAACACGCCGGGCCCGATGACGCCGGCCCTCAGCGCCTCCTCCACCGAGTACCTCTTGTTCTCCTTGGGGTCGATGATGAAGCCGGTGGCCGCCTGGGCCTCCAGCAGGATGAGGGCGGTGCCCGGCCGGAGCAGCCCCTTCCTCTGTGCCTCCTCGATGCTCAGCCGCTCCTGAGAGCCAGGCAGCAGCAGGCCGGCAATGCAGCCCGTGCCCTGCAGGTACCGCTGCACCGAGTCCAGGCTGCCCACGTGCTGGGCCGTGGTCTGCCCGCGTTCCAGCTGCTCGAACACCTCGGGCCCGATGATCTCCGCCTGCAGCAGCTCCCCCGGGCTCACGGGCACCCGCAGCCCTGAGAAGGTGGTCTTGGCGGCGGCCGCGGCCTGCTCCAGGGTGGCCCTCAGCGCCGCGGCCAGCTCCTCCGCCGACAGGGCCCCCGCCCGGTACTGCTGGGCCAGCACCACCCTCTGCCCGGCGGGCACGGCTTCAGAGAAGAGCAGCTCCCACAGGGACACGGGCCGGCCCCGGAAGGCGCCCGCGGGCACCGTGGTGGTGGCCGCGCGCAGGGCCTCCCGGGTGCTGTGCTCAATGAAGGGGGGTCCCCGCGGCTCCTCCCCCGGGGCCTCCCCGGGGAGGGGCAGGAAGGCCAGCCCGGTCTCGGGGTCGGTGACGCAGCGGGCCAGCAGCTGCCCGTAGCCCAGGCTCTCCTGCGTGCCGGGGTCCGAGAAGCCGGCGGCCCCCGAGAGCCACCGCTGTGTCTCCTCATCCAGGCAGCCGAAGCGCAGGGCGGCCTCCAGGGGCAGCCGCAGCCTGCGGGCCGGGCACACCAGCCCGCCCGTGGCCAGCTGCGCATCCAGCAGCCGCAGCGCCAGGGCCTCGTCCACCAGCCCCTTCCTCATGGCCTGGAAGAGGGGGAGGCGGGCGCCGCCGAAGGGGTCGGGGAAGCCCGTCACCGCCTGCTCGGCCTCCAGGAGCTGCCCGTGCAGCTCGGGGCCCACCAGGCCCGCCCGCACCGCCTCGTCCACACTCAGCCGCTGGCCGCCGGCCGGGTCCACCAGCGTGCCGGTGGCGGCCTGGGCCTCGAGCAGCGGGAGCGCGGCGCCCAGCGGGAGCAGGTGCGCGGCCACGGCCTGGAAGAAGCTCCTCTTGCGGCCGGCGGGCAGCAGGACGGCCCCCGCCACGGCCCCGGTGCCCTGCAGGTAGCGCCGCACCTCGGGGCGCGCGCTCACGTCGGGCACGGCCAGCCGGCCCTCCCGCAGGCCCCGGGCGGTCTCCTCGTCCAGGACGCCCGCCTCCAGCAGCTCGGCCACGCTGGCCGCCCCGCCCAGCGTGCGGAAGGTGGTCTTGAGCGGCAGCAGGGGCAGCCCCGTGCCGGGCGCCGGCACACACCGGCTCAGCAGCTCGCGGTAGCTCAGCGGCTCCAGCGTGTTGGGGTCCAGGAAGGCCGGGGCGCGCTCCGCCAGGCTGCGCTGCGTCTCCCGGTCCAGGAGGCCCTGCTGACAGGCCGGCTCCGGGGCCACCCGCACGCCCAGGGCGGGGTCCACCAGGCCGCCCGTGGCCAGCTGGGCCTCCAGCCAGCCCCAGCCCAGGGCCCGGGGCACCACCTCCTTCCCGATGGCCTGGAAGAGGGACAGCTTCTCGCCCCCGTAGGGGTCGGCGTAGCCGGTGACCGCCCGCTCGGCGGCCAGCAGCTTCTCCCGCAGCTCCAGGCCCACCAGGCCCTGCTGCAGGGCCGCGGACACGGGCAGCGGCTGGCCCTGCGCGGGGTCCACGAGGCCCCCGGTGGCCGCCTGGGCCTCCAGCAGAGCCAGCCCGAGCTCGGCGGGCAGCAGGCCCTGCTTCATGGCCGTGTAGAGGCTCAGGACCTGGCCGGAGGCCTCCACCAGCACCCCGGCCACGCTCCCGGCCCGGGGCCTGGGGGGAGAGCCGGCTTCCGGAGCGGCCTTTGTGGTCTTGGGGACCGTGGCCGGCTCGGTGCCGCTGGCGGCCAGGACGTCAGAAGTGTCGCCGTTCATGGTGTCGGCTGGCGGTGGGGCTCGCTCTCCGGATCCGCTGTGTCTGCCTGCGGAGGGCGGAGGGGTCTGTGAGGGGCCCTGATCGGCACAGGTAAGCAGCCGGGGGCCAATCCCGGGTTCTGGGTGCCCTCCAGGGACAGGGTCAGCACCCAGCTGGGTCCCTCCATCCCCGGGCCACGCTCAGGCCTCCACCCAGCCTGGCACACCCCCACCCCACGTCCGGAGGGGCTGGGCCAGTGTGCCTGCCTCGGGCCTCGCCCCCCAGTGCCCACAGGCTCCAGCGCCAGCTCGTCCCTCACTCACTGACCTACAAACTCATGCCCTCCCTCCAGCTTCCTGAGGGCCATGGGCCTACAACCCAATTTCCCCTCCTCCACCCTCTGACCCCACCCTGTGACCCCCCAGGCCCTCCCAGCCTGGCTCTGTGTCCTACTCCACCCTCCCCCCCCTCGGTGCTCCCTCTCGATGTGGCTTCTCTGTGCCCACACCTGGGCACACCTGGCGCCCGGGACACCAGAGTCTGTGCCTGTGTGCTGGCCATGCGGGCTGCGGGCAGGGCCACGCAGTGTCCAGCAGGTGGGTCCTGGTCAGCTGACTCCAAGCCCAGGCCCCACCCCCACCCCAGGGGGACAGGTCTGGCTGGGTTAGACTGGGTCCCTCACACCACAGCTCAGTCCGGCCTCCGGCCCTGGGGCCTCTGCTGGAGCCATTAAGACAGGTCACCGGGGGCAGGGCTGCAGATCGCCCGGAAGGGCTGGTGTCCTTGGGAAGACACTCGGACACGCCTGCCCGTGGCGCTGCAGGCAGATGGGCGGACCCACCACATTCCAGAAGCTCGGATTCCAGAGCAGCCAGGCAGTGGGAAGATGCAGAGGCCTGAGCCGCCCTGGCTGTGGCAACCGTTGCGACTGCCACAGCCAGGGAGACGGCACCCGCCCTGTCCCCCTCCGCTTCCCAGAACCACACCCTCGCCCCCCCTCCCCGCCCGGTCCACGCCCTCCCTCCTGCGCCCCGATCACCCGCCCACACCTGACCTCGGCTCTCCGACGGCTCCCCAAGCTTCCACACCCACACCCCCCTCCCTTTGAGTCTGGGGAGAAGCCCAGGCCCAGGTCTGCCCCTCGCCCCCCGGGCCACAGCTTTGGTTGACGGGACCTCGCACTCCGGCTGCCATATCGGACAAACCTATTTGGGGTCTGGTGGCCCCTGACCCCCGGTCATAGGGCATGGGACCCTCGTGGGACAGGTTTCTGCTCCATCTCCTCTTCCCCGAGAACTCAGAGCTCCTGAGCCACCACCCAGCCCGGCTGCCCAGACCCCAGCCTGGTCGCCCCGACCCGACATCCACAGCAGCTCGAACCCCATGGCGCCCTCCACTGCTGGCCCCCTCGGAGGTGCTGGGCCCTGCACTCCCCAGCTGCCTGCTCAGGGCGCCCCTCCTCCCTGGCCCTTCTCTGCCCATGCCCTTGGCCGTCCTGCCGGAGGGGTCAGCGAGGGAGCACCGGGCAGGGCCAAGGCCTCAGTGGGGCTGAGTTCTGGGGGGAAGAGAGGCCGCAGGCTTCCTCTCTCAGGGGGCCCTGCAGGCTGGCAGCTCCGCAGAGGCCAGGGCTGGAGGGGGCGCACAGGAAGACAGGGGCTGGGCCCGCCGATGGCAGGAGGAGGTGGGGCCTTGGCACAGACCTGGTGGGCAGACCTGTACCTGGTTCTGGCAGCAAAAAGGCAGAGCCCGGCCGGGGTGGGTGGGCGTCGACCTATGACCCAGGAGGTCAGGGCACACACCTGGTTTGTGGGCTCAGTCCCCAGTGGGGACTTGCAGGAGGCAGCCGATCCATAGTTCTCTCTCATCACTGATGATTCAGTCTTCCTCTGCCTCTCTCTCCCTCTCCCTCCATCTCTCTCGCTCTCCCTTCCTCTCTCCCTCTCCTACTCCCTCTCTCTCTCCTTCTCTCTCTGCCTTCTCCTCTCCCCTCTCCCTTCCTCTGAAAAAGAAAAGGCCGAGAGGCCGCCGGTGTGGTCTGCAGTCCATGGTGGACAGGGCCGCCCGGGCCTGTCTCGGGATGCCAGCCTCTCACTGGCCAGCGGGTCTCTGTCCACCCGCTTTCCCCCTCCCGTCCCCCGGGGCCGCCTGAGTACCCCACTGCTCCGTCAGCTCTGCTCCGCCGGCTCTGCCCTCAGGGCGGTGGGTCTGCACAGGGGAGCGCCGGCTGGCCATGCAGGCGGCTCAGGGCTTGGCACGGTTTGGCACGCAGTCTGCCCCGGGCCAGACGCAGGGAAAAGGCCGCTGGAGGAAGTCTGGTCTCGGAGCGGGTGGAGGGGCCACAGGCCCGACGCAAGCACTGTTCTCAGGCGCCCTGCAGGCTGGCCCCAGCCCCGCCCGCTGGCAGGAGCGCCAGGTAACCGGTGGCACAGAGCACCTGTCTGGGAGGCTGGCCGGGACAAGGGTCAGGGGGAGGAGGGGCACCTCTCCACCGGGAAAGGGGGGGCAGCCAGGCGGGAGCTGTGCTGGGAGGCAGCGGGCTGGGTGCCCCGGGCACAGGTAGCGGGCGGTGGGGGCTGTGGCTGGACTGGGCCTCCTTGTGGGGGGGCGGGAGCAGGTGCCGGGAGTCTGGTAGGGATCGAGGGGGACAACAGGGTGGAGGGGTCTAGGTTTGGGAGACGGACCGGGCATCTGAGGGGCCCAGGGAGTAGCGGTGGGCGGGGGGGGGCAGGAAGAGGCGGCGGGGCAGAGCCCTTCCCCCCTTAAATAAATAAATAATGAAGGCAAAGGGAACGGAGAAGGGAGGGCCCGGCGACCAGGGGCGGGTCCGGAGGCGGCAGGAGGATTCCTGGGGGCGGATGTCAGCCCGGGGCTGGCAGCCTCCTGGCCGTCCACCTGCCCCAGACCGGAACAGAGCCGGAAGCCCCGCCCGGCGCTGATGGACGGGGATCAATAGCCCCGCGGTCCCTCCCTCGGCGCCTGCTCCCAGGGCCCCATGGTGACCGCGCCCAGGAGCCCCTGCGCCCCCTGGACAGCGGGCAGCGCCCAGCGCCAGCCGGGAGCCACGCCGCCGGAACGCTGCCCCGGGGGTCCTGGCGGCTCCTGTCCAAACGCGCCCGCACCCACCGCCCGTCCTACGGGGGCGAGAGGCGCACCGTCCTGACACCCCCAGAGCGGTCTCCGGGCCGGGAGCCCAGGCTCCGTCCCTGCCCCGGCCCCCGTCCCGGACTGAGGCGCCAGAGGGGCAGGGTGCCCGCCTGCCGGACCGGCGTCCTGGAGCTCAGGTGCCCGGCGCCCCCTCCCCACCCTGCGCGCTCCACTCGCCGCGAGCTCGTCCGGGTTCGCTGGTCTTCCCGCCCGCAGGTCCCCCCCGGCGCCCCGCGTTCCCGCCCCCGGGCACCCCGCGCCCCCGGCGCCCCCGCGCCCCCCGGACGCCCCACCTGCGCTCTGGCACCTCAGGACCCTCCGCGGCTCGCTCCGCTCCCGGAGGCGCCCTGCGCGCACGGATTTAAACCCGCTCGGCTCCTCCCCGCGGGGCCGCCCCGTCTGAGGGCGGCGCCGGGAGGGGCCCGAAGCCAGGTGGGGCTGCAGGTCCTGGGGATCCTGCGCGGAGCCCAACGCCCCAAGGCCGAGAGGGACCCCCGGGGAGCCGGGTCCTCGCCCGTCCGATCCCCCTCTCCCCCGTCACCGCTCAGGAATGCGGGCGGCAGGCGGCGTGGACGGAGTCTGTGCGGGACGTGCGGCCGCGGGGCCGGGCTTTGCGCTCCAAACGCAACTTCATTCCTGGGCTGAGCCAGGGTGGCCTCAGGGGCTCCCCCTGGCCCCGGGCGCCTCAAGGCCTGGTGAGCTGGGGTCCCTGTGCCGCAGGCTCCTTCTGCCGGGCGCGGGGTGGGAGCGCCCGGCCTCACCCCAAGGGCTCAGCCCTCCACCGGTCCTCCCAGAGTCCCTGCCCCTCTCATGCCCGTCCAGCGCCCACCTGCCCGGCAGGGCTGCTGGGGGCCAGGGTGGAGCCGGGGCCTGGGTCCCCCCCTGCACTGCCAGATGCCGATCGGACAGGGGCCAGATGCAGGCCCAGGGCGGTGCCTCCCCCTCCCTCCTCAGGGCAGGGCTGCTCCAGGCACAGACGCCCCACTCCTCCCTCCGGACCCCCTCATCAGAGGAGCCTCACTCCCCGCCGGCCCCCAGGAGCGAGGGGACGGACAGGCCGGCCATTAGCGCGGCCGGAGGCCTGCTTGGTGGGGAGACACAGCTCTGGGCAGGGGTGGCCACCACAGGCCGGGCGCTCGGGGTTGGGGTGAGGAAGGCCAGCAGAGCCAGCAGGGCTACCCCCTATTCAGGGTTGGCCGGGGTCCCCCCAAGTTCAAATGCTGAAGTCCCAGCCCCCCCCCCCCGCCCCCCCCCCCGTCCCTCGGAATGGGACCTTCTTTGGGAAAAAGGTCATTGCATCCAGCCCGACCTAGGAACCAGGAAGTCAGGGCACAGGCCCGGGTGCAGGCTGATCCCAGTAAGGGGCGTGCAGGAGGCAGCCGACCAGTGAGACCAGTGATTCTCTCATCACAGAGGGGGGCCAGCTCCCCCAGAGGCAGGGCACCCCTCCCACAGGGCCACCAGGCCCGTCCACCCCTCCCTGCTGCGGGGCCAGGAGCCCAGCCTGCCCTGTTGGGGACTGGGGCCGAGGGCATGGGAGGCAGCACACAGATTGGGGAGCACCGTGGCTGCCTGAGGGGGGCTGCCCACCTCCTCCTGTGACCCTTCCTCAGCCGCATGCCGAGATCCAGGCTGCACCTCACCTCCATGTGGCCTCACTGGCCTCTCCCTCCTCAGCCACCCCACCCTGGGTGCCCCAACACCCCACCCTGGGCTTCCCGGCACCCAGGCCTGCCTGCACACGGGGCCCCACCCTCCCTCCTCCAGCCGGAGCCCCCGCTCCCAGGCCCTGGGCTGGGTGCCGGGCGCAGGACGCAGGGCGCAGAGTGTGGGGCTTGGGGTGGCTCCGCCCTCTGGGTCATGGTCTCCAATGTTT